AAGCAGAAAGGAGTTTTCTTGGCCTTAAATTAATATCTGGTGCATTCTATCAAATCTGTGCTGGGAAGACGCCAGATAATTGTGTTGTCCACACGGCCCCAAACCACCTTTTGAGGCTTTTCCAACCTTGATGGGCGCTTGTAAACAGCTCTAAGGCTGCACTGAGGAGTGTTATGGCACGAGTGTGCGGGCGTTGGTTGTGATTCTCAGAGGAATTGGGATTCTACAGCTTAAGACAGACGAGGCCACGCAGCCATACATCCACCACGACACCGCTTGACACCTTCCATCACATCCACCACTTCACTGCGCACCACCATCCACCACTAAACTGCTTCCACACCATCCACCACTACACCGCTTACCACCACATCCACCACCACACTGTGCACCACCATGCATCGGTCACCCCTAGCTGGAGCTTAGCAATCCACGAGGCGCCGCTATCTCCGGAGCTTGGCGCAACGGTCCCAACGTACACCGTTGTGACCTGCCCCCCCACCTCCACGGTCTGCTCTGGTCACGTGGCAGCGCCACCGTCGGGGGTGGTACTGATGGGCCTCGCGTTCCGCCCGGGCAACGTGGTCTGAAGGCCCCCCGTGCCCCCGACCGTCTCGGTGACTGCCGGCGGAAGGCTCTGTTGGCGACGCGCTCGCCAAAGTGGCTGCGAAGAGCCCCCCCCGGCCGATGGAATGGCACCCCCAGTATCCTACGCAGAGACGCTGTGGGGGTGCTATGACAATCCTTCCACTAACAACCACCACCAACTATCCGGTCCACCACAACCGTTGCCATCCACCACAACCACCACCCACACCATTACCGGGTATGTGATTGCGGGGAGGGGTGGGGTATAATTTGGGGCTGCACATGGAATTGGGGAACTGGTACAGGACGTGTGGAGGAGGCTCGCGGCGGGTGGACGGAGACGCTGGGGGGCTTGGACAAGAGAGATGTGGTGGTGGGGGGGGGGGGTCCTGTTTGCATTCCGTGCGTAGCAACCCCGAGTGATGTACCGGGGCTTTGCTCACGTTGCCAAATCCCGCGGTCGCACGCGGCGATGCAGTGAGCGTCCCGTGCGTGAGGCGGTGGGGGGGCGGTTACGTCGATTCAAACCGATTGCTCGCCACTCGAGGCTGCCCTTTCATGAGAATACGACGCCTTTTTTACACCATGTCCCCACTAGACACACGAGGAAATTGTTCAAAACCGATAATATATATAACATGACAAAAAATGATGGGGTTTTTTTTCTGGCAATAAAACAGGCGTTAAGATGTTCAAGCACCCGATAGAAACCTTTTTGCACGAAATTAAGTCTAAAGTAGCCACACACGGTACTTGCGGCGAGCATGCAAAAAACACGCTCTAGATGATGATAAGACGATGCATTGTCTTTGAAACTGATTGGGGGCAGTCCATCAATGACGTCACGCGATTTTTGACCCCCCCCCTTCGTCACACGGCGTCACAAAATGTCAGACCCCCCCCCTCAAATATGACGTCACAAAGCTCTGCCCCCCCTCAAAAATAAAACATGCTTCAAATCGCTTTAAACTATTGTCAATGTAGTGCGTATTTAATGTGGCGCTGCACTCTGATGTAGGAGAAAACATTAAAAAGTCTAAGTAGAACGTGTTGTCTATATTCAATTAAAGTTGTGCATTTTGATGTGACGTCACATTTCTCAAACCCCCCCCCCCTCATCACAAATGTCTGACCCCACCCCCCCCCCCCCTGATGTGCGTGACGTCATTTATAGACGGCCCCTTGGCCTGCAACAAAGACCACAGCCTTCTTTAGAGCCTCGTCTTACCAAAAGGCGGACAGCACAAAGACAATGCCACTATCAGGGTATTTATAGCTCGGGAGTTGAGCAGCTCCATCATGGGACTGCCCTTGCCATTATCAAAATATAAGAATAGGTTTGACCCTTTCTGGTAATAACACAGTTGTGTGAAGATGTTAAAACACCAAACAGAAACATTTTACAAGGAATCACGTCTGCATTAACCACACACTACTTGTGGTGAACGTGCAAACATAAAAACACGGTCTGATAGTATGTGCATCGTCTTTGAAACCGATTGGTGCACACCAGAGACAGCTTTCTTTAGAGCCTAAGTCTCAAAACGGCGTTAGACCAGAGGACGCCAAAAGGTGAACAGCACAAAAAGACAATGCCACTATATCAGGGCATTTCTGGCTCCGGGTGAGCAGCTACAATATGGGACCTAATTGCCAGAAAAAGGTTTCCATTTGGTGTTTGAACATCTTAGCAACTGCTGTTTTACTGCCAGAAAGGGTAAAAACCTCTTCTTATTTTTTTTCATACTCTGATTACCGCCAAAAAGGTGCCTACAGGAAACTTGACGCGCCGCTGGACAGAACTCGCTCGTAGAGACGTCTCAGTGGTGGGAGTAACGTAACGGGAGGGCAGCAGCCGCGAGGCGGTGAGGAGCCGGTGCTACCAACAACCCTCCAAGCTCTGCGGTCCTCAATATAACAGGGTGCTTCATAAAAAAAATGTTAACGCTTCCGAGAATTTGCAACGAAACCACGAGAAATGTGCTGCCTCCGGGCTCTGGAGAGCACGTGGAGAAGATTCCAGGCATAGCGTTGACAATGATGGGCCAAACAAGTGGGAGACCAAATTTTGATTTAAAGCTTTCGTGACTGCAGTGATACATATTCTTGGTTCTTTCGGTAAATTCACGTTGAAGGGAAATAATAAAATAATAAAATATACATAAAACAATAAAATTCTCACGACGTTTCGACTGCAACACAAACAGTCATCATCAGGTGTGAAAAACCAACGGCGTTGCTTCCCTTCAACGTGACTTTACCGAAAGAACCAAGAATAAATGGGAGACCATTTGACTTTTCGAAGCCATTAACATTACATTCGTTATCACGTCACGGTGCATTACTCCCCGTTCGTTTTTCCATTAAAAAACGACAGTCCCATGTAAGTGTTAACTTTTTTTTTGAAGCGCCCTGTTAATTAAAGTCGTTGGCGGTCGACTAACCCCTTACCCATTCCGGCGTCGTACGCGTACGTCACCGGGCAGTCCAAAGGACACGCGGGAGGGCCGCGCGGCACGGCGTCGGCGCCGGCTAACGTCGAGTGGCGGCGGTCGCGTCGCTACGGTTCTCCGCGGCGAGTAACGACGCCCTTAAAAACGACGGCGCTGCTGCTGCGCCGGGCCGCTCGCCGCGACTTGCGCACAGTCTCGGAACGGCAGAAGGCGGTTAACGAGCGCCTGCGTGCGCGATTAGAACCGGAGCCCCCTGGAGCAAACCCGCACCGTGCAAGGGTGGGGTGGTGGGGGGAAACAGCCGTCACGGAGAGAGACACGAACCGGTGGGAAGTCGGCATCTTTCTCTCTGCACCACGCTAGGGTACGACGACGACGACGATTCCTCGACACCCGCGCGGGAAGGGAGTTCCGAGGGCTTTTGTGCGCGCGAGCCAACGGGATACAAGCACAAAAAAAAACTGGAGGTTCCTCGACACCGGGGCGTGCCCGCTCGCGCGTCTGCGTCAGTGCCAACTTCGCGAAGCGTTTACGTCCCCACAACAACAACAACAAATAAACGAGGCGAGATTTCACGGAGGGATTCCAGAAGTGTAAACCGGGTTCAAGCGAAATATTCCGTAACAGCAACCGGACGGCTACAATTGTTTTCTTTTTTTTTAAACAAACAGAAAATTACCGGTAAAATCGAGACAGCAAAAAATAGGATTTGAGAGGGGGGGGGGCGAGGAGAGCAAAGGGTGTGGGGGGGGGGCGGGGTGGGGGGGGGGCATGAATGCTGTAAACAAAACTGGAGTGGCGCACGGCGAAACGCGGCGTCGCGAGCCGCCCAGGGGCCCGACATTCGTGTGAATATTCTCGGTCCTTTCGGTAAAGTCACGTAGAAGGGAAACAGTAAAATAATAAAAATATAAAACATTCGTATGAATGTTTAAAACACGTAGGCTTTCGCGACCAATATTATTCATAATAAAGGTTTTTGGGTTAGATCGCGTTATTTATAAATGTGTCCTAACCCTCCACCACCGGACACGGCCAACCGGCAAAAAAGTGTCACGTTGACAAAAGACAAAATAGTTCACTACTTTAGCCCACCGGTGTGTTGAAGAGTGAAACTGTAAATGTTGTGGATTCACTCAACACACCGGTGGGCTAAAGTAGTGAACTATTTGTCTTTTGTCAACGTGGCACTTTTTTGCTGATTGGCCGTGTCGGGTGGTGGAGGGTTACGACACATTTATAAATAACGCGATCTAACCCAAAAACCTTTATTTTGATTCATATGAATGTTTAACTTCTTTCGCGCCGTACGTGGCCAGCCACGGCTACAACGGAGGTGCGGGGGGGGGGGAAGGACCGCAAACTAAACGCAAAAAAGCAGTTCTAAAGAAATTAGCTTTCAATCGAGATGATTTTAAAGTGCTTATAGCTTCATTTCGGAAGGAAGAGCGTTCCAGACGGCCGCAAGAAGCGCGTCCGAAAGCGCCGCGCGATGCGGTGGCCACCGTCTTTGTTCGACGGCTTGGCCAAAAGCCGCCGCTGCGAGGATGAGCGGCGTTAGCGGTTCTTGCTCCTTGGCGAGATCAGCCGAGTATTGTGGTTCACCATTGGAACCTCCTTTGCCAGTAGCAAAATACGACAATTGTTTTTTTTACCCTTTTATCTGGCAACAAAACTGACACCTTTTTTTTTACAAGGAGTCATGTTTGCATTGACCACAATACCTGCGGTCGGAATGCAAACCAAAAACCATAACTGTGATAATGTATTGGCACTGTCCTTGAAATTGATTGGTCCACACCCGAGACACCACGTGAGACGAGGCTCTAAGGAAAGCTGTCTCGGGTGTGGACCAATCAATTTCAAGTACAGTGCCAATACATTATCAGAGTTATAGTTTTTGTTTGCATTCCGACCGCAGGTATTGTGGTCAATGCAAACATGACTCCTTGTAAAAAAAAAAAGTGTCAGTTTTGTTGCCAGATAAAATGGGTAAAAAAACCAATTATCATATTGTGGTTCATTTGTGGCAATCGCTTTGGGTGCAATGAGCACGACCTCATAATGCTAAAGGTCGCCCTCATTGCACACAAACCAGAAGCCAACTGCAGTTCAACGAGCACCGGACGGACCCGGGTCGTGTTCTTGCAGTTCACGGCGATTCAATGCAGAGGTTCACGGTCCGGAACTGGCGGTCGTCCTGGTTATTACCGCGGGGGGTGGTTATGTTAACTGCGAATTACATAAAACACAACCACTCGAAGCTGGACGTCAGAGAGATCCTGTGACGCCACTGCGTGCCGGCATCAGGGTCCAAATAAATAAATAATTTGGCCGCAAATTACTCGATGGGAATTACACACACACACAAACAAAGCAGCAATCACTGCCCCCCCCCCCCCCCCTGCTAACAGATTCCGCCCGAAATCGCACCCACTTAACAAATCACGATGTGCTCATGGAAATTGTAAAAACTCTGCAGCAGCGTGTGACTGGTCATCCGGAAAACACTCGACAACAATGTCTGACGACTCAATGCCCCGATCCACAAATACCAAGGAGACATCACAGGGGCCGGAGACAACCACTCCCGCTTTGCTCCTGTGCGCAGTTGTCTGGCTTGAGCAACCTGAATTGTGACATTGAGGTTGTTGCTCTGCAAGTGCATCAGACAGACCAGGCCAAGGTGCTGAGTCACCCCCCCGTGTCGCACGGGGACAGCTGCCACTCGGGTTTGCCCCACTTTCAGATGTTTCGGATGTGACGGAGAGGCGCTCCGCACTCGCCCCTGCGTATCGGAGGGACGCGACAAATAAAAAAAACAAATTGGCATCATTGGCGGAACGCAGGGGCGGCCCCGCCTGACTCCTGCCAGGCTCGGCCTGGCGTGGAACCAAGCCCGTGCCCTCTCTGGCCCTGCCCCGTGCCTGTGCCCTGGCCCAACCGCTAGGCCATGCCCCCTCTGCTCCTGCCCAATCTCTGGGGCTTGCCCAGTCTCTGCTCCTGTCCCATCACGGGGCCCTGCCCAATATCTGGTTCTGCCCCATCCTTTGCCAATGCCCAATCCCCAGACAATGCCCCCTTTGATGTTGTTGGTTCATCCTTGGGCCATGCCCACTCACTGGACCGTGCTCCCTCTGCTGCTGCTTCATTCGTTGTGAATGCCCAATCCCCGGACCATGCCCCCTCTGATCCAACCTCATCAAGTTCGGCCCCCTTGGCTCCTGCCTCATCCCTGGGCCTTGCCCCTTCTGGCTCTGGCCGTGCCCCCTTGGGTCCTGCCTCGCACTTAACATTTGCCCCCCCCAACGCCGCTGCATACACGAGGCCTGTCCCTTCAAGGATCGACCCCTCTACTCCGGCCTCGTCCTTGCAGCTTGCCCTCTCTGGTCCTGTCGCATCCCTCTGCGCTCTCTCGTCTGACCCTTCCAGGTGCTGCCCTGCTGCCCCCTGGTCCCACACTGCCTCCTGGTCCCCGGCTGCTGCCCCCTGGTCCCACACTGCCCCCTGTTCCCCGGCCGCTGCCCCCGGGCGGGGGGCCGGCGGGTCGCCGAAGACGACGGCGTCCCCCGTGGAGCCGAAGACGCGGTCGAGGCGGCGCTCGCGGTCCCACACGCACTCCCCGCGCCAGCGGAGGCGACGCACGCGGTGCTGCGGCACGGCCAGCTCGCCGTGGGGGGCTCCCGCCAGCCCCCCCCACCAGAAGTCGAGGAAAGGGCGCTCCAGCTCCCCCAGGAAGCGGTCGACGTAGACGACGCTCCACTCGGCGGCGTCGAGCGTCTCGTCCCAGCGCACGCGCGACACCACGTCCCACGCCGTGCGCATCGCGGGAAGCTTTCCCTCGACGACGGGGCTAGCGGGGAGGATGCGGGGAGGGACACGGGCACGTGGGGAGAGACACGGGGAGAGGCACGGGCATGTGGGGAGAGACACGGGCACGTGGGTAGAGACACGGGGAGACACGGGCACGTGGGGAGAGACACGGGAGAGCCACGGGCATGTGGGGAGAGACACGGGCACGTGGGGAGAGACACGGGGGGAGACACGGGCATGTGGGGAGAGACACGGGCAGGTGGGGAGAGACGCGGGGAGACACGGGCACGTGGGGAGAGACACGGGGAGACACGGGGAGAGACACGGGGAGAGACACGGGAGAGACACAGGCATGTGGGGAGAGACACGGGAAGACACGGGCACGTGGGGAGAGACACGGGCACGTAGGGAGAGACACGGGGAGACACGGGCACGTGGGGAGAGACACGGGAGAGATACGGGCACGTGGGGAGAGACACGGGAGAGACACGGGCATGTGGGGAGAGACACGAGGGGACACGGGAGAGACACGGGGAGACACGGGCACGTGGGAAGAGACACGGGGAGAGACACGGGGAGACACAGGCACGTGGGGAGAGACACGGGGAGACATGAGGAGACACGGGGAGAGACAGGAGACATGGGGAGAGACACGGGAAGAAACGCGGAGAGAGGCGCGGGGGCACAGAGAGAGACGAGGAGAGACACGGGGATGGAAACCACGTGGCACACCGTGAGCATCTACGTAGTACGTTGAACTTCTTTCGCACCGTACGTAGTCAAACGTGCTCATCGGAGGTGCGGAAGTGGGGGAGGGGGATACGGGACAACAAGCTAAACACAACAACAACACGCAGTCCTAAATACACATTCCTGCGGAGGGAGCTGGTAGGAATGTCGGGTTGCTGGGTCAATGGCCAGGGTCAACGGCAGCACCACGTGGTGTATTCCGCAAATATGTCCGACTGTGAGGGCGGGCACAAGCCGGCGGAGTAGGTTACACGTTGAGTTTTATAAGGGCACCACGGGGTGACCAGCCCCTCCCCACCCAGTCCCACCCCTCCCATTTTTGGATGCACGACAGACGGACGGACACAATAAACCCTGTGGGCTGGTGTAACCAGGAGGTTCCTACCAGTACTAGTTTACAATCTCGATGATTTGAAAGTTCAAAAAAGCAAGCCTGAGAGCTCTCTCCCTCTCTCTCGGAGCGGGGGGGGGACAAGAGGGGAGGAGACGTGGAGGGTAACGCGATCACGTGATGGAGTGGTGGTGAGTGTGAGCTGTGGTGGTGAGTGTGAGCTGTGGTGGTGAGTGTGAGTAGTGGTGGTGAGTGTGAGTAGTGGTGGTGGTGAGTAGTGGTGGTGAGGGTGAGTTATGGTGGTGAGGGTGAGTAGTAGTGGTGGTGAGTGTGAGTAGTGGTGGTGAGTGTGAGTAGTAGTGGTGGTGAGGGTGAGTAGTGGTGGTGTGAGTAGTGGTGGTGAGGGTGAGTAGTGGTGGTGAGGGCGAGTAGTGGTGGTGGTGAGGGTGAGTAGTAGTGGTCGTTTGGGTGAGTAGTAGTGGTGGTAAGGGTGAGTAGTGGTGGTGGTGAGGAGTGGTGGTGGTGAGGGTGAGTAGTGAGGGTGAGGAGTGGTAGTGGTGAGGGTGAGGAGTGGTGGTCGTGAGGGTGAGGAGTGGTGGTGAAGGTGAGTTGTGGTAGTGAGGGTGAGTTCTGGTGGTGAGTGTGAGTTGTGGTGGTGAGTGTGAGTAGTAGTGGTGGTGAGTGTGAGTAGTGGTGGTGAGGGTGAGTAGTGGTGGTGGTGAGGGTGAGTAGTGGTCGTGGTGAGGGTGAGTAGTGGTGGTAGTGAGGGTGAGTAGTGGTGGTGATGTGGGTGAGTCGTGGTGGTGAGGGTGAGTCGTGGTGGTGGTGAGGGTGAAGAGTGGTGGTGAGGGTGAGTAGTAGTGGTGGTGAGGGTGAGTAGTGGTGGTGGTGAGGGTGAGTAGTGGTGGTGGTGAGGGTGAGTAGTGGTGGTGGTGAGGGTGAGTAGTGGTGGTGGTGGTGAGGGTGAGTAGTGAGGGTGAGGAGTGGTGGTGGTGAGGGCGAGTAGTGGTAGTGAGGGTTGAGTGGTGGTGGTGGTGGTGAGGGTGAGTAGTAGTGGTGGTGAGGGTGAGGAGTGGTGGTGAGTAGTGGTGGTAGTGAAGGTGAGGAGTGGTGGTGGTGAGGGCGAGTCGTGGTGGTGAGGGTGAGGAGTGGTGGTAGTGAGGGTGAGTAGTGGTGGTGGTGAGGGTGAGTCGTGGTGGTGAGGGTGAGTCGTGGTGGTGGTGAAGAGTGGTGGTCAGAGTGAGTAGTAGTGGTGGTGAGGGTGAGTAGTGGTGGTGGTGAGGGTGAGTAGTGGTGGTGGTGAGGGTGAGTAGTGGTGGTGGTGAGGGTGAGTAGTGGTGGTGGTGAGGGTGAGTAGTGGTGGTGGTGAGGGTGAGTAGTGGTGGTGGTGAGGGTGAGTAGTGGTGGTGGTGAGGGTGAGTAGTGGTGGTGGTGAGGGTGAGTAGTGGTGGTGGTGGTGAGGGTGAGTAGTGAGGGTGAGGAGTGGTGGTGGTGAGGGTGAGGAGTGGTGGTGGTGAGGGCGAGTAGTGATAGTGAGGGTGAGTGGTGGTGGTGAGGAGTGGTGGTAGTGAGGGTGAGTAGTGGTGGTGGTGTGGGTGAGTAGTGAGGGTGAGGAGTGGTGGTAGTGAGGGTGAGGAGTGGTGGTGGTGAGGGCGAGTAGTGGTAGTGAGGGTTGAGTGGTGGTGGTGGTGAGGGTGAGGAGTGGTGGTGGTGAGGGTGAGGAGTGGTGAGGGTGAGGAGTGGTGGTGGTGAGGGTGAAGAGTGGTGGTGAGGGTGAGTAGTGGTGGTGGTGAGGGTGAGTAGTGGTGGTGGTGGTGGTGAGGGTGAGTAGTGAGGGTGAGGAGTGGTGGTGGTGAGGGTGAGGAGTGGTGGTGGTGAGGGCGAGTAGTGATAGTGAGGGTGAGTGGTGGTGGTGAGGGTGAGGAGTGGTGGTAGTGAGGGTGAGTAGTGGTGGTGGTGTGGGTGAGTCGTGGTGGTGAGGGTGAGTCGTGGTGGTGAGGGTGAAGAGTGGTGGTGAGGGTGAGGAGTGGTGGTCGTGAGGGTGAGTAGTAGTGGTGGTGAGGGTGAGTAGTAGTGGTGGTGAGGGGTGAGTAGTAGTGGTGGTGAGGGGTGAGTGGTGGTGAGGGCGAGTCGTGGTGGTGAGGGTGAGGAGTGTTGGTAGTGAGGGTGAGTAGTGGTGGTGGTGTGGGTGAGTCGTGGTGGTGAGGGTGAGTCGTGGTGGTGGTGAGGGTGAAGAGTGGTGGTGAAAGTGAGTAGTGGTGGTGGTGAGGGTGAGTAGTGGTGGTGGTGGTGAGGGTGAGTAGTGAGGGTGAGGAGTGGTGGTGGTGAGGGTGAGGAGTGGTGGTGGTGAGGGCGAGTAGTGATAGTGAGGGTGAGTGGTGGTGGTGAGGGTGAGGAGTGGTGGTAGTGAGGGTGAGTAGTGGTGGTGGTGTGGGTGAGTCGTGGTGGTGAGGGTGAGTCGTGGTGGTGGTGAGGGTGAAGAGTGGTGGTGAGGGTGAGTAGTAGTGGTGGTGAGGGTGAGTGGTGGTGGTGAGGGTGAGGAGTGGTGGTCGTGAGGGTGAGTAGTAGTGGTGGTGAGGGTGAGTAGTAGTGGTGGTGAGGGTGAGGGGTGAGTAGTAGTGGTGGTGAGGGGTGAGTGGTGGTGAGGGCGAGTCGTGGTGGTGAGGGTGAGGAGTGTTGGTAGTGAGGGTGAGTAGTGGTGGTGGTGTGGGTGAGTCGTGGTGGTGAGGGTGAGTCGTGGTGGTGGTGAGGGTGAAGAGTGGTGGTGAGGGTGAGTAGTAGTGGTGGTGAGGGTGAGTGGTGGTGGTGAGGGTGAGGAGTGGTGGTCGTGAGGGTGAGTAGTAGTGGTGGTGAGGGTGAGTAGTAGTGGTGGTGAGTAGTAGTGGTGGTGAGGGTGAGGGGTGAGTAGTAGTGGTGGTGAGGGTGAGGGGTGAGTGGTGGTGATGGTGAGGGTGATTAGTAGTGGTGGTGAGGAGTGGTAGTGGTGAGGAGTGGTAGTGGTGCGGAGTGGTGGTGAGGGGTGGTGAGGGTGAGGAGTGGTGGTGGTGAGGAGTGGTGGTGGTGAGGGTGAGTAGTAGTGGTGGTGAGGGTGAGTAGTGGTGAGTGGTGGTGGTGAGGGTGAGTAGTGAGAAGTGAGGGTGAGGAGTGGTGGTGGTGAGGGTGAGGAGTGGTGGTGGTGAGGGTGAGGAGTGGTGGTGGTGAGGGTGAGTAGTGGTGGTGGTGAGGGTGAGTAGTGGTGGTGGTGAGGGTGAGTAGTGGTGGTGGTGAGGGTGAGTAGTGGTGGTGGTGAGGGTGAGTAGTGGTGGTGGTGAGGGTGAGTAGTGGTGGTGGTGAGGGTGAGTAGTGGTGGTGGTGAGGGTGAGTAGTGGTGGTGGTGAGGGTGAGTAGTGGTGGTGGTGAGGGTGAGTAGTGGTGGTGGTGGTGAGGGTGAGTAGTGAGGGTGAGGAGTGGTGGTAGTGAGGGTGAGGAGTGGTGGTGGTGAGGGCGAGTAGTGGTAGTGAGGGTTGAGTGGTGGTGGTGGTGAGGGTGAGTAGTGGTGGTGGTGGTGGTGAGGGTGAGTAGTGAGGGTGAGGAGTGGTGGTGGTGAGGGTGAGGAGTGGTGGTGGTGAGGGCGAGTAGTGATAGTGAGGGTGAGTGGTGGTGGTGAGGGTGAGGAGTGGTGGTAGTGAGGGTGAGTAGTGGTGGTGGTGTGGGTGAGTAGTGAGGGTGAGGAGTGGTGGTAGTGAGGGTGAGGAGTGGTGGTGGTGAGGGCGAGTAGTGGTAGTGAGGGTTGAGTGGTGGTGGTGGTGAGGGTGAGGAGTGGTGGTGGTGAGGGTGAGGAGTGGTGAGGGTGAGGAGTGGTGGTGGTGAGGGTGAAGAGTGGTGGTGAGGGTGAGTAGTGGTGGTGGTGAGGGTGAGTAGTGGTGGTGGTGGTGAGGGTGAGTAGTGAGGGTGAGGAGTGGTGGTGGTGAGGGTGAGGAGTGGTGGTGGTGAGGGCGAGTAGTGATAGTGAGGGTGAGTGGTGGTGGTGAGGGTGAGGAGTGGTGGTAGTGAGGGTGAGTAGTGGTGGTGGTGTGGGTGAGTCGTGGTGGTGAGGGTGAGTCGTGGTGGTGAGGGTGAAGAGTGGTGGTGAGGGTGAGGAGTGGTGGTCGTGAGGGTGAGTAGTAGTGGTGGTGAGGGTGAGTAGTAGTGGTGGTGAGGGGTGAGTAGTAGTGGTGGTGAGGGGTGAGTGGTGGTGAGGGCGAGTCGTGGTGGTGAGGGTGAGGAGTGTTGGTAGTGAGGGTGAGTAGTGGTGGTGGTGTGGGTGAGTCGTGGTGGTGAGGGTGAGTCGTGGTGGTGGTGAGGGTGAAGAGTGGTGGTGAAAGTGAGTAGTGGTGGTGGTGAGGGTGAGTAGTGGTGGTGGTGGTGAGGGTGAGTAGTGAGGGTGAGGAGTGGTGGTGGTGAGGGTGAGGAGTGGTGGTGGTGAGGGCGAGTAGTGATAGTGAGGGTGAGTGGTGGTGGTGAGGGTGAGGAGTGGTGGTAGTGAGGGTGAGTAGTGGTGGTGGTGTGGGTGAGTCGTGGTGGTGAGGGTGAGTCGTGGTGGTGGTGAGGGTGAAGAGTGGTGGTGAGGGTGAGTAGTAGTGGTGGTGAGGGTGAGTGGTGGTGGTGAGGGTGAGGAGTGGTGGTCGTGAGGGTGAGTAGTAGTGGTGGTGAGGGTGAGTAGTAGTGGTGGTGAGGGTGAGGGGTGAGTAGTAGTGGTGGTGAGGGGTGAGTGGTGGTGAGGGCGAGTCGTGGTGGTGAGGGTGAGGAGTGTTGGTAGTGAGGGTGAGTAGTGGTGGTGGTGTGGGTGAGTCGTGGTGGTGAGGGTGAGTCGTGGTGGTGGTGAGGGTGAAGAGTGGTGGTGAGGGTGAGTAGTAGTGGTGGTGAGTGGTGGTGGTGAGGGTGAGGAGTGGTGGTCGTGAGGGTGAGTAGTAGTGGTGGTGAGGGTGAGTAGTAGTGGTGGTGAGGGTGAGTAGTAGTGGTGGTGAGGGTAAGGGGTGAGTAGTAGTGGTGGTGAGGGTGAGGGGTGAGTGGTGGTGATGGTGAGGGTGATTAGTAGTGGTGGTGAGGAGTGGTAGTGGTGAGGAGTGGTAGTGGTGCGGAGTGGTAGTGGTGCGGAGTGGTGGTGAGGGGTGGTGAGGGTGAGGAGTGGTGGTGGTGAGGAGTGGTGGTGGTGAGGGTGAGTAGTAGTGGTGGTGAGGGTGAGTAGTGGTGAGTGGTGGTGGTGAGGGTGAGTAGTGAGAAGTGAGGGTGAGGAGTGGTGGTGGTGAGGGTGAGGAGTGGTGGTAAGTAGTGGTGGTAGTGAGGGTGAGGAGTGGTGGTGGTGAGAGCGAGGAGTGGTGGTGGTGAGGGTGAGTCGTGGTAGTAAGGGTGAGGAGTAGTGGTAGTGAGGGTGAGTAGTGGTGGTGAGGGTGAGTCGTGGTGGTGAGGGTGAGTAGTGGTGGTGGTGAGGGTGAGTAGTGGTGGTGGTGAGGGTGAAGAGTGGTGGTGAGGGTGAGTAGTAGTGGTGGTGAGGGTGAGTAGTAGTGGTGGTGGGGCTGAGTGGTGGTGGTGGTGGTGAGGGTGATTAGTAGTGGTGGTGAGGAGTGGTGGTGGTGAGGAGTGGTGAGGGTGAGGAGTGGTGGTGAGGGTGAGGAGTGGTGGTGGTGAGGAGTGGTGGTGGTGAGGAGTGGTGGTGGTGAGGGTGAGTAGTAGTGGTGGTGAGGGTGAGTAGTGAGAGTGAGGAGTGGTGGTGGTGAGGGTGAGGAGTGGTGGTGGTGAGGGCGAGTAGTGGTAGTGAGGGTGAGTAGTGGTAGTGAGGGTGAGTGGTGGTGGTGAGGGTGAGGAGTGGTGGTGGTGAGTAGTAGTGGTGGTGCGGGTGAGTAGTGGTGGTGGTGAGGAGTGGTGGTGAGGGTGAGGAGTGGTGGTCGTGAGGGTGAGTAGTAGTGGTGGTGAGGGTGAGTGGTAGTGGTGGTGAGTGGTGGTGGTGGTGAGGGAGATTAGTAGTGGTGGTGAGGAGTGGTGGTGGTGAGGAGTGGTGGTGGTGAGGGTGAGTAGTGGTGGTGAGGGTGAGTAGTGGTGGTGAGGGTGAGTGGTGGTGGCGAGGGTGAGTAGTAGTGGTGGTGCGGGTGAGTAGTGGTGGTGGTGAGGAGTGGTGGTGGTGAGGGTGAGTAGTGGTGGTGGTGAGGGTGAGGAGTGGTGGTGGTGAGGGTGAGTCGTGGTGGTGAGGGTGAGTAGTGGTGGTGAGGGTGAGTAGTGGTGGTGAGTAGTAGTGGTGGTGAGGGTGAGGAGTGGTGGTGGTGAGGGTGAGTAGTAGTGGTGGTGAGGGTGAGTAGTGGTGGTGAGTAGTAGTGGTGGTGAGGGTGAGGAGTGGTGGTGGTGAGGGTGAGTAGTGGTGGTGGTGAGGGTGAGTAGTGGTGGTGGTGAGGGTGAGTGGTGGTGAGGGTGAGTAGTAGTGGTGGTGAGGAGTGGTGGTGAGGGGTGGTGGTGGTGAGGGTGAGTGGTGGTGAGGGTGAGTGGTGGTGGTGGTGAGTGGTGGTGGTGGTGAGGGTGAGTGGTGGTGAGGGTGAGCCGTACCGGGGCGGGCTGCCCCTCCCCCCCGTGCCGTGGTGGAGGCTGCGGCACCGCGTCCCGAAGCGGCAATGGCCACGAGAGAAGAATTTACAGAGCGCGGCCTCCGCCGTGGGGCCCTCCATGCCTGCCTCCTCCGTCCTGGGCTCCTCCACGTTGGGCTCCTCCACGTTGGGCTCCTCCACCCTAGCCTTCTCCACCCTGGGCTCCTCCACGTTGGGCTCCTCCACGTTGGGCTCCTTCACACTAGGCTCCTTCACACTAGGCTCCTTCACACCAGGCTCCGCCACGTTGGGCTCCTCCACGTTGGGCTGCTCCACGTTGGGCTCCTCCACCCTGGGCCCGTCCATCTTGAGCTCCTCCACTCTCACTCTCGGGCCTTCAACACCAGCCCCCTCCGCACCTCGCTTCTCCGCCGTGGGCCCCTCCATCCTGAGTCCCGCCACTCCTGAATCCACCTCCACCACTGAGCACCTCCACCCCAGGGCCCCTCTCCACCTGTGGCTCGCTCCGTCCCAGGCTCCACTCCGCCTGTGTTTTTGCTCCTTGCTCCCCACCCTCTGTTAAGGATCTGTCACCTGGGGCGACTCACCTGGGCGTGACGTCACCTGGGGGGGGTGGTGACTCACCTGGGCGTGACGTCACATGGGCGGTGACTCACCTGGGCGTGACGTCACATAGGTCACTGCCCCCCTCTCTTCCCTCCACGCTTGCGAGAAACATCCGTGGTGGTGGTAGAGGGGTGGGGGTAGAGGGGTGGTGGAGGGGGGGTGCGAAAGAGCTTCATAGCTCGTCGGATTCCTCCAGTATGAGCAAATATTCTGATTCTGAACGGGCACGACACGGGCTGGTGAAGAGATGGAGCCGATGCGGTACTGGAGGACGTGGAGCTAAGTTGACTTACGACGGGTTAACCAGCGGTGTTAGGCTAAGAGGAGGCTCGTGAAGGACGCTGCTACCGGGCGCAGTGCCAGGCTAGGTGCACAGTGAGGCTGCTGGGCAGTTGGCGGCAGACGCCTTCCGGCAGCGGCGGAGCCGGCACGAGGAGCGACGCTGCTCACAACAACGAGCGCATTCGCCGGGCGGATAAAACGCAGCGAGTTTGGCATACGTGGTCGACAGCTGGTGGTGGCATCTGCCAAGCCCGTTCTCGGTCCGTTGAACCAATAACAACGCCGGGTTCGTGTCTCGTGACCTTCCGGCGGCTAGAGCAGCCGTGGACGCGTCACGTGGCCTCTCGCGGTGCACCGGGCCTGGCACGAGCGACCACGCCCCCCAGAACACACTGTCGTAAAGCGCTTTACGGCATCTCCACTCAAATCACCTTTACGCCGTAAAGTTGATATTCTTGGTTTCTTTCGGTAAAGTCACGTAGAAGGGAAACAATAAAATAATAAAAATATAAAACAATATTGTTTTATATATTTTTTATTGTTTTATATTTTTATTATTGCTTTATATTTTTATTATTTTATTGTTTCCCTTCTGTTTTATATTTTTTATCATTGTTTTCCTTCTACGTGGTGGTGACTTTACCGAAAGAACCAAGAATATGAATCCCTGCAGCCACGAAAACTTTAAAAGTTTAAATCAAAATTTAGCCGTAAAGTTGGTTTGACGTACACCGGCGCAGGGGGGGGCCTTGTTGCTTTACGACAGTGTCGTGAAGCGTTTCCAGTTGGGGGTCACGTGGTCGGCGGTGGGTTGAGGGAGGGAGGGTGACGTGACATTGGTGCTGAATTGATTCAATTTCCCTGCGGTTATCGATATCTATCAGTTCGGATTGATATAGATTTAAAGTCTTCGGAGCAATAATCTCTAGGCATCGATTACCTGAGATGAATCTCTTCTTGTGCGGCGCATATGTGATTTAATGTTGAGGTAAACCCAGTCCATGGATCGGCCAAAATCTTCAAATCGATAACTGTGGTCGATGAACTATTTAAAATTTCCCAGAAGCGACCCATGGCCATCACAAGTTGGGTCCATCAACGAAGTGGCATATCCATAGCTGCCAACTCCTTATCAGAGCCCTACCTGATTACAGACAAATCCAGACCTTATTGGTCACCCCGTTCCCCTTATAAATCTCAACGTTCATCCTACAAAGTCTCATCACAAGGGAGAAACACAGACAACAGGGGTTTTTTGGCGTCTTCTGGTCCAACACCAATGAAGACTAGGCTCTAAGAAAAGCCGTCTCGGGTGTGGACCAATCAAATTCAAGGACAGTGCATATTATTATCAGAGTTGTCTTTTTTGTTTGCATTTTGACTGCTTGTGTTGTGGCTATTGCAAACATGATGCCTTGAATAAAGGTGTCAGTTTTTGTGCCAGTTAAAAGGGTAAAACTTATTCCTATAACAAAACAGGTGTTAAGATATTCTTGCTTCTTTCGGTAAAGTCACGTAGAATGGAAATAATAAAAATATAAAACAATAAAATTCTCACGACGTTTCGACTGCAACACAAGCAATCATCATCAGGTGTGAAAACCACAGCAATGATGATGATTGCTTGTGTTGCAGTCGAAACGTCGTAAGAATTTTATTGTTTTATATTTTTATTATTTTATTGTTTCCCTTCTACGTGGTGACTTTACCGAAAGAACCAAGAATATGAATCCCTGCAGTCACGAAAGCTTTAAATCAGGTGTTAAGATGTTAAAACACCAAACTGAATCATGTCTACATTAACTACAATGCTTGTGGTTAGAATGCAAACAAAAACAGTACTCTGATAATATATGCATTGTCCTTGAAATTGAATGGTCCACACCAGAGACAGCTTCCTTTTAGCTGTAGGGAGGAAGCCCATGCAGAAGAGGGGACGTGGCATCATACAAACTCCAGTGTCAGGAATCGAACCCAGACGCCTTTCTCACTGCGAGCCGCCCCGATGGAGCCAGCCTGACCGATAAAATGCGTCGGAGCATCGAGTATTCAAAAGTACCACATGTCTCAGCTGTATTCAAACTCTTTTAATGACTTTGTTATAAAAGTGACTTATTTGTCTGTGTGCCCATAGGAAACGCACCGCTAATGGAAACACACAAACACACGCGTGGGTACCAAACAAAGACGGGACGGACACCGCATGAGTACTGGCAGACATATGGCAGACATGTAGCTCACACACGGACCGCACGTGTATCATGCACATGCCGCTCACGCGCGCCACACGCACTCACACCACACACTTTCACGTAACGCACCACACCAAACACACACAATACCGCTCACACCCACCGCACACACTATCAGACTCCACAAAGACAAAGTGTAGCCTTTAACAGACTGTTGGAGCAGGTGCTGTTAGCGAGCACCGATGAAGGCCGGAAGCGTACACGAGGGGGTGGGTGGCCAGCACCACGCCCGACCGCCTTTTTCTCCCCAGTGGCGATGTTTACACACCGCACCAGGTACTCATTTGAGTTTGAGTCGACCAAGGGGAGGCCCAAGACCGGTTCAGATAATCGTCACTGGCTCGCTAACCGCTACGCTACCGCTCCCCCACAACCTGACACCACACACACCACCACACACTTTCACTAAAAACCCCACCCCACTCACTCACTGTGCACACTATCAGACACCACACACACACACTCAACACACACACATGCGTACACTCAACACACACACACACACTGACCACGTGAGCCCCTCCGACATTGTGCCCACCACGTGCTTGTGCCCCGGGCAGTGTGGCGCCGCCGTGCGCTGTGCCGTGAGACTCGATCGTGCGACGGGGCTAGCGTGCAGGTGCCTTGCTGTGCTTTACGTCGTGTGCCGTGCGCCCGTGCCCCCCAATGCCCCCTCTGTACCCCTTTAACCCCGAACCCCCCCCCCCCACCCCGGGCTCCTACGTGACATCACCCCAGTCAGTACTTCCAGCTCCCGACCGGGGCCCTCGGAGTGCGGTCCGTGGCGCCAGCCGCCTTCCAGTACTCGAGGACGTCCAGCAGGTCGCCCAGTTCGTTGTGGCGGACCAGGTGCACCTTGTGCTGCAGGGCACGGCCCGCGGGGATCGCGGGGCCCCGAGGCGCCGCGGCACCACCGCGGCCGCCGCCGCCGCCGGAGAGACGGCGCCAAAGCCCCCGCGCGTGCCACGCCAGCGAGCGGCGAGCCGCCGGCGCCGTCCTCCCGCCGCCAGAGCCGCCAGAGCCGCCGCCGCCACGGGCCGCGGGGCTGCCCTCATCCAGCAGTAGAGCCTCGCACACGGGCAGCGGCGGCGGTCGGTCCTGCCCGTGCGAGCAGGTGGCGCGGGGCGGCTGGGCGGCGCCGGCGGCTCCCGCGGGGCCCAGGAGGGGGGCGCGGGTGGGGGAATCGTCGTCTTGCCGGGGCCCCGTCGCCGCCGCCGCGGCCGGCCCCCCCGCCGCGCCTCTGCCTCCGGCGCCGGCGGCGCCGAAGGGCGAGTCGGCACGCAGAGCGTCGATGCAGCTGTTGATGATGGAGTTGACGCGGTCGACCTCGCGCGCGATGGTGGAGATCTCCGGCGCGCCCACGCCCTGCACCACCTCCAGGTACGAGGCCGAGCCGCCCCCCTCGCCCGGCACCGCCTTGGGCCGCTCGCGCCCGGCGCCGACGGAAGAGGAGAAGCCGTCGCCAGGCGCCGGCTCCTCGAGCCCCGTGCATCGCACTTCCCCGTCCCCGGGTCCGGGACTTCTCGTCGCGGGGTCCCGGAGCCCAGGGTCTCGTATCCCGGGGTCGCGTGGCACGGGGTCCCACTGCGTGGAGACCCCGCGGAGGTCGCGGCTCTCCGCGCGGCGCCGCTTCCTGCGCCCGCGGACCATCGAGCGGCAGCAGCAGAAGCAGGAGGCGGCGGCGAGGAGTGCGGCGAGGGCGCAGGCGGCCGCGACCAGCGCCAGCGGGGGGGCGCCGGCGGCGCCGGGGCTGGCGCCGGGGCTGGCGCCGTCGTCCCCGGCGCCCGCGGTGGTGAAGGAGACGCAGGTGTGGTTGGTGCGGCGCGCGCCGTGCGTCACCGACACCACGCAGTAGGTGTAGCGGCGCGCGGGCGCCAGCCGCTCGTCTGTCACGTCCTCGCGCTGGTACCGCAGGGCGCACACGTCCCACCCGGGCGATGCTGCGCCCGCTGCGTAGCGCACCAGCATGTACATGCGGCCGAACGGCTGCGGCAGCGCCACGCGCAGCGTCGCGCTGCCGCGGCCGTGGCGCATTAACCGGAGCGTCGGCCCCTCCTCGGCGCGCTCGCCGGCCGACGCTGCCCCCGCCGGGGTCCCCACTGGCGCTCCCACCGAGGTTTTGCCCGGGGGGTTCCCCGCCGGGCCCCCGCCGCCGCCGGCGTCCGCCGGTCCCCAGCCCGAGCCGAACGAGGCGGCTTCGCCCTCTTGGCGCCGTCGTGAGTCGCCGCTGCCGTTTGCGCCGGCGCCTCCTCCGGCGCCGGCGCCTCCGCCGCCGCCGGCGCTTCCGCCGGCGCCGCCGACCCCTTCCCCCCGCTCCCCCGGCACGCAGCTCTCCGCGAGCCGCGCCGCCACCCCGCCGCCCCGCCGAAAGATCGGGCGGCCCCTCGCCTCGTGCGGCGTGGCGCACTGTATGCGCTCCCACGCCGAGCCGGGCTCCTCCGTGGGGTAGCGCGCGGCCAGCCAGCCGACGAGCGGCAGCAGCGCGCACGAGCAGTGGAACGGGTTTCCCTGCAGGTCGAGCGCGCGGAGGCCCCGGGGCCCGTCGATCGCCGACGGCTCCAGCGCCGACAGCCGGTTGGCGGCGAGGTCGAGCGACAGGAGCGCTCCGGTGCCGCGCAGCGCGTGCGGCGCCACGCTCTTGATGGCGTTCGCCTGCGCGGGGGGCGTGGGGGGCGGGGGAGGAGGAAGAGAGAGAGAGCCGGCGGTTCCGTTAGGAGTTTAGCGCGGCCGTTCCGTTCCGTACGTGCCGGGGCGATCTGCACGAGCGCCGTCCGACTCACCCGTCACAGACGGGCGGATGCGCAGACGGACCGAGAGAATGCCGGGGGTGGCCGCCAAGGTCACTGGACGTGAGAACAGGTCGGAGGTGCAGCCCTAAAATTACCGGTTCGTTCGAATGCTGCCGGTACAGCAGGGTGTGTGGACTAATCTCCATCTGTTCCATCTCACTTCTCCGTGGGTGGGGGTCGAAGAGAAGCTATACTCTGGCTCTGCCAGAAGGCGGCACCGCAAGTGAACTAGTCTCCATCTGTTCCATATTTTAGAAGGGATAGAGCATTTCCCCCTCGCGCAAGCTGTTGGTTTTCCTCCTCCCGCTTGTAGAACAAATTCCACTCATCATTCACTGGCTGACGACAACTCTCCACACCCCTACAACTCTCCACACCCCTGCTGGACATCTATGAAAAAGAGCTTCACAGCTCATCGGATTTCTCCAGGATAAATGAAGATTTTGATGCTGAGAGAGTGCTACGACTCGATGGCGTGGCTCAGACTCGAAATCTTTAGACTGCAGGAAGAGGAATCCGATGAGCTATGAAGCTCTTTACTCACAGATGTCCAGTAGGGGCACGGGGTTGGAACGTTACAGTGACAAACACAATACACAAACACGATAGGAGTGCAATTTTTTTTTTATCTTACCAGGTAAAGCTCATTGAGCTATTAACTTATTTTTCAGAAGCGACCTGGCTGTCACAAATGATAGCCCAACGAAGTGGCTTTTCATCACGTGATAGATAAGAACAGTTGGCTACGTACAGTGTGAAATAAGTTCTACATACATACAGACATACATGGAAATGTATAGCGGCAGCCAAATAACTATCGACGCACTTTGATTCTAAAATGTGGAGGGAAAACACCGGACCCAGAGAAAAATCCACGCGACCACGGAGAGAGAGAGAGAGGCACGCAAACTCAAAATATACAGCAGCAGGCGTCAGGATAGGGATCGAACCCACGACTTCCTGTATACCAGGCGAGGTAGTTAACATCTCACCACGGAGAGACACGCAAACTCAAAATATATAGCAGCAGGCGTCAGGGTCAGGATCGAACCCACGACCTCCTGTATACAAGGCGAGGTAGTTAACATCTCACCATGGAGAGAGAGACACGCAAACTCAAAATATGCAGCAGCAGGCGTCAGGATCGGGATCGAACCCACGACTTCCTGCATACCAGGCGAGGTAGTTAACATCTCACCACGGAGAGACACGCAAACTCCAAATATATACGGCAGCTGTCAGGGTCGGGATCGAACCCACGACCTCCTGCATACCAGGCGAGGTAGTTAACATCTCACCACGGAGAGAGAGACGCGCAAACCCCAAATATACAGGAGCAGGCATCGTCAGGGTCGGGATCGAACCCACGATCGACGGACGCGGCGATGAGGTCGCGCCCGCGCGTGCGCCACTGCTGACCTGCAGGTACAGCTCGCGCAGGCGGGGCAGCCCGGAGAAGGTGAGCGCCGTGACGAGCGCCAGCCGGTTGTTGCCCAGGCGCAGCACCAGCAGCTGCGACTGAGCCGAGAAGGCGGAGTCCTCGATGCGCCCGATGTGGTTGCGCGACAGGTCCAGGTAGCGCAGCTCGGCGTAACGCGCCAGCGACTCGCGGCCCACCTGGCGGAATCGGTTCGTTACTTTATTATTACGACCAAGTGTAAGGCCCCACTGAGCTACGTAGCTCCTTTCATGAAGGGGGCAAGGCCATCACAAATGATAGCCCAACGAAGTGGCACATTGCGTGGGAATGTATAGCAGCCGAATAACTCTAAAGCAGGGGTCGGCAAACCAAAATGACGATTAGACATTTTTGTCCGAATTCGGTAAGAAACGCAATATTTAAAGAGCCGCAATGCACGTGATGAATACCGGCTCGTCAATAAAGAGGTCACCTCGTCGTCATCTCCACCTCACGGTCACCTCGTCACCACCTCGTCGCCACCTCACGGTCACCTCGTCGTCATCTCCCCCTCACGGTCATCTCGTCACCACCTCGTTGCCATCTCACGGTCACCTCGTCGCCACCTCACGGTCACCTCGTCGTCATCTCCACCTCACAGTCACCTCGTCACCATCTCGTCGCCACCTCACGGTCACCTCGTCGTCATCTCCACCTCACGGATCACCTCGTCACCACCTCGTCGCCACCTCACGGTCACCTCGTCGTCATCCCTCGGCGATCTTGACGAGGTCAAGACGAGGTCAAGACGAGGTCAAGACGAGGTCAAGACGAGGTCAAGACGAGGTCACCTCGTTTACAAAGTCACCTCGTCGTCCCCACCTCGCTCGCGTTCGCCCCACCTCGGCGATCTTGTTGCGGTTGAGGCGCAGGTCGGACACGGTGCGGTTGAGGTCCCGCGGCACCGAGTCGAAGGGCGGGATGTTCTGGCTGCAGATGGCCTGCGCCAGCAGGCCACGCTCATCCTCCACGGTCCAGCAGTCGCCCGCCACTCGCCCCGGGAGCATCGCCACGATCACCGCCACCGGCAGCAGTAGCGATGGTCGCGAGGTGCGCATTGCTGTCCTGCTGCTCAATGCCGGGCAATGCAATGCACGTGCGGGCGCGCGCGCGGCCTCAATGTGCACCTGGCCTGGCGCAAGCGGCGCCGCGGTGACTTCACCGTCGCTTAGTGGCTAAAGGCGGGTATTGGTGTAGTGTTGAACTTCTTTCGTGCCGTACGTAGCCAACCGTGCCAATTAGAGTGTAGCGCAGTGTATAGTCGAGTGTATAGTGTAGTGTGTAGTAGTGTACTTCAGTTGAGTGTGTAGTGTGCAGTAGTTTGTATTACTCTATGTTGAACTTCTTTCGCGCCGTACGTAGCCAACCGTGCTAATCGGAGTGTAGTGGAGTGCATAGAAGTGTCGTGTGTAGTGTATAGTCTAGTGTTTGGAAGTGCAGTAGTGTATAGTAGTTTACTGTATAGTAGTATGTTGAACTTCTTTCGCACAGTACGTAGCCGACCGTGTTAATCAGAGTGTATCGTAGTGTAGAGTAGTACGTATATACGCCGAACTTCTTTCGCACCGTACGTAGCCAACCGTGCTTATCGGAGGCGCGTGCGTGTTTGTGTGATGCGCCTACAGCACTTGCCCCTGGCAGTGTGTTAAGGCTATTCGGGGGATCTTTGCCTCGATGTTCGTGAGTCCGGTAAGCGGTGGTGCAGTGGTCAGCGCCTCGCTGCACCACGAACCCCGGCGGCGAACCTGAGTTGCATTCCCGTTCCCCTAGGTCAACTCAGCCCTATATGAAAAGAGAGTACCTAGTGCGGTGTGTAAAAACATCAGCACTGGAGAGACAAAGGCGGCCCGGCGTGGTGCTGCTGGCCACTCAGCCACTCGTGTGCCTTGCCGGCCTTCATAGGTGCTGCTACTCGCTAACGGCACTTGACCCAGAAGTCTATGAAAGGCTATATGGGGGGTCTTTGTCTTTGTGATGCGTGTTGTAGTGACGTGTGTGCGTCACAGTGCTAGTGTTGTGTGTTACAATGCTGGTGTTCTGTGTGTGTCACAATGCTAGTGTTGTGTGTGTCACAGTGCTAGTGCTGTGTGTTACAGTGCTAGTGCTGTGTGTTACAGTGCTAGTGCTGTGTGTTACAATGTTAGTGTTCTCTGTGTGTGTTACAGTGCTAGTGTTCTGTGTGTTACAATGCTAGTGCTGTGTGTTACAGTGATAGTGCTGTGTGTTACAGTGCTAGTGCTGTGTGTTACAGTGCTAGTGCTGTGTGTTACAGTGCTAGTGCTGTGTGTTACAATGTTAGTGTTCTGTGTGTTACAATGCTAGTGCTATGTGTTACAATGTTAGTGTTCTCTATGTGTGTTACAGTGCTAGTGTTCTGTGTGTTACAATGCTAGTCTTGTGTGTTACAGTGCTAGTGCTGTGTGTTACAGTGCTAGTGCTGTGTTACAGTGCTAGTGCTGTGTGTTACAATGTTAGTGTTCTGTGTGTTACAATGTTAGTGTTCTGTGTTTTACAGTGCTAGTGCTGTGTGTTACAGTGTTAGTGCTGTGTGTTACAGTGCTAGTGTTCTCTGTGTGTTACAGTGCTAGTGCTGTGTGTTACAATGCTGGTGCTGTGTGTTACAGTGCTAGTGTTCTGTGTGTTACAATGCTGGTGTTCTCTGTGTGTTACAATGCTAGTGCTGTGTGTTACAATCCTAGTGTTCTCTGTGTGTCACAGTGCTAGTGCTGTGTTACAATGTTAGTGTTCTCTGTGTGTCACAGTGCCAGTGCTGTGTGTTACAATGCTAGTGATGTGTGTTACAATGCTAGTGCTGTCTGTGTCACAGCCCTCGTGATTTCCGTGTTGCGGTCTCCAGTCGCTGTGCTTATAATCCCTAATTCCTGCTGCACACGTACACACACACACGTGTACATGTCACACACACATACACATCAATCAATATTTATAGGGGCGTTAAGCAATACGCATTTAACACACGTGTGGAATACATAAGACGCGGAGGGCGTTCAGTTGAACATATCAGTGGAGCGAGGCTCTCGATGCAAAACGTAATCCATCAAAAAGCACGAGCTTACATCACAATTAACATGGGTCACCGTACCAGCAGTCACGTGTACGCGCAGATGCCCGGGTTATAATCTTCAACAACAGACTGCCGGAGCAAGTGTCACGAGCGACAAACCAAGTACACAGACTGAAGATGCCCTCTGTAACCTTTTTTAACAGAATGTTGGGGGCAAGCGCCTTTAGCGAGCAGCAGCAGCTATTAAAGGCCGGTCACGGCTCACGAGGGGGTGGGTGGCCAGCACCACGCCCGGCCGCCTTTGTCTCCCCAGTGGCGATGATTACACACCGTACCAGCTACTCATTTGAGGCTGAGTCGACCTAGGGAATACCCCATAACCAGGTTCTGATAATCGTCACCGGTGTTGACCGTGAGCGTGAATCGAACTCGGGTAGCCGGGTTCATAGCGCAGCGCGCTAAACGCTGACACTACACGTACATACAAAGACAAAGATCCCCCATATAGCCTTCACAGGCTGTTGGGGCAAGTGCTGTTAGCGAGCACCGATGAAGGCAGGCACGGCACAGGAGGGGGTGGGTGGCCAGCACCACGCCCGGTCGCCTTTGCATCCCTAGTCACGATATTTACACACCGCACGAGGTACTCATTTGAGGCCGAGTCGACCTAGGAGAGGCCCAGGACCGCTTTACACTGCATGTACACTCGATAACATGTACACACAGGTTTACCAACATACACACAGGTTTACCAACATACAGACAGGTTTACCAACATACACACACGTTTACCAACACGTGGACACACGCACACACACGCACACACACGTACACGCACACACACGTACACGCACACACGCGCGCGCGTACACGCGCGCGCGTACACGCGCGCGCGTACGCACGCACGCGCGCGCACACACGCGCGCACACACGCGACACGCAAACAAACGCGACACGCTGGTCACGTACGGAAGGTGGCTGGAGGAGATGGAGGAGAGCGAGAGATGTGCGGATGAGAGGTGCGGATGAGAGATGGATGGGGATGAGAGAGGGGAAGGTTGGGGGGGGGGGCGATACAGGGGGAGGGGGGCTTGTAAAAAGAAGAGGGGGGCTTGTAAAAAGAGGAGGGAGGAGACGACAGGCAGAGATTGAGCAGGAGCGTGAGAGCGGGAGGAATGCTTGAGCGTGCATTCAGAATGCACGAGAAGAATGGGAAAACGGACTAGGAGGGAAAGAGTGAATGGAGTAGGGAGAGGTTAGAGGTGGGGGGGGGGGTTAGAGGAGAAGGGAGGGATGAGAATGGAGGAGGAGGAGGGGTGAGGTGGGGAGATAGAGGGAGATGAGCAGCAGCAGCAGTAATCTCCGGGAATCCCATCACTGTCCGTCCATCAAGACAAACCACGCGGGGACTGAGACCCCCCCCCCCACAGCCCCCTCCCCTACTTACCCCACAGGGGAGATGGGGAAACAGAGAGGGGAAACAGAGCGGGAGAGACGGCGGGATGGGGAGAGGAGGGGGGGGGAAGACAAAGGTGGACGTGCAGGGAGACAGGAGGAGAGAGAGGTGGGGGGCGGGAGGTAACAAGGAGGTGATGGAGAGAGAGGAGGGGCAGGCGGGGAGAGGGATTTGCGGGATGAGGATGGAGGGAGAGACAGAAGGAGAGGGGGAAGGGAAGTGTGAGATGGAGAGAGAGAGAGAGACAAGGAGAGAGGCTGACGGCGGTGGGGGTGGGAGAGAGACGTGAGTGTGACGCGAGGGAGAATAAGGTCTGGGCGGAGCGTGAGAGGGATGGAGATGAGGGAGAGACAAGGGAAGAGTGAGAGAGCGGGGAGACCTGCTCGTGAAGAGACAGCAGCAGCAGCAGCAGGAGGAGAGAGGAGGAGGAGAGGGGGGGGGTGGTGCTCCGCTTCAACTGCTTGTGGGGGGCCCCACGAGGCTCAGGCTCCCCGTCTGCGAGTCGCGCGGAGCCGTCCCCGAACCTCGTCCATCATCATCGTCGTCATCGTCGTCGTCTCCAGCTGCTTGCCGTCCTCCTCCTCATCCTCATCCCGGGATAACGAGCCGTGACGTCACCGCTCTGCACGTCGCGCTCACGTGACGAGGCGGCGCGACACATCGCACCTCCACACATCGCAACGCATTACATCATCATCACCATCACATTACATCATCACCATCATCACCATCACACTACATCGTCACCATTATCACCATCACATTACATCACCATCATCACCATCACATTACATCACTATCATCACCATCACATTACATCATCACCATCACACTACATCATCACCATCGTCACCATCACATTACATCATCACTATCATCACCATCACATTACATCATCACCATCACACTACATCATCACCATCATCACCATCACACTACATCATCACCAACATCACCATCACACTACATCATCACCATCACACTACATCATCACCATCACACTACATCATCACCATCACATTACAACATCATCATCACACTACATCATCACCATCACATTACATCATCACTATCATCACCATCACATTACATCATCACCATCACACTACATCATCACCATCACACTACATCATCACCATCACACTACATCATCACCATCATCACCACACTACATCATCACCATCACTACATCATCACCATCACACTACATCATCATCACCATCACACTACATCGTCACCATAATCACCATCACACTACATCATCACCATCACACTACATTATCACCATCACACTACATCATCACCATCACACTACATCATCACCATCACATTACATCATCACCATCACTACATCATCACATTACATCATCACCATCACACTACATCATCACCATCATCACCATCACACTACATCATCACCATCACACTACATCATCACCATCACACTACATCATCACCATCACACTACATCACCATCACACTACATCATCACATTACATCATCACCATCACACTACATCATCACCATCACACTACATCATCACCATCACACTACATTATCATCACACCAGATTATCGCCATCATCACTTCACATTACCACCATCATTACACCACATCACGTTACAACACTAAATCACATCACATAGATTACATTACATATCACACTACAACACTAAATGACATCACATGCATATCACATTACACATCATAACACTAAATCACATCACATACATTACATCACATTACACATCACAACACTAAATCGCATTTTATAAATCACATTACATACGTCAGATGACAAATGAAATATCTAAATCACATTTTATAAATCACGTCACATACATGATATCACATTACACATCACAACACTAAATCACATGTTAAAAATCACATCATATACATTACACATCACATTACATAAAAACGCGTCATTACACCACATTACACATCACATTACACATCACATTACAGTACAAATAGCACGTGTCATTACACCACATTGCACATCATCACACGCGTCACATTACACGTGACACCATGTCGCATGGGGTCATATCGTCCACCGCACTGCCTTCTACATCACAATAAAACATCACGTGGCACGTCGTACGACGTAAACTATTTACCACAATTTTTTAAAACATTTTTTTTTTACCAGATAAGGCCGCACTGATGCTAGCTATATCGATCTATTTCAGAAGCGACCTGGCCAAACATGATCGCCCAACGAAGTGGTTTATCACGTGGACATTTATAACAGCCAAAGGCATCTCTGAATGGGTGACGTTCGTTCGAAACGTGGAGGGGGGGGGGGGGGAAACCCCAGGACCCGGAGAAAAATCCACGTGACCACGGGGAGAGAGAAAGAGAGACGCAAACTCCAAATATACAACAGGGGTCAGGGTCAAAGGGCCCGTCCATAAATGACGTCACGCGATTTTGGACGATTTTTGACCCCCCCCCCACCCCTCGTCACACGGCGTTACAAAAAGTCAGACCCCCCACCTCCTTTCAAATATGACGTCACAAAGCTCTCCCCCCCCAAAAAAATAAAACACGCTTTAAACGATTGTCATTGTAGCGCGTATTTAATATGGCGCTGCACTCTGATGTTGTAGGAGAAAACATTTATTAAAAAGTATATTTAATTAAGTAGAACGTGTCGTCTATACTTATTTAAAGTTGCGCATTTTGATGTGACGTCACATTTCTCAAACCACCCCCCCAGGTGCGTGACGTCATTTATGGACGGCCCCAAACCCACGATCTCCTGTGTACCCCGCAAGGTAGTTAACATTGCACCACAGCAGTATATGGGCACCCACCGAGGCACCAGTGACCGTTAAAGTCCTCACACTTAAATTTAATTTAATATACAGCATAGAGTAATTGTTTCTTAAAGTGGCACGTGTTCCACGTTATAACAGGGTGCGTGATCCACGTTATAACAGGGTGCGTGTTCCACGTTATAACAGGACGCGCGTTCCACGTTATAACAGGGTGCACATTCCACGTTATAACAGGACGCGCGTTCCACGTTATAACAGGGTGCGTGTTCCACGTTATAACAGGACGCGTGTTCCACGTTATAACAGGACGCGCGTTCCACGTTATAACAGGGTGCGTGTTCCACGTTATAACAGGGTGCACGTTCCACGTTATAACAGGGTGCACGTTCCACGTTATAACAGGACGCGTGTTCCACGTTGTAACAGGACGCGCGTTCCACGTTATAACAGGGTGCACATTCCACGTTATAACAGGACGCGTGTTCCACGTTATAACAGGGTGCGTGTTCCACGTTATAACAGGACGCGCGTTCCACGTTATAACAGGACGCGTGTTCCACGTTATAACAGGGTGCACATTCCACGTTATAACAGGGTGCGTGTTCCACGTTATAACAGGGTGCGTGTTCCACGTTATAACAGGACGCGCGTTCCACGTTATAACAGGGTGCGCGTTCCACGTTATAACAGGACGCGCGTTCCACGTTATAACAGGACGCGCGTTCCACGTTATAACAGGGCGCGTGTTCCACGTTATAACAGGGTGCACGTTCCGCGTTATAACAGGACGCGTGTTCCACGTTATAACAGGACGCGTGTTCCACGTTATAACAGGGTGCACGTTCCACGTTATAACAGGGTGCGTGTTCCACGTTATAACAAGGTGCGTGTTCCACGTTATAACAGGGTGCGCGTTCCACGTTATAACAGGGTGCGTGTTCCACGTTATAACAAGGTGCGTGTTCCACGTTATAACAGGGTGCGCGTTCCACGTTATAACAGGGCACGTGTTCCACGTTATAACAGGGTGCGTGTTCCACGTTATAACAGGGTGCGCGTTCCACGTTATAACAGGACGCGCGTTCCACGTTATAACAGGACGCGTGTTCCACGTTATAACAGGGTACACGTTCCACGTTATAACAGGGCGCGTGTTCCACGTTATAACAGGGTACACGTTCCACGTTATAACAGGGTGCACGTTCCGCGTTATAACAGGACGCGTGTTCCACGTTATAACAGGGTGCACGTTCCACGTTATAACAGGACGCGTGTTCCACGTTATAACAGGACGCGTGTTCCACGTTATAACAGGGTACACGTTCCACGTTATAACAGGGTGCGTGTTCCACGTTATAACAGGGTACACGTTCCACGTTATAACAGGGTGCGTGTTCCACGTTATAACAGGGTGCGTGTTCCACGTTATAACAGGGTGCGTGTTCCACGTTATAACAGGGTGCACGTTCCAAGTTATAACAGGACGCGCGTTCCAAGTTATAACAGGGTACACGTTCCAAGTTATAACAGGACGCGTGTTATTTCGTTGCGCGTTCCGCGCGTTGTAACGGCGCGCTGCGCGAAAATTGCTCCCGAATGCAAGAGCCGCGTTATGTGCGAAAACGCGTTGTAGTGCGAACGCCGCCACGGCGCGCGTTAAGCGAGGACTTGCCCTGCGGGGCACTCCCATCACCACTGACTGGCAGAGGCAGCGAGCACATTGCTCCGCTCCCTGCCGCCGCTGCTGCACGGTGCCTGGGGCCACAGCGGAGTCATCGCTTACACCCGGGCAGCAGCAGCAGCATCACGTGCACTACGATGCAGTGGCGGGGGGCATGGAATGGCTTGCTATAGTGGCGCTCGTTCGGACCCCTAGACTCGCACAGAGACCCGTAGACTCGCACAGAGACCCATAGACTCGCACAGAGACTCATAGACTCGCACAGAGACCCATAGACTCACACAGAGACCAATACACTCACACAGAGACTCATAGACTCGCACAGAGACCCATAGACTCGCACAGAGACACATAGACTAGCACAGAGACCCATAGACTCAAACAGAGACTCATAGACTCAAACAGAGACCCATAGACTCACATAGAGACCCATAGATTCACATAGAGACCCATAGACTCACATAGAGATCCATAGACTCGCACAGAGACCCACAGACAAGCACAGAGACTCATAGACTCGCACAGGGACCCATAGACTCGCACAGAGACCCATAGACTCGCACAGAGACTCATAGACTCACATAGAGACCCATAGACTCGCACAGAGACCCATAGACTCGCACAGAGACCCATAGACTCGCACAGAGAACCATAGACTCGCACAGAGACTCATAGACTCGTACAGAGACCCATAGACTCACACAGAGACCCATAGACTCGCACAGAGACTCATAGACACACATAGAGACCCATAGACTCACACAGATACCCATAGACTCACACATAGACATATAGACTCACACAGAGATCTACAGACTCACACAGAGACCCATACACTCACACAGAGACACATAGACTCACACAGACACATAGACTCACACAGAAACCCATAGACTCACACAGAGACCCATAAACTCACACAGAGACACACAGACTGACACAGAGACCCATAGTATCACACATAGACCCATAGACTCACACAGAGACCCATAGACTCGCACAGAGACCATAGACTCAAACAGAGACACATAGACTCGCACAGGTGTACAGTTCAGGTGGTGTATACAGTTCAGGTGTTATACACACAGGTGTACAGTTCAGGTGTTATACACACAGGTGTACAGTTCAGGTGGTGTACACACAGGTGTACAGTTCAGGTGTTATACACACTGGTGTATACAGTTCAGGTGTTATACACACAGGTGTACAGTTCAGGTGTTATACACACTGGTGTATACAGTTCAGGTGGTGTACCCACAGGTGTACAGTACAGGTGGTGTACACACAGGTGTATACAGTTCAGGTGTTATACACACAGGTGTACAGTTCAGGTGGTGTACACACAGGTGTACAGTTCAGGTATTATACACACAGGTGTACAGTGCAGGTGGTGTACACACAGGTGTACAGTTCAGGTGGTGTACACACAGGTGTACAGTTCAGGTGTTATACACACAGGTGTACAGGTCAGGTGGTGTACACATAGGTGTACAGTTCAGGTGGTGTACACAGGTGTACAGTACAGGTGTTGTACACACAGGTGTACAGTACAGGTGGTGTACACACAGGTGTACAGTTCAGGTGTTATAAACACAGGTGTACAGTTCAGGTGTTGTAAACACAGGTGTACAGTACAGGTGGTGTACACACAGGTGTACAGTTCAGGTGGTGTACACACAGGTGTACAGTACAGGTGATGCTCTCACAGGTGTACAGTACAGGTGGTGTACACACACGTGTACAGTTCAGGTGTTGTACGCACAGGTGTACAGTACATGCGGTGTACACACAGGTGTACAGTTCAGGCGGTGTACACACAGGTGTACAGTACAGGTGGTGTACACACAGGTGTACAGTACAGGTGGCGTACACACGGGTGTGCAGTACAGGTGGCGTACACACAGGTGTACAGTACAGGTGGCGTACACACAGGTGTACAGTACAGGTGTTGTACACACAGGTTTACAGTTCAGGTGTTGTACACATGGGTGTACAGTACAGGTGGTGTACACACAGGTGTACAGTTCAGGTGTACAGTACAGATGGTGTACACACATGCGTACAGTACAGGTGGTGTACACACAGGTGTACAGTTCAGGTGTTCTACACACAGGTGTACAGTTCAGGTGGTGTAAACACTGGTGTACTGTTCAGGTGGTGTACACACAAGTGTACAGTACAGGTGGTATACACACAGGTGTACAGTACAGGTGGTATACACACAGGTGTACAGTTCAGGTGTTGTACACACAGGTGTACAGTTCAGGTGTTGTACACACAGCTGTACAGTTCAGGTGGTGTACACACAGGTGTACAGTTCAGGTGTTGTACACACAGGTGTACAGTACAGGCGGTGTACACACAGGTGTACAGTTCAGGTCTTGTACACACAGGTGTACAGTTCATGTGATGTACACACAAATGTACAGTACAGGTGGTATACACACAAGTGTACAGTACAGGTGGTGTACACACGGGTGTACAGTTCAGGTGTTGTACACACAGGTGTACAGTACAGGTGTTGTACACACAGGTGTACAGTACAGGTGGTGTACACACAGGTGTACAGTACAGGTGGTATACACACAGGTGTACAGTTCACGTGGTGTACACACAGGTGTACAGTACAGGTGGTGTACACACAGGTGTACAGTTCAGGTGTTGTACACACAGGTGTACAGTTCAGGTGTTGTACACACAGGTGTACAGTACAGGTGGTGTACACACGGGTGTACAGTACAGGTGGTGTACACACAGGTGTACAGTTCACGTGGTGTACACACAGTTGTACAGTTCACGTGGTGTACACACAGTTGTACAGTTCACGTGGTGTACACACAGTTGTACAGTACAGGTGTTGTACACACAGGTGTACAGTTCAGGTGGTATACACACAGGTGCGAAGTTCACGTATTATACACACAGGTGTACAGTACAGGTGTTGTACACACGGGTGTACAGTTCAGGTGTTATACACACTGGTGTATACAGTTCAGGTGTTATACACACAGGTGTACAGTTCAGGTGGTGTACACACAGGTGTACAGTTCAGGTGGTGTACACACACGTGTACAGTTCAGGTGTTATACACACAGGTGTACAGTTCAGGTGGTGTACACACAGGTGTACAGTTCAGGTATTATACACACAAGTGTACAGTACAGGTGTTGTACACACGGGTGTACAGTTCAGGTGTTATACACACTGGTGTATACAGTTCAGGTGTTATACACACAGGTGTACAGTTCAGGTGTTGTACACACAGGTGTACAGTTCAGGTGTTGTACACACAGGTGTACAGTACAGGTGGTGTACACACAGGTGTACAGTTCACGTGGTGTACACACAGTTGTACAGTACAGGTGTTGTACACACAGGTGTACAGTACAGGTGGTGTACACACAGGTGTACAGTTCAGGTGGTGTACACACACGTGTACAGTACAGGTGGTGTACACACAGGTGTACAGTTCAGGTGGTATACACACAGGTGCGAAGTTCACGTATTATACACACAGGTGTACAGTACAGGTGTTGTACACACGGGTGTACAGTTCAGGTGTTCTACACACAGGTGTACAGTACAGGTGGTGTATAGACATGTGTACAGTACAGGTGATGTACACACAGGTGTACAGTACAGGTGGTGTACACACAGGTGTACAGTTCAGGTGGTGTACACACAGGTGTACAGTACAGGTGATGTACACACAAGTGTACAGTACAGGTGGTATCCACACAGGTGTACAGTACATGTGGTGTACACACAGGTGTACAGTACAGGTGGTGTACACACAGGTGTACAGTACAGGTGGTGTACACACAGGTGTACAGTACAGGTGGTGTACACACGGGTGTACAGTACAGGTGGTGTACACACGGGTGTACAGTACAGGTGTTGTACACACAGGTGTACAGTACAGGTGGTGTACACACAGGTGTACAGTTCACGTGGTGTACACACAGTTGTACAGTACAGGTGTTGTACACACAGGTGTACAGTACAGGTGGTGTACACACAGGTGTACAGTTCAGGTGGTGTACACACACGTGTACAGTACAGGTGGTGTACACACAGGTGTACAGTTCAGGTGGTATACACACAGGTGCGAAGTTCATGTATTATACACACAGGTGTACAGTACAGGTGTTGTACACACGGGTGTACAGTTCAGGTGTTCTACACACAGGTGTACAGTACAGGTGGTGTATAGACATGTGTACAGTACAGGTGATGTACACACAGGTGTACAGTACAGGTGGTGTACACACAGGTGTACAGTTCAGGTGGTGTACACACAGGTGTACAGTACAGGTGATGTACACACAAGTGTACAGTACAGGTGGTATCCACACAGGTGTACAGTACATGTGGTGTACACACAGGTGTACAGTACAGGTGGTGTACACACAGGTGTACAGTACAGGTGGTGTACACACAGGTGTACAGTACAGGTGGTGTACACACGGGTGTACAGTACAGGTGGTGTACACACAGGTGTACAGTACAGGTGGTGCACACACAGGTGTACAGTACAGGTGGTGTACACACAGGTGTACAGTTCAGGTATTGTACACACAGGTGTACAGTTCACGTGGTGTACACACAGTTGTACAGTACAGGTGGTGTACACACAGGTGTACAGTACAGGTGGTGTACACACAGGTGTACAGTTCAGGTATTGTACACACAGGTGTACAGTTCACGTGGTGTACACACAGGTGTACAGTACAGGTGGTGTACACACGGGTGTACAGTACAGGTGGTGTACACACGGGTGTACAGTACAGGTGTTGTACACACAGGTGTACAGTACAGGTGGTGTACACACAGGTGTACAGTACAGGTGGTGTACACACAGGTGTACAGTACAGGTGGTGTACACACAGGTGTACAGTTCAGGTATTGTACACACAGGTGTACAGTTCACGTGGTGTACACACAGTTGTACAGTACAGGTGGTGTACACACAGGTGTACAGTACAGGTGGTGTACACACAGGTGTACAGTACAGGTGGTGTACACACAGGTGTACAGTTCAGGTGGTGTACACACACAGGTGTACAGTTCAGGTGTTGTACACACAGGTGTACAGTTCACGTGGTGTACACACAGGTGTACAGTTCACGTGGTGTACACACAGTTGTACAGTACAGGTGTTGTACACACAGGTGTACAGTTCACGTGGTGTACACACAGGTGTACAGTACAGGTGGTATACACACAGGTGTACAGTTCACGTGGTGTACACACAGGTGTACAGTTCACGTGGTGTACACACAGGTGTACAGTACAGGTGGTATACACACAGGTGTACAGTTCACGTGGTGTACACACAGGTGTACAGTTCACGTGGTGTACACACAGGTGTACAGTTCACGTGGTGTACACACAGTTGTACAGTTCACGTGGTATACACACCGATGTGAAGTGCAGTAGGCTCACCACGTGCTTGCCGAGCGTCAACGTCGACTTCACTCGGTCGCAACTTCTTTCACTTCCTTGTGCCGAAGGAAGAAAGTGGTGGTGGTTGTTGTGGGGTATGCGGGTGATCGCTGGTTGCGAAACAAAATCTACAAACATCCTCTCCTGCTCGCTCACTCACTCGCATCTAATAGCCTTGCTGTGTCAGCAGCAAGCAACAGCAAGCAGCAACAACAGCAGCAGCAGAAGCTTCGACAGCATCGTGTCAGGGGTGGACATCGGCTGACCTTGTCCCGTAAGTGACGGCTGCCACTGATGTTGTCAATGTCACGTTGATGTTTCTATCTCATGCGTGCACTCTATAGAAAATTATTTAGTACCCGTACGTAGCCAGCCGTGATAGTAGTGGTGTGTAGAAGTGTGTTGTGTATAGTAGTGGTGTGTAGTAGTGTAGTGTGTATAGTAGTGGTGTGTAGTAGTGTAGTGTGTACAGTAGTGTAGGTGTTGTGAACAGTAGTGTAGTGTGTAGTAGTGTAGTGTGTATAGTAGTGTCGTATGTAGTAATGTAGTGTGTATAGTAGTGGTATATAGTAGTGTGTTGTGTATAGTAGTGGTATGTAGTAGTGTAGTGTGTATAGTAGTGTGTTGTGTATAGTAGTGGTATATAGTAGTGTAGTGTGTATAGTAGTGGTATATAGTAGTGTTGTGTATAGTAGTATAGTGTGTAGTAGTGTGTTGTATATAGTAGTGTGTTGTGTATAGTAGTGGTGTGTAGTAGTGTGTTGTGTATAGTAGTGGTGTGTATAGTATAGTGTGTAGTAGTGTGTCGTGTATAGTAGTGTGGTGTGTAGTAGTGTGTTGTGTATAGTAGTGTGGTGTGTAGTAGTGTGTTGTGTATAGTAGTGTGGTGTGTAGTAGTGTGTTGTGTATAGTAGTGTGTTGTGTATAGTAGTGGTGTGTAGTAGTATAGTGTATAGTAGTGTGTTGTGTATAGTAGTGGTGTGTAGTAGTGTGTTGTGTATAGTAGTGTGGTGTGTAGTAGTGTGTTGTGTATAGTAGTGTGGTGTGTAGTAGTGTGTTGTGTATAGTAGTGTGTTGTGTATAGTAGTGTGGTGTGTAGTAGTGTGTTGTGTATAGTAGTGGTGTGTAGTAGTATAGTGTATAGTAGTGTGTTGTGTATAGTAGTGTGGTGTGTGGTATGTATGTTGAACCTCTATCGCACCGTACGTAGTCAAACTAAGCTAATCGGGGGTGTGGGGGGAAGGAAAATCTATGGGGTGGAATGCAGTAAAATGTTTTAACCGCTTAGTGATGATGTTCGAAGGGCCATAAATAATATTCTGTTAATTGACAATACAAGTCCCAGCAACATTGTGTTGCCCGTGAGCTGGTTTATCAGGCCGAACGTTTCAAACAAAGAAGGCTCAAAAGAAAGCCGTCCCTTGGTGTGGACCAATCAGTTTCAAGGACAATGCATATATTATCATAGTATGTGTTTTTTTAATTAGCATTTTGACTGCGGGTATTGTGGTTAATGCAGTAACATGAATCCTTGTAAAAAGGTTTCAGTTTTGTTGCAAGAAAAAAAGGGGAAAAACCCCTATTATTATATGATAGCTCAACGGTTAGTGGCTTCGCATCATGATCGTCGTTGTGTGGATGTTTTGTTTTTGTACAGCAGTAGCCGAATAACTCTAAACGCACGGCGATGTTGATGCTACATGTGGAGGGAGGTGGAGGGGGGAAGAGAGAGACACGCAAACTCTAAATATTATACAGCAGCAGGCATCGTCAGGATCGGGGTCGAACCCACGACCCCCTGTGTACCAGGCGAGGTAGTTAACATCTCACCACAGAGAGAGACACGCAAACTCTACATAATATAAAGCAGGCATCGTCAGGATCGGGGTCGAACCCACGACCTCCTGTGTACCAGGCGAGGTAGTTAACATCTCACCACAGAGAGAGACACGCAAACTCTACATAATATAAAGCAGGTATCGTCAGGATCGGGATCAAACCCACGACCCCCTGTGTACCGGGCGAGGTAGTTAACATCTCACCACAGAGAGAGACACGCAAACTCTACATAATATACAGCAGGTATCGTCAGGATCGGGATCAAACCCACGACCTCCTGTGTACCAGGCGAGGTAGTTAACATCTCATAGCCACAGTGGTGCCTCAAATAATTATTAATCAATAATCAATAACAGGAGGTATAAGATGAGCAACAAAAGCAGTTTCAAATGTAGTTCATCTCCTAATGGGGCACCACGTCAAGCTTAGCGTGCCGATAAAACTCTTTAGTAACAATTCACTGTGTAACAATTTTAATTTATTTAGTCCCTGGGTAGTAAGTGTTATTTTATAATTGCTTATGCCTCAAAAGTACAGAAAATTTGCTATTATTGCTCCCCACAAACTTTGTTTTTGTGACCAGGACAGTGATATTTTGAAATGTTCCTATTGTCAATGAGAAAACGTGGTGTGCATTTGTGTCATTCCTTCACGTAAAGTCCCGGCCACAAAAGCAAAGTTTGTGGGGAATAATAATAGCAGCCATTTTCTATCGCTTTTTAGATATAACCAATGATGAAAAAAATAACACTGACTACCCAGGGACAAAAAATCGTGTTACATAGTGTGTATAATAATGATAACACAAAAAGAACCGCTAACAAAGTCACGGCTTCGGCACTGTGGAGGCGACGACGCTCAGTCGATGTCCCTAAAAAAAACGGCGGGAAAAAGAAAAACGGCGGGGAAAAAAACGTCGCCGCCCCATTTAACATTGATGAACCAAATGTCAAGAGTTTTGTCGACCCATTGTTTCACAGCCAGTCTGTGTTTAGTTAACGTTTGTGCGACGTTCGGTCACGGTCACACACACAGTTACCAACCCACCCAACAGCTATGAGCATAACCACAACAATCATCTCAACTGTCACCACCACCACCAACAACAACCACAACAATCACCTCAACTATCACCACCAACCACAACAATCATCTCAACTGTCACCACAACCAACAACAACAACCACAACAATCACCTCAACTATCACCACCAACCACAACAATCATCTCAACTGTCACCACAACCACCAACAACAACCACAACAATCACCTCAACTATCACCACCAACCACAACAATCATCTCAACTGTCACCACAACCACCAACAACAACCACAACAATCACCTCAACTATCACCACCAACCACAACAATCATCTCAACTGTCACCACAACCAACAACAACAACCACAACAATCACCTCAACTATCACCACCAACCACAACAATCATCTCAACTGTCACCACCACCAACAACAACCACAACAATCACCTCAACTATCACCACCAACCACAACAATCATCTCAACTGTCACCACAACCAACAACAACAACCACAACAATCACCTCAACTATCACCACCAACCACAACAATCATCTCAACTGTCACCACAACCACCAACAACAACCACAACAATCACCTCAACTATCACCACCAACCACAACAATCATCTCAACTGTCACCACAACCACCAACAACAACCACAACAATCACCTCAACTATCACCACCAACCACAACAATCATCTCAACTGTCACCACAACCACCAACAACAACCACAACAATCACCTCAACTATCACCACCAACCACAACAATCATCTCAACTGTCACCACAACCAACAACAACAACAACCACAACAATCACCTCAACTATCACCACCAACCACAACAATCATCTCAACTGTCACCACCACCAACAACAACCACAACAATCACCTCAACTATCACCACCAACCACAACAATCATCTCAACTGCCACCACAACCAACAACAACAACCACAACAATCACCTCAACTATCACCACCAACCACAACAATCATCTCAACTGTCACCACCACCAACAACCACAACAATCACCTCAACTATCACCACCAACCACAACAATCATCTCAACTGTCACCACAACCAACAACAACAACCACAACAATCACCTCAACTATCACCACCAACCACAATAATCATCTCAACTGTCACCACCACCAACAACAACCACAACAATCACCTCAACTATCACCACCAACCACAACAATCATCTCAACTGTCACCACCAACAACAACCACAACAATCACCTCAACTGTCACCACCAACCACAACAATCATCTCAACTGTCAAATTCCCGGCCTCGCATTGAACAAGAAGGCCTTTGGTGTTACTTGAAGGCTGTTAATAATTAGTTATAATAATAGGTGTTTTTGGCCAAAGTAACTATTATTTTTTCAAAGTTTTTACCTCAGAACTTGCACCGGAAATTTAACCGAATGCGCGGGGTGGTGGTGGGGGGGGAAAGTTGATTTATTTATTTGCTAGAGGGCGCGCCAACACCACCGCCCGGCCGCCTTTGTCTCCCTAGCACCGTTTACTCATTCGAGGCCGAGTCGACCTAGGGGAGGTCCAGACAATCGTCACCGATGTTGGCCGTGAGCGGGAATCGAACTCGGGTGGCCGGGTTCGTAGCGCAGCGCAGCGCTAACCGCTACACCACCGCTCCCCACACACACACAGAGAACAACACGCAACAATCGCAACTTAAGTGCCAGGCTAGGTGCACGCCGAGCCGGCAGGTGCCCCGAGTCGACTGAGTGAGATGAGTGGCCGATGCCCCCCCCCGCCCCCCTACTCGCTACGTTTAATCCGCCTTGACAACCGACACGTGATATTATTGTTTACAACAACAGTTGTTGTAAAAGAACAACAACTGTTCGTTAAAACGCCGGTTTACATTCATCCTTCACGGAAATGCTTTCGCGTACGTTGCAAGGCTCAAGGGCGCCGTAAAGGGGTGGAAGGTTAGGACGATTCTAAGGGCCCAGGCTGATTTAGGGCTCAGAAGAGCAGACCCCCTTTTTCTTTTCTTATTTCTTTTCTCTTTTTTATACATACATTAAATGTGCTAGGGCCCCTTATGCACTAAATGTGTATTTTGTCCGTTTTGACCATAGATTTAATATTTAAAAAACAAATAATGTATTTACTGTTTCAGTCACACCCCTCCCCCTCACAATGGTTCATTCCACCTGCGCTGTCTGAGCTACGATCGCTAGTGTAGCGTCTCTTGCTTATTGCACTTGCTATGATGCAGTGCAGACAGTAACTATGCAATGTGCTAAGTATCTTTTTAAAAGTATACTGGGCATATTTTTGATTTAAAGCTTTCGTGACTGCAGTAATTCATATTCTTAGTTCTTTCGGTAAAGTCACGTTGAAGGGAAACAAAATAATAAAATATATATAAAACAATAAAAAATTCTCACGCAAACCAACACACCTGAAGACGACCGTTTGTGTTATGGTCGAAACGTCGTGAGAATTTTTATTGTTTTATATATATTTTATTATTTTGTTGTTTCCCTTCAACGTGACTTTACCGAAAGAACTAAGGATATACTGGGCATGTTTATTGGGTTAAATTTTATCTGTAAAAAATGTAGGGGGCCCAGAAATGTTGGTTTCCATAGGGCCCAGAATTTCTGGCGGCACCCCTGCCAAGGCTTAATGTTAATTTAATTCGAGCGGCAAAGTAACATTGCCCCGCTAACTTGCAGCGCTGCGTTTTGCAAAGCCGCGCCACCTACGGCGTGAAACGTTCGAGGCCGTGGTTAGGGAAAGATTATGTGTGTGTCTGTTCAAAATGTTTAGCGTACTTCCCGACATGCAACAAACTTGACATTTGCCACGTGGGTACTTTCCAGATTGTACGCCATGCAAAAAAAATAAAAATTCACTTTTGTTTTTTCTTAGGCGTGGGGGAGCTCAATAATGCATTTAGTTTTTGCACGGCAAGTGAGCTGTGACGTCACATCTGTCACGTGACCCGCGCACGTGGAAGCGTGACGCATGGTATTGTAGTGGTTAGCGCGCTGTCTGTGTGTTTATCTGTGTGTGTATGTGTGTGTCTGTCTGTGTGTGGGGAGCGGTAGTGTAGCGGTTAGTGCTACACTGCGCTATTAACCTGGCGACCCGAGTTCGATTCCCGCTCACGGCCAACACCAGTGACGATTATCTGAACCGGTCCCGGGCCTCCCCTAGGTCGACTCAGCCTCAAATGAGTACCTGGTGCGGTGTGTAAACATTGTCACTAGGGAGACAAAGGCGGTCGGGCGTGGTGCTGGCCACCCACCCCCTCGTGTACCGTTCCGGCATTCATAGGTGCTCGCTAACAGCACTTGCCCCTACAGTCTGTTAAGGCTATATGGGGGATCTTTGTGTGTGGAAGCGTAACGCATTGTAGTGTAGCGGTTAGCGCTACGCCGCGCTACGAACCCGGCGACCCGAGTTCGATTCCTGCTCACGGCCACCACCGGTGACGATTATTTTAACCGGTCCTGGGCCTCCCCTAGGTCGACTCAGCCTCAAACGAGTAACTGGTGTGCTGTGTGAACATCGCCACTTGGGGGACAAAAGCGGCCGGGCGTGGTGAATCCAAGTCCCGGGCGAAGCCGGGTAGTTAAGCTAGTAAGTAATATTTAAAACAAACTTTTTTAAAAACACGCTTTAATGAAATGTACCGTACTAGTAATGGAAGAACTCCACGACCCCAGAAAGTGGCCCCAAAACTTGCCACAACGTAAGGGGGACCGTGGTGATTTACAACCAACGTTAGTTGACCGTGGACGATTAAACACAAGCCGAACCATAACATATACAAAATAATGTTTAAAAATAGTATTTTTTTTAATTTTTATGATATAATACAGTATTGTCACCAGTATGACATAAGTATACCAAGTTTGCAGTCGATATTACATTGGGAAGTGGGTTAAAATTGAGATACAAGATTTGAGGATACAACAACAACAGAGTGAGTTAATAAAAGTGTGTAATCAACACATTCCTGCGGAGGGAGCTGGTAGTAGGAACGTTGGGTTGCTCGGTCAATGGCCAGGGTCAACAACAACGGCACCAGGTGGTGTATTCCGCACAATATGCCCGACTGTGAGGGCGGGCACAAGCCGGCGTGAGTAGGTTACACGTTGAGTTTTATAAGGGCACCACGGGGTGACCAGCCCCTCCCCACCCAGCCCCACCCCTCCCATTTTTGGATGCACGACGGACGGACGGACACAATAATCCCCTGTGGGCTGGTGTAACCAGGAGGTTCCTACCAGTATAAAAAGCGAGTAATAATAAAAAGCGAGTAATAATAAAAAGCGAGTAATAATAAAAAAGCCAGTAATAATAAACAGGTCCCTGCAGGGTGGGCTGGTAGGACAAGTCTCTGCGCTGTCTATTGCTGATTTTACACCCAACAGCACGAGACGAGATTTCACTTCGTTAAAGTATTGAAAGGGGACGGACGGACGGACACATTAATCTATTGCAGGCTGGTACACTCAGTTTACAACTTCGTTCCTACCAGTAAAAAGCGAGTATTAATAAAAAAAAGCGTGTAATAAAAAGCGAGTAATAATAAAAAAGCGAGTATTAATAAAAAAAAATTGCCTCCAGGGTGCGACCGTGCAAGGCAAATCAAATCTTTGAGCCCCCCACCGCACCGATCGCCACACCACTCCCCGAGCTGATGATGTCCTTTACTGAATGATGCAATGTGGGGCCATCCATAAATGACGTCACGCACCTTGAGAAATGTGACGTCACATCAAAATGCGCAACTTGAAATAAATATAGACGACACGTTCTACTTAATTAAGTAGACTTTTTTTAAATAAATGTTTTCTCCTACAACATCAGAGTGCAGCGCCACATTAAATACGCACTACTACGATGACAATAGTTTAAAGCGATTTGAAACGTTTTATTTTTTGGGGGGGGGAGGGGGCACAGCATTGTGACGTCATATTTGAGGGGGGGTCTGACTTTGTGTGAAGAAGGGGGTGGGGGGGGGGTTAAAAAATCGTCCAAAATCTTGTGACGTCATTTATGGGCGGCCCCTAATGCTAAAGGTCGCCCTCATTGCACACAACCCGGACGGACCCGGGCCGTGTTCTTGAAGTTCACGGCCATTCAATGCAGAGTCGAACGCCGCCGCTGTGAGTAGGGGGCCGTCCATAAATGACGTCACGCGATTTTGGACGATTTTTGACCCCCCCCCACCCCCTTCGTCACACGGCGTCACAAAAAGTCAGACCCCTCCCCCCTCAAATATGACGTCACAAAGCTCTGCCCTCCCCCCTCAAATATGACGTCACAAAGCTCTACCCTCCCCCCTCAAATATGACGTCACAAAGCTCTGCCCCCCCCTCAAATATGACGTCACAAAGCTCTGCCCCCCCCCCTCCACACAAAAAAATAAAACATGCTTCAAATCGCTTTAAACTATTGTCATTGTAGCGCGTATTTAATGTGGCGCTGCACTCTGATGTTGTAGGAGAAAACATTTATATAAAAAGTCTATTTAATTAAGTAGAACGTGTCGTCTATACTTATTTAAAGTTGCGCATTTTGATGTGACGTCACATTTCTCAAACCCCCCCCCCCCCCCTCGTCACACGTCGTCACAAATGTCTGACCCCCCCCCCTCCCTAGGTGCGTGACGTCATTTATGGACGGTCCCCTAGATGGCGGTTCTGTGCGTCGCCCGAACGGAGGGATTCCCTGACGCGCCGTGACGCGGGACAAACGTAATCGGAATATTCATTTAGACCGCTGGAGAAATCCGATGAGCTATGAAGCTCTTTTTTTTTACGTCACAGATATCCTGCAATTTCAAGCCTCAAGCGGCTGTAACTCCTTTCCATCGTGATTGCCATTGGACACGTCTCTTATTTTTTTATTTTGTTGAAACTTGTTTTTTGTTATAGTCATTAGAGAGCCCAGCATACGATGCGGATTTCAAAAAGTTGGGGGGGGGGGTGGAAACAAGGGATGTCCCCCCCCCGCACCTCCGGCTAACACGATTGGCTATGTATGGTGCGAGAGAAGTTCAACGTATTCTTGGTTCTTTCGGTAAAGTCACCACGTAGAAAGGGGAAACAATAAAATAATAAAAATATAAAACAATACAATTCTCACGACGTTTCCGACTGCAACACAAGCAATCATCATCATATTTTTATTATTTTTTTAAATTATTTTATCGTTTCCCTTCTACGTGGTGACTTTTACCGAAAGAACAAAGAATATGAATCCCTGCAGTCACGAAAGCTTTTGGATCAAAGTTCAACGTACATAACAAGCTAGTTGCTGGATGTGTTACTGGCACCCGTTGTGTACGCTATGGCACCTGCTGCACATGGTGTCACACCCGTCGTGTACGCTGTCACACCCGTCGTGTATGCTGTCACACCCATCGTGTATGCTGTCACACCTGCTGTATACGCTGTCACACCTGCTGCATACGCTGTCACACCCGTCGTGTACGCTGTTACACCCGTCGTGTATGCTGTCACACCCATCGTGTATGCTGTCACACCTGCTGTATACACTGTCACACCCGTCGTGTACGCTGTCACACCCATCGTGTACGCTGTCACACCCGTCGTGTATGCTGTCACACCCGTCGTGTACGCTGTCACACCCGTCGTGTATGCTGTCACACCCATCGTGTATGCTGTCACACCTGCTGTATACGCTGTCACACCCATCGTGTATGCTGTCACACTTGTCGTGTACGCTGTCACACCTGTCGTGTATGCTGTCACACCCATCGTGTACGCTGTCACACCCGTCGTGTACGCTGTCACACCCGTCGTGTACGCTGTCACACCCGTCGTGTACGCTGTCACACCTGACTGTGATCGATTGCCCACAGCGTGAGCCGAGAGGTAACAGCCGAGGCGAGGGACGACGAGGACGACGACGACGACGACGACGAGAGGGACGACGGCGACGATGGCGGTTCCACCAAGGAACGACTACGCCAGCTCGCTGGTGGTGAAGAATAAGCGCAAGCTGGTGGATTGCCTCTCCGAGTGCCTGCCCCAGTTCCTTGGCGCGCGCTCCGGGCAGGTCGTGGCTCTGGGCCCCTACGACAAGGACTTCGCCCGGGACCTGGTCGATGTCTTCAAGAAGGACGGCGGGCGGGCGGCCTGGTTCCTGCTGGCGCTCAAGGAGCTCCAGGCGGAGCGCGGCGACGTGCGGGAGGCGCTGAAGAACGTCAGCTGGACGGACGGCGCCTTCAGTGCCTGTAAATCGGCCCCCGGCTCGCTCGCAAACCCGTTTTCTTGTCCGGCCTTGCGTTTCACAATCGGAACCTTTTGCTTTGGGAGTCCCGATTCGTCGGTGATGCTTTTTTTTCTTTTTTGCCACCACGGATGTCCGTCCGGTGGTTCGCGAAACTTATTTTTGCGCCGTACGTAATCAGCCCGCTGCTTAATCGGAGGTCGTTGTGTTTCTGCTCTGTGCCGTTTAGTTACTCGCAAAGAGTCCAGCGATGCACCTGATGGGATGCAGATTGGAATACCAAGCAGGATATTCCAGGTAGTACACGCTCACACGTTTGTACCTACGTATGTTCAATTTATTTCGCACCGTACGTAGCTTATCGTCACACGATGATGAGCCACTTCGTTGAGCTATCGTTTGTGATAGCCAGGTTGTTTCTGAAAAAAGAGCTTTATAGCTCAGTGGGCCCTTACCTGGTTAACCAAAAATAGTTGATGGTTTACCATATGGAAAACCAACCAATCGCACGCAGTACAAGTGCACAATGTAAGGCCTCCTGAGCTGATGCAAGTCCTTTGATGTTGAATAACATCGGAGGCTTCGCCATCTTCTTAATATCCCCAGCGCTGAGTCTGAACCACCAGGCCACACCACTGTAGGTTGTTAGACAACGCTGAGGCTGAACCACCAGGCCACACCACTGTAGGTTGTTAGACAACGCTGAGGCTGAACCACCAGGCCACACCACTGTAGGTTGTTAGACAGTCAGCGCTGAGTCTGAACCACCAGGCCACACCACTGTAGGTTGTTAGACAGCCAGCGCTGAGTCTAAACCACCAGACCACACCACTGTAGGTTGTTAGACAGTCAGCGCTGAGGCTGAACCACCAGGCCACACCATTGTAGGTTGTTAGACAACGCTGAGTCTGAACCACCAGGCCACACCACTGTAGGTTGTTAGACAACGCTGAGGCTGAACCACCAGGCCACACCACTGTAGGTTGTTAGACAGTCAGCGCTGAGTCTGAACCACCAGGCCACACCACTGTAGGTTGTTAGACAGCGCTGAGGCTGAACCACCAGGCCACACCACTGTAGGTTGTTAGACAGTCAGCGCTGAGTCTGAACCACCAGGCCACACCACTGTAGGTTGTTAGACAGCCAGCGCTGAGTCTAAACCACCAGACCACACCACTGTAGGTTGTTAGACAGTCAGCGCTGAGGCTGAACCACCAGGCCACACCACTGTAGGTTGTTAGACAACGCTGAGGCTGAACCACCAGGCCACACCACTGTAGGTTGTTAGACAGTCAGCGCTGAGTCTGAACCACCAGGCCACACCACTGTAGGTTGTTAGACAGTCAGCGCTGAGGCTGAACCACCAGGCCACACCACTGTAGGTTGTTAGACAGTCAGCGCTGAGGCTGAACCACCAGGCCACACCACTGTAGGTTGTTAGACAGCGCTGAGGCTGAACCACCAGGCCACACCACTGTAGGTTGTTAAACAGCGCTGAGGCTGAACCACCAGGCCACACCACTGTAGGTTGTTAGACAGCGCTGAGGCTGAACCACCAGGCCACACCACTGTAGGTTGTTAGACAGTCAGCGCTGAGTCTGAACCACCAGGCCACACCATTTGCACTGAGAGGTTGTGTTTTTGTCTTCTTGCAGAACCCCTACATCATCAAGTCGGGAGGCATCCATGCGTTTATACTGAACGTCATGCACAGTGGACGAATGTACCGAAACGGCTCTGAGAGGGACGTTTCTCTGCTGGAAACGCTCTTTGGCGAGATGAAGGCCAACGTCACGAGCGGAGCAAAACAACACACCTTGGTTCGTGTACTGCGAGCATGTGTGCGTGTCTGATGATTGGACGAGCGCGCGTGTGTGAGTATGCACGTTGGACTTCTTTAGCACCGTACGTAGCCAACGCGTGCGTTTGCGTGTGCTGAACAAGGGCCGCGAAATATCGTGGATGTCCGTTAGCTATACAGAGTAAAAGCTTGGATTGCGAGTGACTTGGTCTGCGAGTGTTTTGCAAGACGAGCAAAAATTTGCAAATATTAATTTGATGAACGAGCGAGGGTCTTGCAATACGAGTAGCACGTGTAGACGCTTTGTCTGCCGAGCGTCACGTGATCACAACTGATATACGAGTGCATTGACATAAGAGTGCTTTGGATTACAAACACGTTTCCGGAACGAATTATGGGAGGTGCGGCGGAAGGACAAGCAGTTGTAAAGAAATGTTTTCAATATATAGTGTTGTGTAATGTAGTGTATGGTAGTGTCGTGTATAGCAATGTATTGTCGCGTATAGCGTAGTCGATCTTGTATCGTGCATAGTGTAGTGTAATGTTCTGCATGACAACTTCTGTCATGCCGTATGTAGTCAAGCGCCCTAATTGGAGGTGCGGGTGAAGGATGAGCAGTCGCAATGCGACGTTTCCCGCGCGCAGTCTCTCACACCCACCGTGGTCCGTGTGTTTGTGCACGCACGCTCGCGATCCGCGTACGCGCAGGGAATCATGGAAGACCTGCAGGAGTTCAAGAGGCAGGTGCACGAGCTGGAACCGGACTGCGTCGTCATCTGCCTCATGTCCCACGGGAGGAAGAACTGCATCTTGGGCAACGACAAGGGGGAGCTGGAGCTGCAGTGGGTCTTCGACGAGTTCAACTCGAAGAACTGCGAGGCGCTTCAGAACAAGCCGAAGGTGTTCATCGTCCAGGCCTGCCGGGGAGGTGCGAGGTGCCGACGTCGCGGCCCGGCGCGCCGGCATCGTCGCGTTCACAGCAGCCGGCTCATAAGAGACACCCGCAGGGTGGTGGTGGTGGTGGTGGGGGGGGTCGTGCTTTGTCCACGCCTACATTGAACTTCTCTCGCGCCGCACGTAGCCATAGCCTGTGCTTAGTCGGATGGCGCGGCAGGGGAAGGGCAACGTAAGTAAGCACGGAAAACGGTTCGAGAGAAATGCGGTTTTTATTTCTTCGATACGATGGTCGAGAATCGGAATATTTGTTTAGACTGCAGGAGGAATCCGATGAGCTATGAAGCTCTTTTTTAACAGATTTCCAGTAAGGGGCACGGGCTGAGAACGTTACAACAGTTACAAAAAACGATAGGAGTGCAAGGTATAGGATGAAACTAAACAATTTTTATCTCACCAGGTAAGGTCCACTGAGCGGTTAGCCAAGTCGCTTCTGAAAAAGAAGCTATCACAAATGAAAGCTTAACGGAACGGCTCATCATCATCATCATCACGTGGAAATTTTTCGCAGTAGCCAAATACTCTAAATGCATGATGTCGATTCTAAACGTGGAGGGAATAACCCGGAGGACCCGGAGAAAAATCCACGGGACAATGGGCAGGGAGAGACACGCAAACTCCAAATGTACAGCAGCAGGCGTCAGGGTCGGGATGGAACCCACTACCTCCTGCATACCAGGCGAGGTAGTTAACATCTCCTAGCCACTCAAGTGTACCCCCCTTCCAAGTTGTCATGGGGTGGCGATGACGTGTCCCCAACGGTAGCGCGTTTGCCGCTTGTTGTTGCTGCAGAGTTTTGCGGTGCGTATTTGGCGGGCAGCCCCGGTTACGCCTTGCGGGTTGCGCGTAATTAATAATAATCGTAACGCCAACGAGGTGCAGCGACGTGCCCCCGCCGACCTCCCACGCGCCGGGCGACGTAGTTAACATCTCGCCCTGTCGCCGCCGTGTCTCTCCGCGTTGCAGAGGAGAAGGACAACGTGGAAGCGGACAGCGTGAGCGAAACCCCGCTACGTCCGCAGAAGTACGCGGACATGCTCAAGGTGTTCAGCTCCCCCGAAGGTACCGTCGCTTGGAGACAGGGGGTCGGCGGCGCCGGCGCCGTGACAAAGGACTGGGACGGAGTCGCCTATCGTGCCTATCAAAAAACAGGGAGGGGGGGGGCGGTGTCACACGACGCCACACTAACCAATGGGATTACTCGATCCACGGATCGATAACTGCCATCGACTTTGCCGAGGTCGACTGAGCAGAATCGATACAATACACCTCGATTCACGCTCCACAGGACTAAATATGGGGCAACGCCACGCCAGCTCTCTTCCATGTGTGGTTACGCCGACACACGTTCTTACTAAGAGCCTCATTTCGGACACAACTCTATCTCTAGGCAGGGCCGGATCAAGGCGCGGGGCTTTAGGGGCTGCAGCACAGGGGCCTCCGTCAGCTGGAGGGCCTCCAGAGATTAAGTTAAAAGTTATTTCACTTGTGAATGCTGAATTTTATTAGTTGTTAACTTTGTTTTCCTTTTGAAAATATTACTGGGGGCCTCACAGTACCTGTAGCCCAGGGGCCTACAAAATCTTAATCGGGCCCTGTCCCCTCCCCAACTGCTGTCCCCTTTTATATCCTCCGAGCCTCCCTTTCTGAAAGCTTCGCTCACCCAACTCCCTTCAGCCAATCCTCGTCCTCCTCCTCCAACGGTTGTCAACCGTCGCCCCCCACGGTCGACCCTCGCCTCATTACCCACCTTTTACGTTTGAATCTCCCCTCCAATCAACTTTGAATCTCTTATCCTAACCAGTCGTCTTTGAGGCCTCCCTGCACCGATCAGAGGCCTTGATTGAGTTCCTGACTGTCCGTTCCGACACGCACGCTTATGTCAGGCGAGTGGTCTGTCGCCTCAGTCATTACACGTGTATGGGCAGATCTTCGATCGGCGATTTCGTCGGCCGTCCAATTTTATTGCATTACAGCGCCGTGATGCGCCGCAACGACGGACTGCGAGCCAATCGCACGACGCGTGGATGTTAGCCAATCAAAACGGGGGGGGGGGGGCATTTCGCACAACGCCGTACTAACCAATGGGATTCCCTGATCACGATTGACTCTCGATGAACCGATGACTCCAACGTGTTTCTCGGATCGACTGTGAGCAGAATCGATGATAAATCGTGATTCAGGTGCCGCAAGACCAAATGTGGGCAGAGACACGCCCCCTACGTGCAACGCCACGCCTACTCTCTTCCATGTATGTGCTGCTTTGGTGATTTTGTCGGTTGTTGGATTACACTTGATCATCGATTATAATCGCGGGATTATCCGGCTTCGAACATTATCCGTCAGTCCTGGGCCGATCCGGCAAAACCGCTCCAAAGGCAGTAACCAGTACGGCCATCGGCACCATGTGCGTGACGGAAAAAGTTTATATGCTTAAAAAAATCGGTGTTAAATATTATATACAGTACATTATGCACTACATGCAAAAACGCAAAGAATGAAAATACTGCACGTATACAACGTTTTTCGTGACTAATAACTGGAGGAATAAAAAACAAATATAGACGGTGCGATCCGGCGAAAACCCAAGCGCGCGTAATTCGGCGTTCGCCGTAACAGCGCCGATCTGAAGGCTGCACCGGTCCAGTGATCGTCAAACACACGTTGTTGAGCGTAGTAATACGTCCATCGCCCCATGCAGAGTCTTCGGGGTGAGAGTGGTAAGTACGGTATGTACGCAAATAAAAAACAAATTTAAAACACTGAAGAAAACATACACACACAACGCAACTAAAGACATGTCATACGAGAAAAAAATAAGCTCTTGTAAATAATGATTCGTGATTGTCTGGCAAAAACCGGGGTACCCCCTTCCCCCCCCCCCCTCCCCCCGGAAGCCGCCGGATAATCGATGATCGACTGCATTTTGTATTCCAGCGCAGCCCAGAAACACCGTTGAAAGGGCAGTTTTTTTATTATACATCTCATTAGTGATGAACGAAAATAATAACACAGCCCTCCATCAACCCTCTGCCGTGTCGGTCGTGGGGGTTGATTGACCATACTTCACCTCGCTGGTCAGCACACCGGTTGTGTGTTGGGAGGGTAAAACCCACTGCAACATTTGCATTTCGTTTCGCCGGTAATTACAACCGGCATCATCAGGCGTTGATGATGCTAGTGACGAATTGGCACGTGTTGTTTACACGACGAACCTTTACTATTTGGCCGTGTCGGGTAGTGGCGGGTTTGACGACACATTTATATTTACGCGATCTAACCCAAAAGAACCTATGGATATTATTGGTCGCGAAAGCCTCCTACGTGTCAAACTCGTGGTGGCTACACCCTAGGCACAGTGCCTACTGCGTCTACTGGATAATACGGCCCTGGTGGGTCAGTAGGTGGGTGAGTAAGTGGGTGGGTGGGTGAGTGAGCGAACGGGTGGGTGAGCGGGTGGGTGGGTGAGTGAGCGGGTGGGTGAACGGGTGGGTGGGTAAGTGGGTGGGTGAGCGAGCGAGCAGGTGGGTGAACGGGTGGGTGAGCGGGTGGGTGGGTGAGCGAGCGGGTGGGTGAACGGGTGGGTGGGTAAGTGGGTGGGTGGGTGAGCGAGCGAGTGGGTGAACGGGTGGGTGGGTGAGTGGGTGGGTGAGCGGGCGGGTGGATGAGCGGGCGGGTGGGTGAGCGAGCGAGTGGGTGAGCGAGCGAGCGGGTGGGTGAGCGAGCGAGCGGGTGGGTGAGCGAGCGAGTGGGTGGGCGAGTGGGCCCTCGGCACAGTAGGTAGATAATACGGCCCAGCTTAAAATAGAAACCTAATGTAGCAGTGACACCATTTCGTAGTAAACCAATGTAACCACCCAAACTCTCTCCTGAAGCCCTCTCGTCATGGCGAGCACCAGGATCTTGGCGAGTGGCATGGAACGCCTGAACCACGGTGATGCTGACATTTTGCACGCGCACATTTAGGGAGGTTTATCATGGCCTCGTCAGTGACTTATTGACCCTGGGAGTCTCCAACTGCTGTAATATTGACCACTGTGTGTCACGCAGATCATCTTTCCTTCCGCAAGCCGGAGGAGGGATCCCTGCTGATTCAGAATATTGGCAAGGTCTTCCTTCAGCACATGAACACCATGCACGTTATGGACATGATGACGATGGTGAGGCTCCGCCACCCCCCCCCCCCCCCGTAGACAAAGATCCCCCAAATAGCCTTCAACAGACTGTTGGCGCAAGTGCTGTTAGCGAGCACCTATTAATGTGGGCACAGCACTTTTTTTACCAGGTAAGGTCCCGCTGAGCTATGTAGTTATTTTTTCAGAAGCGACCCCCTGGCTATCGCAAATGATAGCTCAACGAAAGTGGCTTATCACGTGGGGAATGTATAGCTGCGAAGTAACTCTTTAAACGCACCTTGCTGATTCTAAACGTGTAGGTGAAAAACCGGCGAGGACCCCGGTGGGGAAAAAATCCACGCGATTTGTTTTTGAAAAGCAGCGCGGCGATTCCCGTCACACGATTGGTGAATCAGACAAGTCCAATTGGTGGCATTTCTGGGTGTTAGCCAGCGGGCCGTACGAACGCCTCGAGCGCCGTTTATGCGGCCACAGGCCAACCAGTACAGCATATTTGCAATGCATCAATAGCATTATTCATAAGAGGGTTTTTTTTGGGTTAGATCACGTAAATGTGTGTCGTTAAAACCCGCCACCACCCGGCACGGCCAACTAGTAAGGTTCGTCACGTAAACAGAACGTGGCCAATTCGTCACTAGTACAGCACTAGTGTGTAGTGTAGTGTATAGTGTAGTATACTAGTACAGCACTAGTGTATAGTGTAGTGTATAGTGTAGTATACTAGTACAGCACTAGTGTATACTGTAGTGTATAGTGTAGTGTATAGTGTCGTATACTAGTACATCACTAGTGTATAGTGTAGTGTATAGTGTAGTGTATAGTGTAGTATACTAGTACAACACTAGTGTATAGTGTAGTATACTAGTACAGCACTAGTGTATAGTGTAGTATACTAGTACAGCACTAGTGTATAGTGTAGTGTATAAGTGTAGTGTATAGTGTAGTATACTAGTACAGCACTAGTGTATAGTGTAGTGTATAGTGTAGTATACTAGTACAGCACTAGTGTATAGTGTAGTATACTAGTACAGCACTAGTGTATAGTGTAGTATATAGTGTAGTGTATAGTGTAGTATACTAGTACAGCACTAGTGTATAGTGTAGTATATAGCGTAGTATACTAGTACAGCACTAGTGTATACTGTAGTGTATAGTGTAGTGTATAGTGTAGTATACTAGTACAGCACCACCGTTTGTGTGTTGGAGAGCCACGCCACAACATTTACAACCTGAGTACGACGTTTCGCCAGTAATTACAACCAGCTTCATCAGGCGACAGCCAGATTTGTTAAGTTCACCTGTTTCGTTCCTTATAAAGAGGCGTAGATGGTGACCACGCTTCTGAGTCCCTTGCACAAAGTGTGGTGGGGGAGATTGCCGAGGTAACGTACATGATGCATGCGCATTATGCGAGCCCTTTGAGCTTGTCCTTCCTGTCTATTGTGTATTAAAATAGCCTATTGAAGTATGGTGCCCTGTATAGGCATGTACTATTTTACATTTACCGACGCATTTATATATTTACGCGATCTAACACAAAAGAAAAACCTCTATAATGGATATTGGTCGTGAAAGCCTACGTGTTAAACTGAACACCATTATGTAGTATATTATATATGTGGTATATAATGTATAGCGAGGGCTCTGTACTCATCGCGGCTTGCCGCTGCTGTGTTGCCCCGTGTGGTGGGACAGGTGACCAAGGAGATAGGCAATCAAGACTTTTTAATGAATAGCAGAAAAGTTAAGGTCATTCCTGTTGTGGAGACCACACTCACAAAGAGTCTCTACCTGTGCGACACCGCTTAGCTACACCCGGACACACCCTGCCTTCACCCTTCTCCCATTACCTTCGCCTCCTCCTTCCAGTAGCTTAGTTGCGCGTCACGCTTTGATGTAAACAATCGCGGTGAAGGTGCCTCTACGGTAGTGCCGTCCCGCGTCTTCGTTCTCCGACGTGTTTTTGACGTCGTGCCGAACAGCATCGTGCCGTTCTGATGGTGCATTTTAAAAAAAAAAAATCACTGTCATTCATGATTCAAAGAAATAATTACACGGTATTCCCTCATTATTTGTAACTAGGGAGACAGAGGCAGCCCGGGTGTGGTGCCGGCCTTCATAGGTGCCGCTTGCTAATAGGACCTTCCGCAACATTCTGTTCGGGCTATACGGGGGATCTTTGTTTTTTGTGTGGTGGTGCGAGACTTTGGAGGACCGGGGTTGTTGGACCAGGGTTGTTGTTTTTTTTTTAATACAAATGCTTTTAATGATCAATCAGGGACCAAAGCAATCAATTTTTGGGGGGGATTTTTCTACAATTGGTGTAATGCCGGTGTGACAATGATGGAAACATTCAATGAAATAAAACATTTGAAGCACGGAAAGATGGCGAATCGCGTGTAAATTTTAATCGGTCTCCCGCGAATGCACAGCGATGATTTGCTTACACAGTGCGTGCACGCGCGTCTCGTAGAGCGGTGGTGCAGCGGTTAGCGGGCTTGCGCGATAAACCTGGTGACCCGAGTTCAATTCCCGCTCACGGCCAACACCACTGACGACTAACTGAACCGGTTCTGGGCCTTCCCTAGGTCGACTCGGCCTCAAAATTAGGACCTGGTAGGGCGTGCGGTAAACGTCATCACTGGGGAGACAAAGTCGGCCGGACGTGCCGTCCACCCCCTCCTCGTGTGCCGCTCCGGCCTTCAAAGGTGCTGCTCGTCGACAGCACTTGCCCCCAACAGTCTGTGAAGGCTACACGGGGGATCTTTGTCTCGTGAACCACTGGACCCTAAAAGCTTCACTCCTCTTCCCCAACTCCCCCCCCCCGCACCACCACCATGCCCGCCTCCCCATGCACGGTGACCGTGCAGGTCAGAGGGAGTTGGCGAGAGGACCACCTTGACCCACGGTGAAAAGAACCCTCCAGCAAGCGCTTCCCTTCGCTGCAGACCTCCGCACTTTAACGTCTTCGCGTGAAGTCCTTCAGTACAACCGGCTGCTGCCGCCGCTGCCGCCGCCGCCGCTAATTAACGACGACTCGCAACTCTATCCCGACTGCGCCCTTTGTGTCGTGTCACGAGCCGCAGGAGACGACCAGAGCGCCCGCAAAGCAGTGCAAGTGTAATTGGTGTGAAGAGAAAAAGGGCCCGCGGAAGCGGATACGCACGGTAGAGCTACTTCTTAGGGACGCCTTGAAGCGATCGTCCGGTCCAACCACCACGCTCGGCGCACGAGAGTGACAATGTTGGTCGCGTGACGATCGAACCAATGATTTCAATTCTCCCGAGTTGCAACTGCGAAACAAATTAAATGTTTTACCAGGGTAAGAGGCCCCACTGAGCTGTGAAGCTCTTTTTTCAGAGGCGACCCTGGCCGTCACGAATGGTAGCCCGCTGAAGTGGCTTATTCATCATCATCATCGCGTGGGAAATGCATTGCAGCCAAATCCTCTGAACGCGTTGGTGATGTCGATTGTAAAAGTTGAGGGGGAAAAACCGGAGGACCCGGAGAAAAATCCACGCGACCACGGGAAGAAGAGAGGCACTGTATGGATCGCAATCGAACCCACGACCTCCTGCATACCCGGCGAGGTAGTTAAGATCGCGGCACCCCGAAGATGGAATGAGGTGGAGGAGTCGGGGGGGGGGGGGGGGGGGGGGTGGGGGATGGGGCAGCAAGTTTCCATCGCCAGACGGTCACGGCACGGCCACACTCGCCGTAACACCGCCGCCACCGCCGCCGTGGTCAACGATGAGTCGCTGGGCGATGGCCTGCAGGACCTGGTGAGCGCCGCTCTCCGGCGAGGCCTCCAGCAGGGAGCGGCCGTCCTCACCGCACCGCGCCAGCTGCAGCTCCACCGGCACGCAGCCTGGAGGGGGACGGGGGGGTGGGGCACGTCCCAGGGCGGCCGCTTCATTAAATGGGGTGGCTGTGGTCATCCGGAATAGGCCGTCCGACCGTGTATTTAAAAAAAACCCATGATACAGGTTTTTTTTTTCCTGGGTTAGATGGCGTAAATATAGAAATGTTGTGTCGTCATACCCGCCACCACCCGACACGGCCAATTGGTAAGTTGTGTCACGTAAACAGAACGTGGCCAATTCGTCACTGGTACAGCACTAGTGTATAGTGGAGTATATAGTGTAGTGTATAGTGTAGTGTATAGTGTAGTATACTAGTACAGCACTAGTGTATAGTGTAGTGTATAGTGTAGTATACTAGTACAACACTAGTGTATAGTGTAGTGTATAGTGTAGTATACTAGTACAGCACTAGTGTATAGTGGAGTATATAGTGTAGTATACTAGTACAGCACTAGTGTATAGTGTAGTGTATAGTGTAGTATACTAGTACAGCACTAGTGTATAGTGTAGCGTACAGTGTACAGTGTAGTGTATAGTAGTGTATAGTGTAGTGTATAATGTAGTATATAGTGTAGTGTATAGTGTAGTTTATAGTGTAGTAAACTAGTACAGCACTAGTGTATAGTGTAGTGTATAGTGTAGTATACTAGTACAGCACTAGTGTATAGTGTAGTGTATAGTGTAGTGTACTTGTACAGCACTAGTATATAGTGTAGTGTATAGTGTAGTATACTAGTACACCACTAGTGTATAGTGTAGTGTATCATATAGTGTAGTGTATAGTGTAGCGTATAGTGTAGCGTATAGTGTAGTGTACAGTGTAGTGTACAGTGTAGTGTACAGTGTAGTATATAGTGTAGTGTATAGTGTAGTGTATAGTGTAGTAAACTAGTACAGCATACCGGTTGTGCGTTGGAGAGCAAATCCACAACATTTACAATCCGAGTACGACGTTTCGCCAGCAATTACAACCGGCATCGTCAGGCGACAGCCAGATTTGTGGTTGGATGATATTGGTCGCGAAAGCCGACGTGTTAAAGTGTATAAAAGAAGTAGGTGCGAAGCAAGGAAGCAGCTGATTTTCTAGATTTAAAGCTTTCGTGACTGCAAGGATCCATACTCTTTGGTTCTATTCGGTAAAGTCACGTAGGTAAAAAAAAAAAAAATCACGACGTTTCGGCCACAACACAAGCGGCCTTCATCAGGTGAAGGGACCAGACTGTCTCGAGGACAGCGCTGGAGTGAACAGCCACGCTCAGACCGCGACCTTTAAGCTGTGTGCCAGGAAACAAGGTGCCTTGACAAAGGAATTAGCATACAAATTAGCATTTGATTGGCCGACTTAGCATGATGAACGGTGTAGAGGTGGTGTACATGCGGGTGAACATGCCGGTTGGCGCGGGGGGGGGGGGGGGAGGGGGAGTTTACCTATTGACGGTGTGAAAAGGGAATTTTTAAGAGCTGCGAAAGTTTGGGGTACCACTAATAGAACCAAAGAGTAAGCAGCTGATTGGTCGAACGATTCAACTCACCCAGGAAGGGGACCCCGAACTCGTCGGCCAGCGCCTCCCCGCCGCCCTTGGAGAACACGTTGCTGCACTCCTGCAACGGCAGAGGCCACGCGTGTCCCCTCGTTGCTCGGGATGCCGTCACGCGGCATGCAGTCCCCACGGCTTCGTGTTCCAGGAACGTGCCGCGCGCGAATACCGAACCTAACGACGATTCGCTTTCATTTCAAACCATTGTTTTTTTTTCTAGATTTGAAGCTTTCGTGACTGCAAGGATCCACGCTCTTTGGTTCTGTTCGGTAAAGTCACGTAGGTAAAAAAAATAAAACAACAAAAATCACGACGTTTCGGCCACAACACAAGCGGCCTTCATCAGGTGCTAATTCCTTTGTCAAGGCACCTTAATTACTCTCACACAGCTTAAAGGTCGCGGTCTGAGCTTGGCTGTGTTTCACTCCAGCGCTGTCCTCGAGACAGTCTGGGGTCCCTTCACCTGATGAAGGCCGCTTGTATTGTGGCCGAAACGTCGTGATTTTTGTTGTTTTATTTTTTTACCTACGTGACTTTACCAAATAGAACCAAAGAGTGTTGTTTTTATCTCGCCAAGTAAGGCGGCACTGAGCTACGTGGCTCTTTTTCCGCAGCGACCTGGCCGCAAATGATAGCTCAACCAAGGGGCTCATCATCACGTGGACATTTATAGCAGACAAATACTCGAAAGGCACGATTCTAAATGGAGAATAATCCACGCGGCCACGGGGAGAACATTCATACTCCAAATATACAGCAGCAGCAGCAGGCGTCAGGGTCGGGATCGAACCCACGACCTCCTGTATACCAGGCGAGGTAGTTAACATCTCGTCATCGCGGCGCACCTTTGATACTCACGTGGAAAGAAGTCCGTGTTGATTCCATTTTAACCGGGTCAGAAACAACTCAAGATACAACAACAAGCCTCATTTGCAAGAGCGACCTGCTGGGGGCATTAGTCTGGTGCCAGTATGGGGCGATGATTGCTGCTGTGTACACTATAATCCCGAGGCAATATTAGAACGTGGAGAATTTGGACCCCGATGCCAGCCAGCCAACCAAAGCGGGGTTGGCCAACCGTGCTCACTGCACCTCCGATTAGCACGGTTGGCTACGTACGGTGCGATAGAAGTTCAACATACAACATACGTGGGAGAGAATGGGGGGGGGGGATGCTTTTCCCCAGCAGTGGGAGGTTACAGAGAGACAACCACAGCAACCACGACAACAACAACAACCACCACAACAACCACGACGACAACCACGACAACAACAACCACCACAAGCGCGACAACAACCACGACAACAACAACCACAACAACCACGACGACAACCACGACAACAACAACCACCACAACAACCACGACGACAACAACAACAACCACCACAACGACAACCACGACAACAACAACGACGAAACTCACGGAGCAATGGGGGCACACGAAGCCACTCATGTTCTCAATGATGCCCAGCACCTTGAGCCCCGTCTTCCTGCAGAACGTCAGCTCCCTCCTCACGTCTCCCACCGACACCTCCTGCCCGTGGACAGAGCAGGGGGGGGTGGGGGGGGGGTAGCAGAGACACGGAATGTGATATTAGTTTACTTATTTAGAACAATTATTATATAAGGTATTTATCCAGGACAGCCACACGCGGTGGCTATGAGATGTTAACTACCTCGCCTGTTATGCAGGAGGTCGTGGGTTTGGTCCCGAACCTGACGCCTGCTGCTGTATATTTGGAGTTTGCGTGTCTCTCTCTCTCTCATCATCATCATGGTGGCTAGGAGATGTTAACTACCTCGCCTGGTATACAGGAGGTTGTGGTTTTGATCCCGACCCTGATGCCTGCTGATATATTTAGAGTTTGCGTGTCTCTCTCTCTCCCCGTGGTGTCGTGGAATCCACGCGAGATCGCCTCTACAGTACAGTAGTTGCATATCTTTGCAATGGTGGGCGGAGTTTGATTGACGTTGACTGGCGTGGCTCTGCTGCTGTTATCCACTTAGTGGGCCAAGTCTTCTGCTGGGCGGGAGCAGGAAAGTGTCGTTATCACTGAGCACGTGCATCGGTCGGTCGAATCTTTACTCCAAATGTTTTTATATTCTTTGGTTCTATCGGTAAAGTCGCGAATATAGAAAATAAATAAAAAATAATTTTAAAACTCTATCTGCTTAGCTTAAACATCAGCCCCAAGTAATGTACTGAAGAAGCTTGATTCCATCTATCACTCGGGTTGAAGATTTGCATTGAACTGCCCATATAGGACTGACCACTGTGATCTCTACATTGGGTCAAACTTAACATCTTTTAATGTTCGACGGCTTGTGCACCAGATCTTATTTATTCACGATGTACTTACAAAAAAATCCGCAGACTACCTACTGGATCTCCTCGCTGTTTCAAAGAACAAATTTGACCTCAGGTCTTCGCTCATTTACCAGCTTCACATTCCCTATTGCTGTACAAAAACCGGAGGAAGGGCCTTTGCTATTGATGCCCCCAGGGTCTGGAATGCTACTGCCAATAAACTGCAACTTGAATCACTACCTATGAGATCTTCACTCAAAACTGCTCTAGAGGAGTTGTACACCCCTAGCTGCCACTGCTATTCAGTGGCCTAAAATAAAATAAAATGTTTTGCTCCGGATGAACACTGCAAAGTATTATTTGTATTTTGATTTAGTGTGTTGATCTTAAAGGTGCATTGAAAAATTTGATACTCCGACTGATGCTTCTATTGTTGTGGAGTAACTCATGCAGCTAGCTATGGCTACAGGGTTTGGTGGTACATGTTGTTTATGTCGTTTATTGTGAAAATTCGGTCACAGTTCCTATGATCACTGTTACATTGCTTTTATGGCTTTATTTTGGTGATGTCGAAAACGTTTTTTGGTTTGGCCATGTTTGTTTGTTGTAGTACGGAGTTAGACTGATGGCCTTAATCTAAGTTGTCTTGTGGTTGTTGTTGTTGTTTGACTTGCATCCCACTGGGATTTTTGCACACAGCGTTGGTGTACGGTGCTTTTTCAGGAATATTTTGCTGTTTTTTCCTGGATTTTCTGTTTGCACAGTCACATAATCACTTTAAGATGTTTTCTTGTTCATGTTTTTGTGTTTGTTGCGGTTGCACCCGATTCAAGAGCCGAATGGCTCACAGGGCTACACCAAATAAATGAAACTGAAAACTGAAACTGAGTGTTTTTTGGCACAGATATCCGTGGAAAATGGGTATACTTTCAGATTATCCGCGATTCTGAATTATCCGCGGCCGTCCTCCCCGTCACTGGCGCGGATAATAATCGAGAGCTCTACTGTAAACGTTAACGGGCCAAACGTCCCAAGCTGGCAAGAATGCACAACAATCCCCACGGGGCGTGTAATCGTCCAACCCCCGAAGCGTTCAAATCCCGAAGAGTCATCGATCTGAAAGGAGCGTACGGGCAAGCCTGACTGCTGATGAGACACTGTATGTTGAATCTGGTCAAGTGTCTGCTTGGGTTGAACCAATGCGTTGTGGTTCATGATGATGATGATGATGTTGTTGGGACTGCAAGCACTGTGACCCAGCCGGCTCGCAGGGTCCGGCAGAAGAGTGGCGAACGAGCGGGAGAGTGAGAGTGGGTGAGCGAGCTGGTGAGTGAGTGAGTTGGACAGCGGGTGAGTGAGAGGGTGAGCGAGCAGGTGAGTGTGCAAGTGGGAGAGCGGGTGAGCGGGTAGGTGAGCGACCGGGTGGGTGAGCGGGTAAGCGAGCGGATGAAGAGCGGGTGAGTGAGTGGGTGAGCGAGCGGGTGGGTGATTAAGTGGGTGGATAAGCAGGTAAATAAGTGGGTGAGCGAGCAGGGTGAGTGAGCGGGTGGGTGTACTAACGGGACGACCTTTGGAGTGGTGACGAGCAGGGCACCAGCAGGTGAGTGGGTGAGCGAGCCAGCGAATGGGCGAGCGGGTAAGCGGGTGATTCAGCGAGTGGGGTGAGTGACCGGGCCTACCTGTGGCGTGGTGACGAGCAAGGCGCCAGCAGGTGAGCGGCCACGCAGGCTCTCCAGAATGGCCATGTGCTCGTCCGACGTTCCAGGCGGGGTGTCCACGAGCAGGAAGTCCAGCTCTCCCCACAGCACGTCGCTCACAAACTGCTTGATCATGGCTACACAGCACGACACACAAACCACACGACATCATCAACAACAACAATCGCCATTCACCACCAAGTTACAGTGACGACAACACTTAGCTTGTGCCAGGCTAGGTGCACTTTGAGGCCACGTGAAGCATCGAAGGCTGTTGCTGCTTGCAGACGGACATGGGACAGACCCAGGTACCGTGGGTTGACTAACTGAGATGACTGGTAGATACACCAACTGTGCTCCCTACTGTGCCAAATTTCTGCGTTTTAGCCGCCCAGCGCTCTGCTCGTTGTTGTGAGCGTCACTCCTCCGCCCTCCCTTGTTGCTGGAGGGCGACTGCCTCCAACTGCCCAGTAGATTCCTTCATAAGCCTCCTCCACAGAGGCCGGTCTTTACACCGCTGGTACCAGGCATTGGCAAGTCCACTCAGCTCCACATCCTCCTGCACCACATCACTCCATCTCTTCTCTAGCCCGTGCCGCGCACGTTGAGCCCCCTCTGTCCGGCCAAAACAGAAGCTGCTTACGCATGTGGTAGCTGGGCATGCGGGCTACATGACCCAGCCGACGCAGCCTTGCCGGGTGAAGGAGCTAACTGATGGGAATATGTCCAGACCTTTCAAAGATCCGTAAGCTCCTCACACAATTTAGCCTGGTAAAAGCCAGGATCGAATGTAGGCAGGCCAGCCTAAATGTTTCAATCCGGCGCATATGATCCTTTGAAGGGGTCCACGTTTCGCAAGCATAGAGAAGGGAGGGCATGACTGTGGCCGAGAAGAAACGAAGCTTCATGCAGAGCGACAGGCCAGGCAGCTTCCACATAGCGTCACACAGCCGATGAAAAGATAATCCCGCTCGATTGATTTGGAGCAAAACCTCCACTGACAAAACCGGAGCTGGTCATAAGCACACCGCCCAGGCATGGAATCCGCTCCAATCTTTCCACAACTCATCTATCACAACTCTCCCCATGCACACACACCCACACAGATACGAAGATCCCTCAGATAGCTTGAACAGGCTGTTGGGGCAAGTGCTGTCAGCGAGCACCTATGAAGGCCGGCACGGTACAGGAGCGGGTGGGTGGCCAACACCATACCCGGCCACCTTTGCCTCGCCGGTGGTGATGTTTACACACCGCACCAGGTACACATTTGAGGCTGAGTCGACCTAGGGGAGGCCAGGGACCGGTTCACATAATCCTCACTGGTGTTGGCCGTGAGCGGAAATGGAACCCGGGTCACTGGGTTCGTAGCGCAGCGCGCTAACCGCTCCACTACGGCTCCCCACACAGACACACACACACATGGACACACACAGACACACACACAGACACACACACAGACACACACACAGACACACACACAGACACACAAACACACGGACACACACACACGGACACAGACACACACACGGACACACCTGCGCACACCCGCACACACCTGCGCACACACACGGGCAACACCCGTGCACACCCGCACACACACCCGCACACACACACGGACACCCGCGCACACCCGCACACACACGGACACACCCGCACACACACACGGACACACCTGCGCACACCCGCACACACCTGCGCACACACACGGGCAACACCCGCGCACACCCGCACACACACCCGCACACACACACGGACACCCGCGCACACCCGCACACACACGGACACACCCGCACACACACACGGACACACCCGCGCACACCCGCACACACCCGCACACACACACACCCGCGCACACCCGCACACACACACGGACACACCCGCGCACACCCGCGCACACCCGCACACACACGGACACACCCGCGCACACCCGCACACACACACGGACACACCCGCGCACACCCGCACACACCCGCACACACACACGGACACACCCCCGCACACCCGCACACACCCGCACACACACCCGCACACACACCCGCGCAAGTCAACAACGAGCGCCGGCGCGGTGCCGCACCGTTCTTCTTGGGGCCTCTCCACACGACGGCGTCGTCGGCCTGCCGCAGCAGGAAGCTCACGGACATGACGGCGAGACGGCGCCCGGCGTCCGCGTACACGGGCAGCCACCCGGCGGCGCACTGGTGCACGGCGCGGCCCTGCAGGCCCAACATGCGCGGCACGCTGGGGCCGCACAGGTCCACGTCGAGCAGCCCCACCTGGCGCGGGCGAGCGCGGTGGGCGGGGGGCGGAGGGGGAGCGCTGTGAGCGACATGGCGGCGGGGAGCTGAGCGCGCTCGCTACGAATTCCCTACGCGATGGCGACGATCGAGCCGCTTCGTTGAGCTGCCATTTGCGACGGCCAGGTCGCTTCTGAAAAATAAGTTAATGCCTCGGTTGGGCTTTAGCTGCCAAGATAAAAAAAAAATAGTATCGTCGAAGACAACGTTATTTAAGAATTTTTTTTTTTTAAATAAAGAATGCACATTACGGTCAGTTGCACAAACTTATTTATTGATTTGACTTATTATTATATTCTTAGTTATTTCGGTAAAGTCACGTTGAAGGGAAACAACAAAATAATAAAATATATATAAAACAATAAAAATTCTCACGACGTTTCGACCATAACACAAACGGTCGTCTTCAGGTGTGTTGGTTTGCATAAATTTATTTTTAAACGGTGTATTTATTTATTTATTTAAAAAAAAACGTTAGCGCCACGCGCAGCGATTTGGCAGTTTATTTAGGACTAGTCCATCTATATTCTGAAAAGAGGAGGGGGGAGACGAAATTTTTTTTTAATGTATGCTGTCTGAAAGCCACTGCAAGCGTGAACAATCAATTAAGACCTGAAATGGTTTATCAAATCTTTCCAATGATTGCTAAGATAGAATACATCTTCTCGGTTGAAATTGTCTCTGTGCTTGTATATGTGGATAGCCTCATGAACGAATCTCTCATGGTAGCCAGATCGCTTACAAAGAACCTCTGTCTTGGAAAAGTCAATGTCATGTGAGCCTACTGAATTATAACAATGATCTGCCACGGCCGAGGTGTTGGTCCTACCGTGTTTAAGGTCTGCTTTGTGTTCACGAATGCGGTCCGAGACATGGCGTTTGGTTTCTCCAATGTAACTACTACCGCAGAGGCAACTTAGTTTGTAGACACCAGGGTATTGTATGTCCGGAATCACATCTTTTACAGATGGAACCAGATCACGGATTTTATGTAATGTGTTGAAACGGACCTGGATCTTGTGTTTATTCAAGATTTTGGAGATCTTTTTTGTGATCCCCGCAATGTAGGGTAAAGTGATGGTTTTGAAAGGCTCCTCAAGAGGGTCCTTCTTCATGGTTTGAGTGATAGCTTTGCGGAATTTGACTTATTATTGTTTAGTTTTATTCGTATATTTTTATAAGTGATTTGTTTACCTTTCCTATACTTTGCACTCACATCGTGTTTTTGTAACTATTGTTGTTGTGACGTTCTTACCCCGTGTCCCTACTTGGACATCTGTGAAAAAAAAGAGCTTTACAGCTCGTCGGATTCCTCCTACAATATAAATAAATATTCTGATTCTGAGCGATGAGGGACGGAGGGACGATGCGATCCCCCGCTCTGCCCTGGCCCTCAGCCTCTTTGCGCGAGAGGCGTTAAGCCTACGGCAATGCGTGCAGGAACTAGACGCTGTTGCAGTTGTCAGGTCGGCACCATTCATTGCCCCTCTGGTACCCGATCAGCGCGGCCGAGATGCCGGCTGTGCCCAGTCCGCATCGCGTGCAGCGGCCCGGATGACGTCGCGGGGGGAGGATGACGTCACGGGGGGAGGATGACGTCACGGGGGAGGATGACGTGAAGTCACGGGGCCTTACGCTGTCCATGGGCTGATCAACACGTCGCCACTGATGGCAGCGTTGTACTCGCGCGCACGATGGCAGCAGCAGCAGCAGCTCTGTGGTTCAGGAGCTCGATGCCAATGTGGAGGTCTCCTGCTGCTGCTGCTGTTGCTGGCCACGGCGAGAGGGCTTCAGCAGAGACAGAGAGTTCGTGTCGTGTCGCCGTTCCTCCTCCACCGCAGTGGGTTAAACTGCACGGTCCATAGTTTGGGTTGCATGGGGCCCCCGTGACAACCACCGTGAGATTTGTTTTCAACAACAGCGTAAAAGAACAAAAGACATAAAACGGGGTTTAAAAATAAATTTTCACGAAAACGCTTTCACTTACGTTCCAAGTTTAATTTGAGTTAAATTAGAGCGGTAACGTCATATTTCAAAGAGGTACCGCTACTACGGAGCTGCTATAAGACGGAGCGTGCCGCCCACGGCGTTCAACGTTGGAGACCGTGAGCGTAACGACGATGTGGATCAGGGCAAGATGAGCCGCGATAAATAATAACTAGGGGTTGTGCGGGGTGCCTGTGCCCCCCCCCCTCACAACCATTTACGGCCTTCGGCCAGGAAAGTCACGAAAAAAATTGCACACGAACGACACATTCACACAAGCACCCGATGCTCCGTTTTGAAGTTTTAAAATGAAACATATTTTGAATTGTATTATGTTATGAATTAGATAATTGTATTTCTTCATTAAAAGCTTATATCATATTACATCTGGAATACTTAATTGAAAACGATATTTCGTGTGAATTTCCTCTCGTCGTTAAGTAGATGGCCTTGCTGGGGGTTTGGTTCGATGCGGACTTTCACCCGCCCCTCTATAGCCCCACCAAGCGTTGATTGGCTGCTTGGTCCCAGTCACGTGACGCACTTCAACCAATCCGTGCCGTGTTAGTCACAGAATGACAGAATGACAGACTTGGGTGTTTATATTATATAATAGCCTCGAGGCGCGACCGTGCGAAGAGACAAATCAAATGTTGGTCGTGGGTTCGGTCCCGACCCCGACGCCTACTGCTGCTGTATATTTGGAGTTTGCGCGTCTCTCTCTCTCCCCGTGGTCGCGTGGATTTTTCTCCGGGTTCTCCGTTTTTTTTCCCTCCACGTTTAGAATCATGAGCATCGATTCTAAATCAGCATTTGGCTCCAATGCATTTCCGCGTGACGACGATAAGCCACTTTGTCGAGCTTTCATTTGCGATGTTCGCTTCTGAAAGAGGGGGCGATACAGCTCAGTGGGCGAGACTAATACCTGGAAAAAAATAAATAACAAAAACATCAAACGGACCCGATTGCCGCACCACCCGGAACCGATGATGTCGTTTAACCACCGCCACCCAGGTACCTTCTGTCCGGCGTTTCGCAGCGCCAGCGCCAGCTGCGTGCTCACGGTGCTCTTGCCCACTCCACCTTTGCCGGAGAGCACCAGCACCACGGATCTCACCCCGGACAGGCCTCCCTCGTCATGCTCCTTCACCGTGTCCCCTGCGGGCTCCGTCGTGAGATTTGGCGAGTGACGGCGTGAGAGCGGCGAGGGGGTGAGGGGGCACAAGAGGTTGGCGACAAGCGGAGGGCAAAGCAGGGGCGGGTGGGGGGGTCGCAGGGCGGTTAGGACGGTCATCAGACACCGTGTCAATCCAGTGCTGGATGATGCATGCTGATGAGTGTGGGGAGTGGGAGTGTTGCGCGCTGCGCTACGAACCTGGCGACCCGAGTTCGATTCCCGCTCATGGCCAACACACCAGTGACGGTTATCCGAACTGGTCCTCCCCTAGTTCGACTCAAGTGGGTACAAATGGGTACCGGGGAGACAAAAGCGGCTGGGTGTGGTGTTGGCCACCCATCCCCTCGTGTGCCGTGCCAGCCTAAATAGGTGCTCGCTAACAGCACTTGCCCCAACAGTCTGTTCAGGCTATACTGGGGATCTTTGCCTTTGTTATCTCCATATATATATAAAAGGCAAAGTTGTGATTATGTGTGTATGTTCAAAATGTTCAGTGTACTTCCCGACATGCAACAAACTTGAAATGTGCCATGGGGGTACTTTCCAGACTGTACACCAGTGCATTTTTTTGCACGGCAAGTGAGCTGTGACGTCAAATCTGTCACGTGACCCTCGCACGTGGAAGCGTGACGCATTGTAGTGTAGTGGTTAGCGCGCTGTCTGTGTGTGTCTGTGTGTGTCTGTCTCTGTGTGTCTGTCTGTGGAAGCGTAACGCATTGTAGTGTAGCGGTTGGCGCTACGCCGCGCTACGAACCCGGCGACCCGAGTTCGATTCCCGCTCACGGCCACAACCGGCGACGATTATTTTAACCGGTCCTGGGCCTCCCCTAGGTCGACTCAGCCTTAAACGAGTAACTGCTGCGCTGTGTGAACATCGCCACTGGGGAGACAAAGGCGGCCGAGCGTGGTGGATCCAAGTCCCGAGCTAGTAAGTAATAAACAATCATCATTCGTTGCCCCAAAGCAGCAGAAGTATCCTGTGTTTACGACTTGGTACGGCTTACTGGATAAGTAACACGCTTTCGTGACACAAAGCAATTGTACCAATGAAATGCATGGATTGTGTATGTATGTTGAACTTCTTTTGCACCATACGTAGCCAACCGTGCTAATCGGTAGGTGCAGGGGAAGGACAACAAACTAAACACTAAAAGCAGTTCTAGAGAAAATAACAATATATGTGAATAAAATAAAGTACAATGTTCATAAGCACCTCCGATTAGCACGGTTGGCTACGTATGGTGCGAAAGAAGTTGAACATACATACTACTATATATTCTACACTACTAGCCACTACACTATTATACACTACACAGTACACTACTATACTAGTATACACTACACTACTATACACTACACAGTACACTATTATACACTACACTATACACTACTGTACACTATACACTACACTACTGTACACTAATATACACCACACTACAATACACTACACTATTATACACTACACAGTACACTATGAAACACTATACCATACACTACGATACACTACACAGTACACTACTATACACTACACTATTATACACAACACTATACCATACACTACGATACACTACAGTATAAACTACACAGTACACTACTATACACTACACAGTACACAACACTATACCATACACTACGATACACTACACTATAAACTACACAGTACACTATACACTACTATACACTACACGATGATACACTACACTACGAAACGCTAAGGTTAGCACGTTTGGCTACGTACGGTGCGAAAGAAGTTCAATGTAGAGTAAAAAGTCCACGCAAAACAGAGACGCACGCGTCTGCGAACGACCACGTGGTGAACGCATTGCCAAGCCACGGCAGCCGCAGCATTCCCTCTCCCCTCGTCGGCGAGTGTTTCATTCCACGAACGATTCACAAACTCATTCTCCGCTTCGCTTTTACCCCGGCCGCTGTCGTCCACGTGAACCTCCATGCGTCTCGTATTTCACAATCGCGAAACCCCGATCGCTGGGGGGAGGGGTGGGGTGGGGGAGGGGCGTTGTGGTCGTTAGCGGCTTCCGTAGTAGTTGAGGAAGCCATCTTGGGTAGGGGGTTGGTGGTAGCCACGGCAATCTGGATCAGAATGTTTACATTTATACTGCACGAGAAATCCGATGAGCTATGAAGCTCTTTTTTTGTAACAGATGCTCCAGGAGGGGTACCGGGTGAGAAAGTTACAACAAGCAATACTAAAGAAAAACCGATAGATGTGCAAAGTATATCTATATTTATTTTACCAGGTAAGGCCCACTTGAGCTGTTAATATTCTTTTTCATAGCTCAACAAAGTGAGTCATCATGTGGAAATGTAGATAAGTTTTGTATACATGTTTTCTTAAGTGATTTGTTTACCTTTCCTATACAGACTTTGCATCCATATCGTATTTTTGTCTAGTTGTCCTTCCCCCGCAGCTCCGATTACTTAAATATCGTTATTTGGTGTTAACGTTCTGACTCCGTGCCCATTCTGGACATCCTTGAAAGAAAGCAAAAGCTTTATAAGCTAAACGGCTTCATCCTCCGGTATCGCGTGGTCACCCACCCCTTACCAAGATGGCCAACGCGCAATACGTCGCCTAATCAAGCACATCCCCTGACCAAGATGACCGATACACGTGACGGCGATTATCCCTTACCAAGATGGCCATCGAACGACCCGTTACCAGCTCCACTCCCTTACCAAGATGGCCGACGCGGCGCTTCGCGACCCCGCGTCCTTCCGCCACGCCGTTTTGTACAGTGCACGGCACAGTGCAGTGGTGGTTGGTGGTGGTGGTGGGCGATGGCGCTGCTGAGGCTACCCTCGATCTCGCTGCGACTCTCCGCCGCGGTCTCCACCGCCGTCTTCGGAAGAGAGACGGGTAAAGGCGTCCCGCGCTGGCTCGGAGAACGTCCTCGTCGTTGTCTTACTCGCCTGGCGAGGCAGCCAGGAGCCGTGGCTGCCGTGGGGGAGGTTCGGGCGCTCGAGCGTGACTCCCCCCCCGTTTAGTAATCATTTGTGGAGTTTGGCACGTTTATAATCTAAATGTTGACTTTGCCGCATTATTCTCGCTCGCCAGTCGAGCGTCGGCCACTGCACCACCGTCTCAACACCGACAATCACGATACGAATGACACAGACGCGCGCGCCTTTGTATCTCTCTTGCACGCCGTGGTTCGCGTGGATTTTGTTTGCCTCTCCCGGTGTCCAGTGCTTCCCTCCGCATTTCGAGGAGTCTGATCATTTGGCTGCTGCTATCAGTTTCCACGTGACAAGTCACTGAGTTGAGCTGTCGTTTGTGATGGGCGGGTCGCTTTTGGAAAAAAAAAGTTGATAACTTGATGAAAAAACATTTTTTTAAAAAGATTGGTTTTATTTTTTCTTTGTGTCTTTCGATAAAGTCACGTAGATAGAAGAAAATAATAAAAAACATCACCCACAACCACCTCCCCAATCAACACCCCCACACACCACGACCCCCCCTCCACCGCCGCCACCACCCCCCCACCACTACCCCCCCTCCACCACCACCACCCCCCCACCACACCCCCCACCACCCCCCCCACCACCCTCCCCACCACCCCCCCCACCACCACCCCCCCCCACCGCCACCACCCCCCCACCGCCACCCCCCCCACCACCACCACCCCCCCCCCCCCCCCCCCCCACCACCCCCCCCCCCCCCACCACCACCACCACCCCCCCACCACCACCGTCTCAAAACGTTCTCGTGACCCCTCCCCCCCCCCACTTGTGATCGCTGTGCAGCAGCGTTGGCTGCGGCCGGCGTGAGGTGGGCGTCCAAGAAAGCCGGCAGCAAAGTTCGAAACTCGGCGCCCAAAAGTCCAGGCAAGCGCTACGGATGGAAGAAGTTTGAAGGTAAAAAAAAAATAGTCCCGCCCGCCAGGCTAGCGATGTGGCCCAGGGGGGTAGTGATGTGACCCAGGGGGGTAGTGATGTGGCCCAGAGTGGTAGTGATGTGACCCAGGGGGGTAGTGATGTGACCCAGGGGGGTGGTGATGTGACCCAGGGGGGTAGTGATGTGGCCCAGGGGGGTAGTGATGTGACCCAGGGGGGTAGTGATGTGGCCCAGTGTGGTAGTGATGTGACCCAGGGGGGTAGTGATGTGACCCAGGGGGGTAGTGATGTGGCCCAGAGTGGTAGTGATGTGACCCAGGGGGGTGGTGATGTGACCCAGAGTGGTAGTGATGTGACCCAGGGGGGTGGCGATGTGACCCAGGGTGTAGTGATGTGACCCAGGGGGGTAGTGATGTGGCCCAGGGTGTAGTGATGTGACCCAGGGGGGTAGTGATGTGACCCAGGGGGGTAGTGATGTGACCCAGGGGGGTAGTGATGTGACCCAGGGGGGTAGTGATGTGACCCAGGGTGTAGTGATGTGACCCAGGGGGGTAGTGATGTGACCCAGGGGGGTAGTGATGTGACCCAGGGGGGTAGTGATGTGACACAGGGGGGTAGTGATGTGACCCAGGGGGGTAGTGATGTGACCCAGAGTGGTAGTGATGTGACCCAGGGGGGTAGTGATGAGACCCAGAGTGGTAGTGATGTGGCCCAGGGGGGTAGCGATGTGACCCAGGGGGGTAGCGATGCGACCCAGGGGGGTAGTGATGTGACCCAGGGGGGTAGTGATGTGACCCAAGGGGGTAGTGATGTGACCCAGGGGGGTAGTGATGTGGCCCAGAGTCGTAGTGATGTGACCCAGGGGGGTAGCGATGTGACCCAGAGTGGTAGTGATGTGACCCAGGGGGGTAGCGATGTGACCCAGCGGGGTAGTGATGTGACCCAGGGTGTAGTGATGTGACCCAGGGGGGTAGTGATGTGACCCAGGGGGGTAGTGATGTGACCCAGGGGGGTAGTGATGTGACCCAGGGTGTAGTGATGTGACCCAGGGGGGTAGTGATGTGACCCAGGGGGGTAGTGATGTGACCCAGAGTGGTAGTGATGTGACCCAGGGGGGTAGTGATGAGACCCAGAGTGGTAGTGATGTGACCCAGGGGGGTAGTGATGTGACCCAGAGTGGTAGTGATGTGACCCAGGGGGGTGGTGATGTGACTCAGAGTGGTAGTGATGTGACCCAGGGTGGTAGTGATGTGACCCAGGGGGGTAGTGATGTGGCCCAGAGTGGTAGTGATGTGACCCAGGGGTGGTGATGTGACCCAGGGGGGTAGTGATGTGGCCCAGAATGGTAGCGATGTGACCCAGGGGGGTAGTGATGTGACCCAGGGGGTGGTGATGTGACCCAGGGTGGTAGTGATGTGACCCAGGGGGTGGTGATGTGACCCAAAGTGGTAGTGATGTGACCCAGGGTGGTAGTGATGTGACCCAGGGGGTGGTGATGTGACCCAGAGTGGTAGTGATGTGACCCAGAGTGGTAGTGATGTGACCCAGGGGGTGGTGATGTGACCCAGGGTGGTAGTGATGTGACCCAGGGTGGTAGTGATGTGACCCAGGGTGGTAGTGATGTGACCCAGAGTGGTAGTGATGTGGCCCAGAGTGGTAGTGATGTGACCCAGAGTGGTAGTGATGTGACCCAGGGGGGTAGTGATGTGACCCAGGGGGGTAGTGATGTGCCCCAGGGGGGTAGTGATGTGACCCAGAGTGGTAGTGATGTGACCCAGGGGGGTAGTGATGTGACCCAGAGTGGTAGTGATGTGACCCAGGGGGTGGTGATGTGACTCAGAGTGGTAGTGATGTGACCCAGGGTGGTAGTGATGTGACCCAGGGGGGTAGTGATGTGGCCCAGAGTGGTAGTGATGTGACCCAGGGGGTGGTGATGTGACCCAGGGGGGTAGTGATGTGACCCAGGGGGGTAGTGATGTGGCCCAGAATGGTAGCGATGTGACCCAGGGGGGTAGTGATGTGACCCAGGGGGTGGTGATGTGACCCAGGGTGGTAGTGATGTGACCCAGGGGGTGGTGATGTGACCCAGAGTGGTAGTGATGTGACCCAGGGTGGTAGTGATGTGACCCAGGGGGTGGTGATGTGACCCAGAGTGGTAGTGATGTGACCCAGAGTGGTAGTGATGTGACCCAGGGGGTGGTGATGTGACCCAGGGTGGTAGTGATGTGACCCAGGGTGGTAGTGATGTGACCCAGAGTGGTAGTGATGTGACCCAGAGTGGTAGTGATGTGACCCAGAGTGGTAGTGATGTGACCCAGGGGGGTGGTGATGTGACCCAGAGTGGTAGTGATGTGACCCAGGGGGGTAGCGATGTGACCCAAGGGGGTGGTGATGTGGCCCAGAGTGGTAGTGATGTGACCCAGTGTGGTAGTGATGTGACCCAGGGGGGTAGTGATGTGACCCAGAGTGGTAGTGATGTGACCCAGGGTGGTAGTGATGTGACCCAGGGGGGTGGTGATGTGACCCAGGGGGGTGGTGATGTGACCCAGAGTGGTAGTGATGTGACCCAGAGTGGTAGTGATGTGACCCAGGGGGGTAGTGATGTGACCCAGGGGGGTGGTGATGTGACCCAGGGGGGTAGTGATGTGACCCAGAGTGGTAGTGATGTGACCCAGGGAGGTGGTGATGTGACCCAGAGTGGTAGTGATGTGACCCAGAGTGGTAGTGATGTGACCCAGGGGGGTGGTGATGTGACCCAGGGGGGTAGTGATGTGACCCAGAGTGGTAGCGATGTGACCCAGAAGAAGAATAATAATAAGAAACGGCCCATGTTGGCAGACACTCCCCACCTCCCAATTGGCACAGTTGGCTACGTACGGTGCGAAGGAAGTTCAGGGTACCGTATGTACATTCTGAGACACTATGGTTGGTGTGAAGTGAAAATTTGCTTTCACCATACTTACATTTTGATTTAAAGCTGTCGTGACTGCAGTAATGCATTTTCTTAGCTCTTTCGGTAAAGTCACGTTGAAGGGAAACGATAAAATAATAAAATATATATAAAACAATACAAATTATCACGACGTTTCGACCATTACACAAACGGTCGTCATCATGCACCTGACGACGACCGTTTGTGTTATGGTCGAAACGTCGTGAGAATTTTTATTGTTTTATATATATTTTATTATTTTATTGTTTCCCTTCAACGTGACTCTACCGAAAGAGCTAAGAATATGATTCACCATGCTTGTTCCTCCTTGGGCCAGGTGTCGGCAAATGTCGCGGCTCAGAAACCGCGTGCGGCTCTTTGAGGGACCGGTCCGTGAGAGTAATCTGTTAAGGAACCGATGTCACGTATTCACCTCGTGCATCGCGCCTCTTGGTGCATTGCGGGGTTACTTTGTCTTCAGGATTTCCAAAAGTATGGCTCTTTGTTGTTACAGTGGTACCTCGATGTACGTCGTTAATTCGTTCCAGAAGGGGTAGGACTTATACCGAAAATGACGCATATGCCAAGCTAATTCTTCCCATAAGAAATAAAGGGAATAATCCGTTCCAGAGTATGAGAAATGATATTTTGTACGGCATATTATGCATTAATGGGCCTGTATAAAATAATGTAGACACTCCTTATTACTAAAATGCATACATAAATGAAAATGAATGCATCAATCGATGAAAAATAAATTGAAATGAAAGTAAAATTTAACGTCACTTTACCTTGCTGAGAAGAGTTGATAGCTTACGAGGATGGTGGTGAGCAAAGGGGAGGAGTTGATACACGTGAAAATAGCAAGGGTTGTGCACTGAACGAGATGTGCAGGCAGACTGAGGAGCCGCGTTTTGTTTGAGTCGTGAACGGGTACTACTCGGGTACTCGGCGACTCGTCCCGACCCATACAAGTTCTAGCAAGCGCGTCGTATCCCAAGCAGGACGTCGTATTCCACAACTTTTTTCTCGCCAAAACACGACAGTATACCATTATTCGACGTATTCCAAAGCGGCCGTATGCCGGAGGCATGACTGTACTTGGGTTTTGCGACCCCCACCCCTTGTCTTGCACGGTCAAGTGTTGTGTTTGCTTCTTGTCAATCACACCGCAGGCATTAGGTTGGGCGCGGTGATTGGGCCGGCGAATGGGTAGATGGAGCGAGCTCGCTTGTGGGCAAGTTAGCGAGTCTGAATTAGCGAGTGAGCGAATGAGCGAGCGGGTTGAGAGAGCGACTGAGTTGGCAAGCGAGCGTGCGCATTAGCACGTGGGTTTTTGAATGGCGGGTGAATTAGTGAAAGAGCAGCCCGATTGAATATGCGAGCGGGTACATTAATGAGCGAGTGAATTGATCAATGGGTGAATGTGCGAGTGAGTACATTGAGTGGGACACTCAAGGAAGGAACGAACGAGGGAATTGGCTGAATGTGAACGAATGATTGAGTGAGCCGTCGCCGTTCCCCAGGTGCCATGGTTCACGCTGGCAACATCCTCGCTACGCAGAGGCTCATCCGGTGGCACCCGGGGGCATTTGTGAGTTCCTCCCTGCGCAGTCCCACACTCTCTCTCTCTCGCTCTCTCCTGATGTCGCAGCAGAGGCATTCTTACTCGCAAGTGTTTCTCACACGGGGTGGGGGGGGGGGAGTGAATTGTTACACGTCTGATGAATGGGGACACTTTTTCATTCACATCTATATCCCTCCAGGGGATGGAATCCACATGGTCACACACCGGTCTGGATGGAGAGTCCAACGTGCTGACCATTACACCACCACAGCGGCATATTGAAACTAATCACCAACCTTCTTAATTGCGAGTCCAGCGTGCAACCTGTGGGACCACTTTTTTCCACAATCAAAATGATGGAAAAAACAGGGTTCCGTATATATATAACTGCTCAACCCGTGTGTTAATGCTTTGATGTGTGCATTGTCCTTGTGCTGTTCACCGGTTGGCATTCTCTGGTCTAACACCGGTGGTGAGACAAGGCCATAAAGTCGCCTGTCTCTGGTGTAGGCCAATCAGTTCAAAGACATTATTATCAAAGCATGTTTGCATGTTTTATCACACGCATGACGTGTGGTCAATGCAGACTTGACAATACCTTGAAATCGGTGTCCATTTGGTGTTTGAACTTGTTAACACCTCCTGTATTATTGCCAAACAGAGTAAAGCCTATTCTTTTTTTTTAATCCAGTGTGCAAACTCATGGCAGCATCCACAGACACCCAGTGTGAGAGCTCATTAGCACAGCCACCAACCCCCCCCCCCCACACTGCCACTTGCATTTGTTTAACTCCGCCAGGTGGGCATGGGTCGGAACAACACGCTGTACGCCCTGGAGGACGGCGTTGTGCGGTTCACCAAGGAGGTGTACGTCCCTCCGCCGCGGAGCAGGGAGGCCTTCCAGGTGGGAGATTCCCGCTCGCCTCCCAATCGCTTTGATTGTGCGAGGCCCCGCTGAGATTCACCGTCTGCCTTGTCTGTCTCCGCTGTGAGCGACACCTCGGTGTCCGGAAGCCAGACTACCTCCGATTGGCACGGTTGGCTACGTACAATGCGAAAGAATACTACGTTGTAATCACGTGATTACAACTTAAGATGTTTGATTAGGATAATAACTTTTTACAGTTTATTAACGCAAACAGTCCTCGACAAAAAAAAAAAACCCACTCCTGTGCAGTTTAATCCGAGTTACCATCACCACGAAGTGAACATGGACAGCTCTGTTCCGCTGGATGTGGAAGGTGGCAGAGGTGTTTTGACGAGACTGCATTCTCCGGTAGCTGGCGCCAAACTGTGCCGCACGCCCTCCTGCACGGCCTTTTGGGAGCCTCGGGACATTTTCCAACCTGAGGACGTACCGATAAGGTTATTTTATTTAATTTTTTCTTCCGGCTCCGTGTAGCCTTCGAGCTTACCTCAAATTCAGTGTCAATATTCTTGACACCGTGCATCGTAAGAACCATCACGCAAACTCGGGTCATCCTCGCAGCAGCGGCTTTTGGCTAAGCCATGGAACTAAAGACGGTCGCCGCATCGCGTGTCACTTTCAGATGCGCTTCTGCGGCCGTCTGGAACGCTCTTCCTTTTGATATTAGGAAGCCACTGGAGCTGTGCAATTTTAAGTCTAGATTGAAAATGTATTTATTTAGAACTGCTTTCTGTGTTTGCTTTGTTGTCCTTCACCCGCACCTCCGGTTAGCATGGTCGGTTACGTACGGTGCGAAAGAATTTTAATCATACGTACGGCAATATGTTAAGGACCTAAATGTCAATATGCAGGTTTTTACTGGGTCAGCTAGCTGGGTGGGCTGCTGTCACCTCCTCGCAGTTGCCCACGTATAAATGTGTTTTTCATTTTAGCTTAAACACAACTAAGACTGTCATCCGGGTGTAAAGGACATCATTCATTTTCAATCCAGATGCGATCATTTGTGTGTCAGTCAGAGTAATTTGCATCTTGTAGAGTTGATTCGGAGGCTCATTTTCACCATTAGGAACAAGACATGGTATTAATGATGAGATTATGACCTTTTAACCGAGGTCAAAAAACGCGAGTGAAATCTCACCGTCGTATAATCTCATTGTGCTTCCGAAATTCCCATTCTATTTCTTCCTTGAGTGGAGTGCCAGAAACGGTTTTTTAAAGCGAAGAAAAATCTGGCAAAACGTACGAATGATATCGTACGGATGTTGAACTTCCTTCGTGCCGTACGTAGCTAACCGTGCTAAATTGTAGGTGCAAAAGCCGTGCTTAGTCGGAGGTCATTGGTGGGGGTGGGGTGGATAGGATTGAATTCCGCGATCGTGAAAACGCGACCGCATCTCGAGACGTCATCCCCTCCCGCGCAAAACCCGTGTGCCGCCCCCTGCAGGTGGTGTGCAAGCTGCCGCGTGGCGCCATGCTCTACAAGACGTTCATCAACGTCATCCCTCCCCACCAGGAGGGGCGCTTCGTCCTCAAGGAAATGATGTGAGCGGCGGGGGAGCTGCGCGCCACTTCAGTTGCAGACCTCTCGCGCGAGCCTTCAAGCCCACGCCTCGCCGCCTGGGGCCCGGGGAATGTGCGACCGAGTGGAATTTTGCGCGCCGCGAGAGGCACCAACTCTGGCTGTCGCCTGATGATGCCGCTCGTTGTAATTACCGGCGAAACGTCACGGTACTCGAATTGTAAATGCCGTGGTGGGATCACTCTCCAACACACGACCGGTTCGCTGTGCTAGTAGCGAATTGGCCACGTTTTGTTTACGTGACAAAACTTACTAATTGGCTGTGGCGGGTGGTGGCGGGTTTAACGACACATTTATAGATTTACGCGATGTAACCCATAAACCTCCATTATGGATGCGAGAGGCAGTTTCGTCGTCCGGTGTCACACAAGGGTGCACGCGAGCTCCCCTTTTTGCGATTGATGCTTTAATAAAAAATGAAACCCACACTGCATTCTCGACTTAGATGATTTTGCTGTTGTGCTGGTGTGGTGTTGATGCTGCTGCTGTTGAAACGTGTGGGGCAAATGCAACACTTAGGCTTTCGCGACCAGTGTTGTTCATAGTAAAGGTTAGTTGTGTTAGATTGCGTAAATATTAATGCGTCGTTAACCCACCAACACCTGTAAACAAAACGTGCCAATTAGTTACTTGTTCAGCACACCGGGGTGTTGAAAATTCAACGCGTGACGTTTACAATTTTGAGTACGACGTTTTGCTGGTAATTACAACCAGCTTCATCGGGCGATTTTTTTTGTATTCACTGGCAACACATCGGGTGTGCTGAAGTAGTAACTATAATTGGCACGTTTTGTTTACGTGACAAACCTTACTCATTCGATGTGCTGGGTGATGGTGGGCTGACGACACATTTACATTTACGCGCTCTAACCCAGATAACCTTTATTACGTGTCAGGCGAAGCAGGGTTTGAACCTGGATGGTGCTTGCAAAAGCTATCGCCACGCACAGGGCGGGCGGTGGTGGCTACGCACGCCTGTTTAATCCAGCACTGGAGGCGAGGGTTGATGAATCTGCCACATGTTTCGTAACTCCCTTCTCGTGGCCTAACGGAAGGGGTAGGGCATTTTCGGGTGATTTGGTCACGCAGTAAGTGGATTTTATTATTGCGTATGGCGATTTGTTCAGGAGCTAGCCGCCATTGTTGAGGTCTACTAGCCACGGCGAGAGGCCATCAGGAGAGAAGAGAGTATTGTGTAGTTTTCCTCTTTCTCCGTTGAAGGAGCACAAATCACAGTGGTTTACTATATGGTCCACAGTTTGGGTTGCATGGCCATAATCGCACTACTGTGGCTATCCTTTATTGCATCTTTATTGGTCTCTGTGGGTTTACTATACGGTCAATAGTTTGAGTTGTATGGACACAATTGCACGGCTGTTGCTTGTGTCTTTAATTTGCCCATTTTCGAAGGCGTTGTGCACATCGGCCTGTTGATGTTCTGATGCGGTTGATGGTTACACCACTGGTGTCTTCGAGGAAGAATGTCAAAGCCAGGAGATGTGCAATGGATGTTTGGTTCTCGAAGTGAATGAATGAGTGAAGAAAAAATGAGGGAATGTGGGAGATGATAATACAAAAAGCAGGGGCCGGGTTACGAAAAAAAACTGCTTAAATACGAGGAAGCAGTTTTACGTACACTCCGAAATCGCGTGTAAGCATTTTGCTGTGCACGTCACACAAAAATACAGTGGTTGCTAGGAGCTGCGTCATCACTTGTGGAACACCGACCAATCGGCTTCCAGGGAAATAATCCTGGTTCAACATGGGTGCTGCTATACAACATGGCCCCCGTGACGCCATGGCTTGGGATGAGGTAAGTTGTATAATTGTTATAAATATTTTTGTTTTGTTTTAAAGTAATGCCAGTGTGTGATGTGTGAATTTATGTGTGAGAGCGCGTGTATGTAAGCGTGGGGAGCGGTAGCGTAGTAGTATGAACCCGGCATCCCGAGTTCGATTTCTGCTCACGGCCAACACCAGTGACGATTATCTGAACCGGCCCTGGGCCTCCCCCTAGGTCGACTCAGCCTCAAATGAGGACCCAGTGTGGTGTGTAAACATCGCCAAAGGTGGCTGTGCGTGGTGCTAGCCACCCACCCCCTCGTGTGCTACTCGCTAACAGCACTTGCCCCAATAGTCTGTTCAGGCTGTACGGGGGAGATCGTCTTTACGTAGTACAAGGACTCCTCTACTTACGAACGAGTTCGGTTCCAGGGGTTCGTTAAGTCGATTTGTTCTTCAGGCCAACTTTACTTCTGCCGTTTCCAACCATGTTGTGTGGCATGTACATTAAACATGGGAAATGGCTTTAAAAGTTGCATAATCTGCAGATGTAGATGCCACTGGTTCTTCACGTTCTGTAGATGTAGATGCCACTGGTTCTTCATGTTCTGCAGATGTAGATGCCACTGGTTCTTAACGTTCTGCACATCTAGATGCCACTGGTTCTTCACGTTCTGCAGATGTAGATGCCACCGGTTCTTCATGTTCTGTAGATGTAGATGCCACCACTTCTTCATGTTCTGTAGATGGAGATGCTACTGGTTCTTCATGTTCTGTAGATGTAGATGCCACTGGTTCTTCACGTTCTGCACATCTAGATTCCACTCGTTCTTCACGTTCTGCAGATGTGGATGCCACTGGTTCTTCACGTTCTGCAGATGTAGATGCCACTGGTTCTTCATGTTCTGTAGATGTAGATGCCACTGGTTCTTCACGTTCTGCACATCTAGATTCCACTCGTTCTTCACGTTCTGCAGATGTGGATGCCACTGGTTCTTCACGTTCTGTAGATGTAGATGCCACTGGTTCTTCACATTGTATAGATGTAGATGCCACTGGTTCTTCACGTTCTATAGATGTAGATGCCACTGGTTCTTCACGTTTCATAGATGTAGATGCCACTGGTTCTTCACGTTCTGTAGATGTAGATGCCGCTGGTTCTTCACGTTCTGCAGATGTAGATGCCACTGGTTCTTCACATTCTGCAGATGTAGATGCCACTGGTTCTTCACGTTCTGTAGATGTAGATGCCACTGGTTCTTCACGTTTTATAGATGTAGATGCCACTGGTTCTTCACGTTCTGTAGATGTCACCACTGCCATCTATTGCGCAGGTGGTTGAACAGGCAACCATACGGCACGGATTTGTTCGTGTCTTTGAAAGTTCGACTGTTCGTAATTAGTAGTTCCCTGCTACTGCATGGTAGATAACGAGTTTGTCCGCACCCATCCCTGGCAAATCCAATTGGACTCGCCACAAGATTCTAGATTTGAAGTTTTCGTGACTGCAAGGATTCATACTCTTTGTTTTTTTCGGTAAAAGTCACGTAGGTAAAAAAAAGATTAAAATAAATCACGACGTTTCGGGCGCAACACAAGCGTCCTTCAGGTAGGGGGCAACTTGGCGAATTAAATGGAAAACCGCCACTTCTTTCAAATGTTTCTTGCCGTTGCTTTTCACACCTGATGATGACCGTTTGTGTTATGGTCGAAACGTCGTGATAATTTTTATTGTTTTATATATTTTATTATTTCCCTTCAACGTGACTTTACCGAAAGAGCTAAGAATATGAAAGCACAACACTTGAGCGGTGTAATTTATTTTATTTTTTATTTTACCTTCGCCACAAGATGGCGGTAGACATCGTCCAAAACATCTCCCCATTCAAGGGCCTCAGCGCCGCTATCTTAACTCCGTATTACGCAAACAAGATAAGATTTTATTTTTTGTAAACTAAGTACCGCAACGGAAACGTGAGTCTGCACACGCGTGTGGGGAATAAAAACTCTGCGGATAACCACGACTGAATGTGTTCCCTTTAGAATGCCCCATTGTTGCTGCTGTTCGCCATTTTGTGTTTCCTGGCCCCAAACCTCCTGGGAGCCTTAAGTGAAGGTTAAACTTCTGACACCGAATATAACAAAAATACTAATGCTAATAATCGGGGTTTTACTCTTTCTGTCAATAAAACCAGGAGGTGTTAAGATGTTCAAACAGCAAATAGAAACCTTTTTTTTTGCAGGGAATCAAGTTTACTGCATTAACCACACGTGTATATGTGTGTGGAGAACATGCAAGTAAGCATGCAATACAGACCTTTTTGTGAGCTAAACTCAAACCTGTCAACCCCTTATCAGTGCCCTACCTTATAGACAAATGCAGACTCTTATTGGTCGTCCCATATCTCCATATATATAAAAGGCAAAGTTGTGATTATGTGTGTCTGTTCAAAATGTTTAGCGTACTTCCCGACATGCAACAAACTTGACATTTGCCATGTGGGTACTTTCCAGACTGTACACCATGCAGAAATTATAAAAAATTAACTTTTTTATGGGTCGGGGAGCTCTGCATTTATTGTTTGCACGGCAAGTGAGCTGTGACGTCACACCTGTCACGTGACCCGCGCACGTGGAAGCGTAACGCATTGTAGTGTAGTGGTTAGCGCGCTGTCTGTGTGTGTGTGGTCTGTGTGTAAGCGTAACGCATTGTAGTGTAGCGGTTAGCGCTACGCCGCGCTACGAACCCGGCGACCCGAGTTCGATTCCCACTCACGGCCACCACCGGTGACGATTATTTTAACCGGTCCTGGGCCTCCCCTAGGTCGACTCAGCCTCAAACGAGTAACTGGTGTGCTGTGTGAACATCGCCACTGGGGGGGACAAAGGCGACCGGGCGTGTTGCTGGCCACCCACCCCCTCGTTCCCTATAAATCTCGACGTTCATCCTACAAAGTCCCATCATGAAACGGCTGTACGCCGTATGAACCTGAAAACTCAAAGTTTCCCTGCACAACAATACGCGTCAACCGTATGGTTTGACAGATATGCAAACATAGTTCTTGAGAAATCAATGTACGGGGACTAAACAACATTTTTCGAAAAAAACAATTGTCCATTTTGTGAGGTATCCTAACGAACTTTAAAAAAACAAAAATGGACGCTCTGCACGCGTGACATAATTTGTTTGCGCTAGCTGGTTGCTCTTGGAAACCAACATTGTTTACGATTAATAAGACTTTAGAGAGTTTTTTTATATATCGTTCTTGGTCACCATATAGATTAAAACACATTTATCGTAGTTATTTTAGAATTGTCATATTCATGCGTGATCATTATTCACCGATGGCTCTCGTGTTTGATGAAATTTCACACGTTTAATAAATCACCGCACGTGACACCGCTGGGACATTGCCACGTGTACCCCCTCAAGGATCAGCGTACCCCCTCAGGGTTCCACGTACCCCCTCAGGGTGCCACGTACCCCCTCAGGGTTCCACGTACCCCCTCAGGGATCATCATAACCCCCTCAGGATTCCACGTACCCCCTTAGGGTTCCACGTACCCCCTCAGGGATCATCATAACCCCCTTAGGGTTCCACGTACCCCCTCAGGGATCATCATAACCCCCTCAGGATTCCACGTACCCCCTTAGGGTTCCACGTACCCCCTCAGGGTTCCACGTACCCCCTCAGGGATCATCATAACCCCCTCAGGGTTCCACGTACCCCCTCAGGGTTCCACGTACCCGCTCAGGGTTCATCATAATCCCCTCAGGGATCATCATAACCCCCTGAGGGTTCCACGTACCCCCTCAGGGTTCCACGTACCCGCTCAGGGTTCATCATAATCCCCTCAGGGATCATCATAACCCCCTCAGGGTTCCACGTACCCCCTCAGGGTTCCACGTACCCCCCTCAGGGATCATCATAACCCCCTGAGGGTTCCACGTACCCCCCTCAGGGCTCATCATAACCCCCTCAGGGTTCCACGTACCCCCCTCAGGGTTCTACGTACCCCCTGAGGGTTCCACGTACCCCCCTCAGGGATCATCATAACCCCCTCAGGGATCATCATAACCCCCTCAGGGTGCCACGTACCCCCTCAGGGTTCCACGTACCCCCTCAGGGTTCCACGTACCCCCCTCAGGGCTCATCATAACCCCCTCAGGGTGCCACGTACCCCCTCAGGGTTCCGTTAACCTATAGCACCTGGGACTGCTTCCCAGCAGTGAGAGCCTTCCCCCCTTCCCCCCCCCCCCCCCACACTTCACGTGACGGCCTCAAGGTGCACCTAGCCTGGCACAGGCGCCCCGCGGTAGCTGTGTGCGATGTTGATCCATGAGCTGGGCGTGAAGGTGCCCAGAGACTTTGGGAGCGTTCGTCAGGGAGGGTCGTGGCTACATTGAGTGAGATGTTTGGCCATTTGCGTTTGAATATTATATATTTTTTAAAACACACATTAGTCACTGCAGTGGGCTTTAAAAGGTCAAACTATATAATAGGCGACGTTTCGAGCAACGGGCCTTCATCATGGCACTTATACACTGTGTGTGGCCTTCAAATACAAAGCACAACAGGCAAATGGCCCTTCAACATCACGAAGGGGCCATTGGTCGAAATGTCGCCTGTTATGTTGTTCTTGTTCAGGCGTCGATGCTGTTGTTGTTATTGACACGGCACACGTGAGTTATCGTCACCCTACACACACACAATGTGCTCGTTGCGAAGGGGGGGGGGGGGTGGTGGAGGAGATAGTTGTTTGGATTCGCGGAGTAAAGAATCGTCAGCAGAAGTTCGATTCAATCCGAGGACAGCCTCACAGGATGCTGCTGCTGCTACCTCAATGGAGGTAGCAGCAGCAGCATCCTGAAGGTCCCCTTCAGGATGCTGCTGAAGGTCCCCTTCAGGATGCTGCTGCAGCTGCTGCTGCTACCTCGACGGAGGCGACGTTTGACGTTTTGGGGTCGTGAATTCCCAAACCTTTCAACCCCTTACCAGTGCCCTACTTTATTACAGACCAACTCAGACCGTATTGGTCACCCCGTGCCCCCTTATAAATCCCAGCGTTCATCCTACAAAGTCCCATCACGAGGGAGAAACTCAAACAAATAGACAAAAAAATGTGTTTTATTTAATTGAAACGGCTGTATGCCGTATGGACCTGAAAATTAAATTTCCCTGTTCAAGAATACGGGTAGACCGTATGGGTTGATATGATATGAATCCTCTATAATACAGGTTTTTTTTGGGTTAGATCGCGTAAATATATAAATGTTGCGTCGTTAAACCCGCCACCACCCGACACGGCCTAATTAGTAAGTTGTGTCACGTAAACAGAACGTGGCCAATTCGTCACTGGTACAGCACACCGATTGTGCGTTGGAGAGCCCAAGCCACAACATTTACAATTCTATTCGTAGTGAGAGTTTTGGCTTCGTGCGAGGGAGGAATCCCCGGAGAAATCTCAGCACCGCGCTCTTGGCTGTGATGCAGATGGATTTGAGAAAGCCATTTCCCCCCCCCCCTCGTGGGTCGAGAGTGGATTGGGGTGTTTTATTTGTTGCTGTTAATCGTCAATGCAGCTACCTCCGGTACGGATGAATATTCATAATAATTCATAATAAAGGTTTTTGGGTTAGATCGCGTTATTTATAAATGTGTCGTAACCCTCCACCACCCGACACGGCCAATCGGCAAAAAAAGTGTCACGTTGACAAAAGACAAAGAATAATATTGGTCGCGAAAGCCTACGTGTTAAACTGACGGATGAATATGGTGGCGATTCGTCAGTGCGATGAAATGGGGTGTGTATGGTGGTGGTGATCTTGTGAATTTTTCGGCAAACTGCAATTGTAAAACTGTAAAAAGCAAGGTTTATTGCTCCAAAACGACACCATCGTCAGAACACAAACGCATGCAGACCGACGCCAAAACAGACCGGATGGCTCTGCGGGAGGCCACGTTTTGGACACGGGCGAGCTGCATAAAACGGTCCTCTGATTGAAAAAGAAAAAAAAATACCCTTGCATTAGTACAAAAAAACAAACAAACCCCCAACACCGCCTCGTCACTGAAAAAAAAATCATAACGAGCCCAACCAACTCTCTTCACCCCCAGTTTAACACGCAGCAAGCTTTCGCGACCAATATTATTCATGATAAAAGTTTTTTTGTAGTAAGGGATTCGTCACGTAAACAAAAACGGCAAATAGTTTACTACTTAAGCTCACTGGTGTGTTGGAGAGTAAAATCTCCTGCCTCACTCTACACGCGCCACGTTTGACCTGAAGTTTGGCTTTATTCGCAGAAATTGATGCTGCTGCTGCTGTTGGTAGGCACGGTGTTTGTACCTCAGTGGTGACACCACATCTGTGGGGTTGTTGAGCTCAATAGCCAAGTGCAGCGAGGGTCCATAATGCAGATTGTTTTTTTGGGGTCAGATCACGTAAAATATATAAATGTTGTGTCGTTAAACCCGCCACCACCCGACGCAGCCTACGAGTAAGGTTTGTCACGTAAACAGAACGTGGCCAATTCGTCACTAGTACAGCACCACCGGTTGTGTGTTGGAGAGCCAAGCCACAACATTTACAACCTGAGTACGACGTTTCGCCAGTAATTACAACTAGCTTCATCAGGCGACAGCCAGATTTGTGGACAAAGTCCACCTGTTCTGTTTACGTGACAAACCTTACTAGTTGGCTGTGTCGGGTGGTGACGGGTTTAACGACACATTTATATATTTACGCGCTCTAACCCCAAAACAACTGCATTATGGATGATATTGGTCGCGGCATCCTACCACGTGTTACACTGCAGCATGGGTGGTGAGTGGGTGGGTGGGTGGAGAAGGTGGGAATATTAATTTGTGGTTAACACAGTGATGGGCTGTTAAACTTGCTCGTTGATTAGGCGGAGCTGGAAATTTACAGAATGAGGAAGGGAGCGGCCTGCTCAGCAGCCTCGGCATTTTCAAGGCCCTTGTCAGCCGCAAAGTATGGCTGGACTTCCACCACGCCCAACTAACGGGACACATTCCGGCCTCCCCGCAATCTAAGGGGACACATTCCGGCCTTCCTGCAATCTAACGGGACACATTCCGGCCTTCTAGCAATCTAAGGGGACACATTCCGGCCTTCCTGCAATCTAAGAGGACACATTCCGGCCTTCCTGCAATCTAAGGGGACACATTCTGGCCTTCCTGCAATCTAAGGGGACACATTCCGGCCTTCCTGCAATCTAAGAGGACACATTCTGGCCTTCCTGCAATCTAAGGGGACACATTCTGGCCTTCCTGCAATCTAAGGGGACACATTCTGGCCTTCCTGCAATCTAAGGGGACACATTCCGGCCTTCCTGCAATCTAAGGGGACACATTCTGGCCTTCCTGCAATCTAAGGGGACACATTCCGGCCTTCCTGCAATCCAACGGGACACATCTCGGCCTTCCTGCAATCTAAGGGGACACATTCCGGCCTCCCTGCAATCTAAGGGGACACATTCCGGCCTTCCTGCAATCTAAGGGGACACATTCCGGCCTTCCTGCAATCTAACGGGACACATCTCGGCCTTCCTGCAATCTAAGGGGACACATTCCGGCCTTCCTGCAATCTAAGAGGACACATTCTGGCCTTCCTGCAATCTAAGGGGACACATTCTGGCCTTCCTGCAATCTAAGGGGACACATTCTGGCCTTCCTGCAATCTAACGGGACACATTCCGGCCTTCCTGCAATCTAAGGGGACACATTCTGGCCTTCCTGCAATCTAAGGGGACACATATCGGCCTTCCTGCAATCTAACGGGACACATTCCGGCCTTCCTGCAATATAAGGGGACACATTCTGGCCTTCCTGCAATCTAAGGGGACATTCCGGCCTTCCTGCAATCTAAGGGGACATATTCCGGCCTTCCTGCAATCTAAGGGGACACATTCCGGCCTTCCTGCAATCTAAGGGGACACATTCCGGCCTTCCTGCAATCTAAGGGGACACATTCCGGCCTTCCTGCAATCTAAGGGGACACATTCCGGCCTTCCTGCAATCTAACGGGACACATTCCGGCCTTCTTGTCGCAGTGGGCAATGCAGGATGAGGTGGCCGTGTGCTCCCTGACGATGAATGGGGCTCCATTATGAACGCCTTTGAGCTACTGCAACCCTAACTCCAACCCAAAAACCCATCTCTCTTCCCTAGACCAAAACACAGACCACCCTCCTCCCCCCTCTACTGGATTTTCTTCCTCGAAGAGACATTTTCTGAAACTTTAAGCTGATTATATATTTTGTTGTCACAAGGCAGCGCTAATGAAAAATTGTGGAGTTTATTTACGTGCGCTTGTTCACCACTGCCAAGAGAGGCCCATTCATTTACAAAAAAAAAACTTTAATATTCTTACTGAGTAAATGAGCAACGAGTAGACCAGCACGTACGAACGTTAACATTTGCACGCCTGAACTCTGCCACTAAGCACTACACTTGCGTGGAATTCCCATTAAATGTAAACGCGCTATATTTTGTTTTAATTCACGAGAAACGTATTCATTCTACGGAGGCGGCTTGCACGGAGACCCCTGCATCAGCGACCACCACACCCAGCCGTGACGACATTTGCCCAAGAGGCCCCCTTGGCTCCAGCAGCTGGTTTCCATCTTCCATATTTGCCCCCCCCCCCCACCAAAACCACTTCCAATCCTGACCTCGGACTCCTACCACACCCAGCCCCTCCATTTCCCGTCCGCCCGCCCCGCCACCCTCTCCAATCCATCAGGAGCGGCTGATGATGACGAGGCGGCTCGAGTAGACCATATCGGCCACGTAGGCCAGCAGGTTCACGTAGGTGAACACGGTGACCGCCAGCTGCATGTCCCAGTCGCAGCCGCCCACGAAGCGGCAATCCGGCGTGCGCCGAGAATGGCCGTACTTGTCGGAGAAGCAGTAGACGGGCCAGAGCACCGCCGCCGTGACGTAGCCCAGCACGGCCACGAAGCCGCACAGGGCCAGGAAGCGGTCGAAGGGCAGGCAGAGGCGGCCCGTGCTCTGGCACACCGTGAGCAGGATGACGACCGCCACCAGCACGAAGCACACGCAGTACACGGCCAGGCACCACTGCAGCGCCGCGTAGCGCGAGTACAGGTCCGGCCGCTCGGCCAGCACCACGAAGATGAGGCACGCCACGAACGCCTCCAGCACCTGGGCGCGCAACGCGTGCGCGGTGAGCGGAGTGCGTAACGGGGCAACGTGAACGCCATGGCTGGGGAGCAGGACACGCGATCCTACTGGGGGGGAGGCGTTCCTTCCTTCCTGGCCCCGACGCATTCTGCGCGTGAACGCCGTTTTGCTGTGGCCGACACAAAGCTCCTATTGATTGTGAGCCAGGAGAAGTCCCGTAATAAATTTCACGCAACAGGCTGACCTGTTTATGGCTTTGGGCCCTGCTCCACCCCCACCACCACCGCCTCCCACCCCATGGACTCAGACCCAGAGCTGTGTGAGCATAAAACTCTTTCTGTTTTTCGCTGGAATGCCAGACGTGGCGGTTACACAGGCTGCAAAACCCCACGTTTAAATCTGGCCACGGTGATTTAAAACCCGATATTTAAAATATCAAGGCCGATGACTAAAATCTTTCGCCTGGATTTAAACAGAAAAAAGTACAGTTTTACATTGCCAAATCTGACCGTTAGGATTTTAGCCCACCAATGAGTTATTCAAACGCATCGGCTCTTAAATTTACTTTTTGATTATCCCCCCCATTGACTTTCAATCTATCATTGGGATAGCCGTGGCTACGAGTGGCACGTGCCACTCACTCCAGTCAGGCTACACGACCTGCAAAATATTCAGCGAGAAGTCGCGCTCTGAGCGTGGCAGTGCGGGGTGCCTTGAGGGCAATCCTCGTGCCGCATCCAGCACACACACCCCCTTGCTATCGCTGCGACTACCGGCCCCGGTTCCGCCAACTCTACACAGCGACCCAGACAAATGATTCGGTGCAATTCTACTCCGTGTGCGTGGGTGCGCGCGCGCGTGGCGTTTCTGCCGGGGGCACCTTGAGCAAGCCGGGCACGCTGGCCATGTAGCCGGTGACCTCCCCGGGCCGCGCACGCGTGAGCGCCACCTCGGCGGCGTAGGCGAGGAAGGCGAGGCACGAGAAGACGGTCGCCACGATGGTGAACGTGCGCGGCTCGCAGCTGCCGCACGAGATCTCGCGCAGCCGGTAGACGGGGTGCAGCACGGAGGCGGACAGCAGCAGCAGCGCCGCCAGCATGGCGTACGTGACCGTCAGGTTCTGCCAGGAGATCTGCGCGCAGCCTCGCTGGCCGAGCAGCTCGAGGAGCAGCAGGAGGAGCGAGCAGGCGAAGCAGGCGCACCAGGCGAACATGCAGAAGTCGCCGTAGGCGTGCGCCTTGCCTCCGCTGTGCGCCACGAGGCTGAAGGCGACGCAGGTGAAGGCCACCTGGAGCACGCGCACGACGCCCAGGCGGGACGTCACCGCCTGCGAGTTCACGACCACCTGAGGCATGGTGCCGCGTTGACGCAGTGCTGTGGACGAGCGTGCGAGCGATGAAGGGTGGATGAGGAGTGACGAGCAGATCGAGTGAGGGGGTCCGTGGGACGAGGAAGAACGGAGCTGGAGAGGAGGAGGAGGAGCTGCTGCGTATGGTGATCTGACGCACAGGCTGGATATTTTACGCGCCTCAAAGAACACAAAAAAAACAACCCCCCCCCAGAGCTTTGTAGGAGAGGGAGAGAGAAAAAAAAAGTATCTCCGGAAAGGAGGGGAGGAGCGGGCGTGAGGCCACCGCAGGGCAACGTTGTGGGGAGTGCTCGGGGTAACGGCACCCCCCGCTCGCCCTCCCGCCAGCCTCCACACCACTACCACCAACAAACCCTCTCGCCGCTAGGAACGTAACGGTGGAGCTGCGCTGAACGTTACACCACACGTGGGAGGGCACGTTGCGTTGTTTCACCGCTGCTGCGCGGACCAGGGTGTGGTGCGCGTGTGTCTTTCTGTGTGGGGAGCGGTGGTGCAGCGGTTAGCGCTACGAACCTGGCGAGCCGGGTTCGATTCCTGCTCAAGGCCGACACCAGTGACAATTATGTGGGCCTCCCCTAGGTTGACTCAGCCTCAAATGAGTACCTAGTGCGGTGTCCGTTTGTGTGTGTTTTCTGTGTGGGGAGCGGTGGTGCAGCGGTTAGCGCTACGCAGCGCTACGAACCTGTTCGAGCCGAGTTCGATTCCTGCTCAAGGCCGACACCAGTGACAATTATGTGGGCCTCCCCTAGGTTGACTCAGCCTCAAATGAGTACATAGTGCGGTGTCCGTGTGTGTGTTTTCTGTGTGGGGAGCGGTGGTGCAGCGGTTAGCGCTACGCAGCGCTACGAACCTGTTCGAGCCGAGTTCGATTCCTGTTCAAGGCCGACACCAGTGACAATTATCTGGGCCTCCCCTAGGTTGACTCAGCCTCAAATAAGTACCTAGTGCGGTGTCCGTGTGTGTGTTTTCTGTGTGGGGAGCGGTGGTGCAGCGGTTAGCGCTACGCAGCGCTACGAACCTGGCGAGCCGACTTCGATTCCTGCTCAAGGCCGACACCAGTGACAATTATCTGGGCCTCCCCTAGGTTGACTCAGCCTCAAATAAGTACCTAGTGCGGTGTCCGTGTGTGTGTTTTCTGTGTGGGGAGCGGTGGTGCAGCGGTTAGCGCTTCGAACTCGGCCACCCGAGTTCGATTCCCGCTCGCGGCCAAAATCAGTGACGATTGTCTGAACCGGTCCTGGAGCTCCCCTGGGTCGACTCAGCCTCAAATGAGTACCTGGTACGGTGTGTAGTAAACATCGCTACTGTGGAGACAAAGGCGGCCGGGCGTGGTGCTGGCCACCGACCCTGCCGTGTGCTTTGCCGGCCTTCGTAGGTGCTGCTACTCGCTAACAGCACTTGCCCCAACAGTCAGGCTTTCGGAACAATATCATCAATAATACAGTTGTTTTGGGGTTAGATCGCGTAAATTTATAAATGTGTCGTTAAAACCCGCCACTACCCGACACAGCCAACTAGTAAGGGGTTGTCACGTAAACAGAACGTAGCCAATTCGTCACTAGTACAGCACTAGTGTATAGTGTAGTGTATAGTGTAGTATACTAGTACAGCACTAGTGTATAGTGTAGTGTATAGTGTAGTGTATAGTGTAGTATACTAGTACAACACTAGTGTATAGTGTAGTGTATAGTGTAGTATACTAGTACAGCACTAGTGTATAGTGTAGTGTATAGTGTAGTGTATAGTGTAGTGTATAGTGTAGTATACTAGTACAACACTAGTGTATAGTGTAGTGTATAGTGTAGTGTATAGTGTAGTGTATAGTGTAGTATACTAGTACAGCACTAGTGTATAGTGTAGTGTATAGTGTAGTATACTAGTACAACACTAGTGTATAGTGTAGTGTATAGTGTAGTATACTAGTACAACACTAGTGTATAGTGTAGTGTACTAGTACAGCACTAGTGTATAGTCTAGTGTATAGTGTAGTGTACTAGTACAGCACTAGTGTATAGTGTAGTGTATAGTGTAGTATACTAGTACAGCACTAGTGTATAGTGTAGTGTATAGTGTAGTATGCTAGTACAGCATTAGTGTATAGTGTAGTGTATAGTGTAGTGTATAGTGTAGTATACTAGTACAGCAATAGTGTATAGTGTAGTGTATAGTGTAGTATACTAGTACAGCACTAGTGTATAGTGTAGTGTATAATGTAGTGTATAGTGTAGTGTATAGTGTAGTGTATAGTGTATTATACTAGTACAGCACACCGGATTGTTGGAGAGCCACGCCACAACATTTACAACCCGAGTACGACGTTTAAGGCCATACAGGGCGGAGGGATATTTGTCTTTGTGGCTCCGCCCGTCTCTCTCAAGGCTCAAACGTTGCGCAGGGATTTCTCGGTAAAAAATTGCAATTGCAAGAGGAAACTTCCGCAAAATTGTGTGGTGTTTTTTTTCCTTTCTCGCTCTGCGCCCGCCAAAAGCCGCAATGTGCTCGTGTCGTCCCAGTGATGACACTTTCTAAAAATATTCACACACCACAGAGAGCCACACCCAAGGCGAGCCCATGGGGCATTTTTTTACCACAATAAATGGGGGGGGGGGGGGAGATGAATTAATTTGGGTTGTATGGCGTTGTCGCAAAAAAAATGGGTCACAATTGTATCCTTAACGTTTTAAGCCATCCAACGGGCACATGGGGTTTGTAGCTGGGTTGGTAGCTGGGTTGGTAACTGGGTTGGTAGCTGGATTGGTAGCTGGGTTGGTAACTGTGTTGGTAACTGTGTTGGTAGCTGGGTTGGTAACTGGGTTGGTAGCTGCGTTGGTAGCTGGGTTGGTAACTGGGTTGCTAGCTGGGTTGGTAGCTGGCTTGGTAACTGGGTTGCTAGCTGGGTTGGTAGCTGGGTTGGTAGCTGGGTTGGTAACTGGGTTGGTAACTGGGTTGGTAACTGTGTTGGTAGCTGGGTTGGTAGCTGGGTTGGTAACTGGGTTGGTAACTGGGTTGGTGGCTGGGTTGGTAGCTGGGTTGGTAGCTGGGTTGGTAACTGGGTTGGTAGCTGGGTTGGTAACTGGGTTGGTAGCTGGGTTGGTAGCTGGGTTGCTAGCTGGGTTGCTAGCTGGGTTGGTAGCTGGGTTGGTAGCTGGGTTGGCGTCTTAGTGTCCCGCCAGAGTACGTGTGTTGTATCGGGCGGAACATTGGTGACGCACGCCTGATGGTTTACACCAAATGGAGTTCCATCATTCACGGAGGACAGATCACCCTCCATACACCTTTGCACGTGTTGTCTGGACACGGTTGTCGTCTGAGGCCAGCACAGATAAACCACAGCGCCGTCGGCTCTTCTTCAATAAGGATCTCGTTTGGGACTCCCACTTCTCCCCCCACCTCCATCATCCACGTCTTGCACCACGGGTTGGCATTGGGTGGGGGGGGGGGTCTTTCTCGAGTCGAGGAATACCTCCACGACGCTTGTCTCGATTTCAGACGGCGAGGTTGGTGCTGGTGGTGCTGGTGGTGGTTGCGGCGGCGGGACCCGTGACCGCGGTTAAGTGCAGTATAATTACGTGCAACGACTTCGACGACAAATTAATAAGAAGAGCCACTTCTACGTAGAGATGTCCACGGTAAAGAACCCGACTAAAGACTTCCACGATGAAGGTGACCCGAGGCTTCGTCCTCGTCTCCCCCACTCCTCGTGCTCTCCCCCTTAAATCTTCCTCAGCCTCCTTTCTCGATCCTTCTCCGCCTTGTTTTCCCCTCGAGCTAAGCCCTGCCCGTTCCCTCTAACGGGATCCTTTATCTCCCTCTAACGGGATCCTTTTTGTTTTCCCCGTTCAACCCCCTTATTCTCCAATGCCTTTACAAGTCTGCTCAACCCCCCCCCCCCCACCACCATTACCAATCACCGTGGATGCATTTTTATTTCAATCGGAGAGGCCTTTAGTTTATTTTTAAATATCCGTTAGGCTGCATATGGCTTAGGGCAAAATTTCGGTCATTTACAGATGCACTGGATAATGAATTGGTCGACTAATGCAGACGTCCAGAGTGAACGCACCATTCGAGAACAAAGGGGCCGTCCATAAATGACGTCACGCGATTTTTGACGATTTTTGACCCCCACCCCCTCTTCGTCACACGGCGTCACAAAAAGTCACCCCCCCCTCAAATATGACGTCACAAAGCTCTGCCCCCCCCCCTCAAATATGACGTCACAAAGCTCTGCCACCTGCCAAAAAAATATGAAACATGCTTCAAATCTTGATTTAAAGCTTTCGTGACTGCAGGGATTCATATTCTTGGTTCTTTCAGTAAAGTCACGTAGAAGGGAAACAATAAAATAATAATATAAATAATAAAACAATAAAATTCTCACGACGTTTCGACTGCACCACAAGCAATCATCATCAGGTGTGAAAACCACAGCAAGAACATTTTCTTGCTGTGGTTTTCACACCTGATGATAACTGTTTGTGTTGCAGTCGAAACGTCGTGAGAATGTTATTGTTTATATTTTTATTATTTTATTGTTTCCCTTCTACGTGACTTTACCGAAAGAACCAAGAATATGCTTCAAATCGCTTGAAACTATTGTCATTGTAGTGCGTATTTAATGTGGCGCTGCACTCTGATGTTGTAGGAGAAAACATTTATTAAAAATTCTATTTAATTAAGTAGAACGTGGTGTCTATATTTATTAAAAGTTGCTAATTTTGATGTGACGTCACATTTCTCAAACCCCCCCCCCCCCCCTCGTTACAAATGTCTGACCCCCCCCCCCAGGTGCGTGACGTCATTTATGGACGGCCCCTTAGGAAGAGGTGCAACAGGAGAAAGGAGCAACCCCCCCCCCACTCTCTCCTCTCAATCTCCTCCTCTTCGTCGTCTTCGTCGTCGGTTCTGTCGCCACGTCTCACGACAACCTTCAACGCCTCGGGCGTCGGTTCTGCACG